AGTGAAACTGAACATCCACCTGCTGTTCCTAAACAACGCAGCACCTTAACTGCCCCAACATCCAGTTCCAAAAATTAAGCCCTCTCCGCAACATCTGGGATGCAGTTATCATTTAGGAATGGTGGCTTTTTGACTGGAAGGAAATGAAAAATTCACAGTACTTTGGGATAAGCGGCATGAACAGCTCCAGAGCTGCAGTCCTTAAAAAGTAATATGACAACACAAGTTTGTGGACAGGGGAGCTCTTTATCAAATGACTTGTGTAGATTTATTGTGCACACATTTCTGGGATGAACCCAGCTGAAGTGTCCTGTCTGTTTGTAATAACAACTCTGGAAAGACAGGAAATCCCACCCCATCTCTGCTAAATGTATGGAGTAGTTTCTGCTGCCTCCACAGCTCCTGCTCATCCTTCAATACAGTTGTTGCCTCACATTTCAACATGGCTTCCTGTTCTCCCGCTCAAAGCTTAGGCCACAAATGGGTAATGCTGTGGCCCTCCAGATCATGCTCAATTCCAACTCCCATCAGCCCGTCAACATGGCAAGTGATGATGGGAATTGTAGTCCAGCAATATCTGGAGGCTCTCCTTAATAGAAGGCAGTTCTCTTTCTGACCTGTTTGTATACATGGGACAAATCAGCCAAAGTGAAGAGTACAGACCCATAACATCTCAGACCTGCCAAGTGTCCCTATTTTCCAGAGATGTCACTGATTTAGAGAAGCTGTCCTGGTTTCTTATTTGATCCCAGAATGTCTCACTTTTCCTTAGGATGTCCCTATTTTCATTGGAGAATTGCTGGAGGGTATGGTAAGATGTCCCTATTTTCATTAGAGAAATGTTGGTGGGTATGGAGTTATCTGACCCCCGAGCCACCTGAAGGCAATCCTATATACGGAAGGTTTTTTATGTTTAATGTTTTACTATGTTTTTATATATGTTGGAAGCTGCCCAGAGTGGCTGGGGCAACCCAGTAAGATGTATGGGGTATAAATAGTAAAATTATCATTATGGAATGGGACGTCCCTATTTTCATCGGAGAGATGTTGGAGGGTATGACACCTGCAATGAATGAACTCTGGGCAGAGGTACAGAATTCAACTCCTTTCTTTTCCTGAATGTGCTAGTTAGTTACCCAAAGAAGACACAGAACACCTTCTGCACAATCTGATCAGTAAATGGCTCAATAGATGGTGGCATATTCAACCCTGAAATAGCCTGTAGCAGAACCCTAGCGTAGTGCTATGGGAAGCAAGCCATCCCTTTGGAAACATGAACAAGAGAGGGAGCCTCTGTTCTCTACAAATCCTGTGACTTTTTGCCATTGGAAAGATCATGGGATGAACTTTTATAACACCAGCGATGTTAGAAATTCCCTTCAAAGCATTTGCTTTAAATTAATATGAATTTGGAATAAAACACTTGCCATCATACTCTAAACTGCAAAATGTATTTTTAAAATACGTACCTCTTTTCATCTGAAAAGAACTATGCAACACATTTGGCTTCTACTCAAGAAGTGGCAACTGAATGACCAAATAATGTTGTATGTGGAGATGCCATAAGGAGATAGCTGAAATCTTGCCTATGTATTTCAGGCAACATATGATTATTTCTCAGGAGCATGGATTACATATCAGATTATTATGCGGCATAAAAATGAACTGATTGCAACACATGCTCTGAAATTCACTGGTTTTGGGGTGGGCAATGTAATCCTGAGATCAAAACAAACACTGAGGAGGAAATACAGGCATCGAAGAAAATGATTTATTATCAGAAGAAGAAATTTTGTAGAATCAAGTGACAGGCTAAAGAGGACCTATTTAGAGCTGAAAATAACTGAACATTTTCTAATAGGCACAAGTATGTGTACACATGCACACGGCACACACAGAAAGATAAATGCAAAGGATTTCAGGAGTACAGTAATTTCATGGGAAATTACTTTCACTCTGCACTTGAAATCTGGCACAGCACAAAGGGTGTGACAATTCAACTGTTCATTGTCAGCAGCCTATAAGCATTTCCCCCCGGTGATGCTCAAGGTATTAAAAAAACAAAACAAAAACCAGACACCCTATGCCTATTGAACATAAAATTTTAAATGACTTGAATGGGCAATCAGTTTAGGATTCACTATTTTTTTTCTTGCTACCCTGCATTAGAGAATTGGTCATATGCACCCCCACAAACAACATGAGAAAGCACAAATCCATTTTACGGAAGTTGAATTAATAGAATATTAGTGGAATAAAAGTTGATTTAATAGAAATGATCTGTGCCTGCAGTCCGAAAGTGCAAGTGGATGGGGCTTGGGAAAACAAGCACACAAAAGACTTTTCACTTGCTTATAGCTGACACAGTTGTACTCTCCTGGTTGCAGCTGTGGCTGATGTGTCTTTTGCATTTCCTCACAGCTGGGAATATGGGCACTGCTCCATTAACATGTGATAAAGGAATAATGCCAATGTGTCCCATGCTTCAGGGAACTGTAGCTTAGAGAGCAGCGTAAGTTCACTCACAGTAATGGAAATTTCCCACTGGTCCCTTCTCTGTCTTTATTTTGCCCTGAGAAAGAGGAGCCCAAACAGGCACAGGTAGTATAATTCCACTTCTTTTGATTTCAATAAAGCCAGTGTTCATCAATATAGCCACCGATCAGGTCCAGGACTGTTCACCTTACAGGGACTTAACAGAGACTGTTTTCTTTTTAGGAGCTCAGGCGACAGAGCACCAATGGAAATCCAGCCGATTCTCTAGCAGTTTTTGTCTTGGGCTGGGAACTAGGACAGCTTAGCAGGGTGTTTTCAGAAACAACATGTGATCAGGATGTAGATACCTGGTAAGCAAGCAAGGAGCAAAATGGAGCATCCATGCCAAAAAAAAAAAAAAAAGTTCATTCAGTCTTTGAATAATCTGAAAATTCCAGAGAAAACACATTCATTTCATAAGGGAAGCACGACCCGTCGATTTTTCTTATGCCATCGTTACTTTAAGCTATTCTGCACAGCGGTAGATTCTGGTGCATTTGTGTGTTTTACCAAAGGAGCAGGCTGAAAAATCAACAAAAGATATAAAAACCATTGTTTGCTCATTTCCTTTTATTATGCAACTTGCATTATGTGGTACGCACTGTAAACGTAACGAGAACAAAGGCTTACTTATCCATATGTGTAATGTGCTGTGCTTTTGATGTGAGATTAGGTACTGTTAAGATCTCTTGAAAGGATAGTTATGTAATATGTAGACAACCGGTCACATTTATGATCTTCTTGCCAGCTTTAAGGAGACCAAAAACAAGTCCAGCACAAAGCTGGTTATCTGCATTTGTCAGATAAACAGCAATCATATGATGCCAACTGAACATAAGAAAAGCCCTGCTGGATTTCACAAAATGCCCATCTACCCCAGTATCCTGTTCTCACTGTGGCCAACCAGATGTCTATCAGAAGCCCTCAAGAAGGAAGTTTATTTACAAATGTACAGAGGGTCTGGCTTCTCCAGAGGATTGGGGGCCCCTGATGTCACACAATGTCCTGATGTCACGAGAAGCCAGGGGGCAGAGCCAAACTCCCCTAAAAAATACATTTGGGGCATCTGAAACTGTCTTGGCCCCTTGGAGTCAGTGCCAGGTGCAAATATGTAACCCACACTTTCATTAAAAAGCATGCCCACAATATAAAAAGGCAGAATGTAACATATAAAAACAAAAGAAACAAAGATCCATAAAAGTGTAATTAAAAACATTATTAGATACTGACTGGATTAAAAAGAGAATTCATGTCGCAAAGGCCTGTCAAACAAGAAAGTCTTCAAGAGGCATCTGAATGAAGGAATGGTTCCTACTGAATCGCTACAGTAGGGAGTTCCACAGGGCCTGCCACATGGAAAAAAAGCTGTCTCTGGTGATGGCCCAAGGGGCTTGGGGAACCAACAGAAGTGCCCCATCAAAGGATCTCAGTGATCAAGGTGGAACCATAAGGAATCAGGTAGTCCTTGTGACATGAGCACAACAGCAGTCTCCCCATCTGTGTTTTCCACAACTCTAATACATCTTCAAATCCCTGCTCAGTCAGCAAGCTCACTGAATGACCTTGGGCTTGTTCTCAGTTCTCAGCCTAAGCTTCCTCGCTGGGTTGTTGTGATCCGTAAGGACAAGGGGAGGAAAAAGCAATGTACCCATTTTAAGGAAAGGTGGAACATAATACAGAGTGAGTCCTTGAAAAGAGGCCCCGTGGATACAGAGTACACATGTTCCACGGGGCCTCTTTTAAAAGACTAACCCTGTATAAATGTAATAATAACTAAATGTCGTCTGGGCTTTTATGGGCTAGAGCAGTAGTTCTCAAAGGTGTGCAAGGAAAAGATGGCAAGTGTGGAGATTCAAGAACCATCAAAGAAACATTTAAACATTTCAGTGTAGTATAGTATCAAATGATTATTATTTATTTGCAGAATATGGATATTCAGGAGCATCGGCTATTCTACCGTTCATATTCTATTCCACTTCATATTGTTGTGAATGGGGGTTTTCATTTCTCAACAAATATGAAAGATCAGAAAAAAGAAAAGCTTCTTTGTGTTGATGAGAATTTGTTTGTCTCAAACTGGACCTAAATAAATGAGATTTCCTGGCAATAGCAAGCTCACACCTCTCATCGAGTTTTTAATATTTGGTTGGAAGCCAAATAAATAATAATAATAAGGGCAATAATAATAATAGTGGCTCACTTATTATATTTTGGGAATGATTCATGCATTGTAGCTGCATTGTTTAATACTTTCTGTACGTCCCATGATCACATTGTAAAGTAGTTGTGCTCTGCGTTCGAAATCAAGCGCTGCGAAGAGTTCTTTCTTTTCGTTTCCCAGCGTATTTCTTATCAATAACAAATTGGGCAGTGGCGCGAGCAATTCTTTATTCCCAAAGTGTGGCGCAGAGAAAAAAAAGTTTGAGAACCGCTGATTCATCAGGCTGCACGAAGCGTTCTCCTCCAGCAGAAGAGGCGGGAAAAGAGCAGGAGAGGTCGAAACGCGGAGCGCAGGGCGAGACGCTGCAGGATCAGTCCCTCCCACTCCCCCACCTGCAAGGGACTCTCGGTCCGCTTGGCTTTCCCGCCCTAGCGGCCGGAATGGGGGACGGCAGCTTGGAGCAGCCCGTTAACGGGAACAGCTGCTGCTCCTGCTCCGGCAGTTCGCTGGGTGAAAAGAGGGGGGAATTCCAGCGCCGAGGCTGAGCCCGGGAAAACGCGCGGAGGGACGGCGGCGCGCGCGTGCGTGTGGCGAGGCCAGGGTGCGCCAAGGCGGGAAGCCGCGGCTAGGGCTCCCCCGAAGCGGGGGGGGGGGGGGGGAGGAGGAGGAGGAGGAGACGGCGGCCACCGCCAGCAGCAGCGCGGAGGAACAGGGAAGCTCTGTTTCCCTCTGGCGTTTGCGTCCGGGAAGGCTCCTCGCTGCCAGTTCCCCACTCCCTGGCGAAGTTTTCCAAGGTGTGGTTTCAAAGGGCAGCCTCCCATCCCTCTGGCGCTCCGTGCCGGGCTCCCGCTGAGCCCCAGGGGAAGCAGCAGGAGGAGGAGGAGGGAAGGAAGGAAGGAAGGAGAGAGAGGGAGAGGGGCGTTCAGAGCGGACCGTCTGGGCGCGCGAGGGCAGCAGCCGGGGAAGGAGGCGAAGAATGCGGGGCTGCTGCCTCCCAGGGCGGCGGGACGGCGCGCTCCGTCGGCGGGGGGGCGACAGCCCTTGCCGCCTCCTCTGAGCACGCTCTGCCCCTCCGCCGCCGCCACAGGTGAGACGGACGGGCGGCTGCCTTTGCCTGCGCGCCACGACGGGGGCGCTTTCCTTCGCGCGCCGCCGGAAAAGACTTCCAAGTTCCTCCACCTGGAGCCTTGCAGCCTCAGCCGCCTCGGAAAGGAATGGACGGCCAGACGTGCGCGGCACCGGCTCGCCTCCCTCCTTCCGGGTAAGCAGCACCCGCAGCCTTTGCCGTCTGCTTCAACGCGCGCGGAAGCAACGCAAACCACCCCCCCCGACCCCCACCCCTTGCAAGCCTCTGCGGCTGATCGAGCAACTTGGCTAAGTTGCAACAAGTTGCCTTTCTGGCGCGCTCCGCCTCCTTTTCTTCTGCCCTGGCCAAGAGGTCGAGAGTTTCAATAGAGGTGGAGCGGGGTGGGTGGGGGCGTTTGTGTTTGGGGTGGTGGTGGTTTTGACTCGACAGAGACCTCAACACGTGAAGAACGTGCTCTGTAGAGTTGCTGTGATCATAGAATCAATGAAATGTAGATTTGGAAGGGACCCCCTATGGTCATCTAGTCCAGCCCCCTGCAATGCAAGAATCTCAGCCGAAGAATCCCCGACAGGTGGTCATTCGATCTCCAAGGAAGGAGAGACCGCCATGTCCCAAGGGAAACCCGTTCGGCTGTCGAACAGCTCTTAGTCGAACAGGGCATTTCCTCTTTGGATTTAGTTTCTGATTCTTCCTGACAGTTTTGGGTGTTCTGTTTGGGGATTGCAGTTAAGACTCGCCGGAGTACTTCTGAGTAAGCATGCTTGCTTAGACTCGCACTGTAAGAAGCACGTATTTCATACTCACGTTATCTATCTATCCATCTATCTGTCTGTGTGTGTATCTCTTAAGCAGTGTATAGTATACACGTTTGCTTGGGACTGGGAGCAGGCTGTGGGGCATTTACTTTGGAATAAGCAGATCAGGACTCAATGAAAAGGCATAAAACCAGAATACCCATTTAATGTTCCACGGTGCACATTTCCACATCAGTGTGCACAGGATTGCAGCCTGGTTTTGTGAGGTTGTTTGTGTGTGTGTGTGTTTGTTTTTTGCAAAAGGCGTTCTATGATATAATGGAGAGCCAATCTGGTGTAAAATGCTGATATTTTTCCTGTTATATTTATAAAAAGTTTGTGTGTGGGAGAAACCCATCCTTAGAAGTAAAATACAATGTGGAAACACTTGGAGAGGGAAAAGGGAGGGGATGTGGACAGAGTGTTCTGGTGAAAAAAGAATACACCTTGCAAGGCACCCTGTTCAGATTCAGTAAATACACCCATGGAGGTCAGGTCAACTTAGCTTCATAAAAGGCAATTGTTGGGCTCGAGCGTTTGAAAGGCAATACCTGGGAATGCTTAGGAATCTGCACAGAGTTTGAAAATCTCCTTGGCTACGTAGCAAACCATCTTTAGCATGTATGTGACTGTGATGTAGAGTTGAAGGGAAATCTCTCTGAACAGGGAAAGTATATGTGGGGTGTTAGTGGAGGGAACAGCTGTGCTTCTAATAAAGAAAACCTTAAAACAAAATCAAAAATGCAATTTCTGGCTTGTTACAATCTAGTAGTGCAAGGAAGGCACTGCAAGAATACCTCATAAGTGCGCTTTATCTTCTCCTTATCGTCCTTTGGTTACTGAAAAGAAAAAGTCACTAAACTGAAAAGTTGGAACTCGCCTCCAGTCCATTGGAATGGTTAGGTTCAATCATGCTTCCAAGGGGAATTAAGGGTGAATGTTGTTCCTGTGTCTCCAGTTCTTTTCACTTCCTCCTCAGGGGCTGCATCTGAAGAGTTAACAAGTGTGCTGACTGTACTTAGCGTTTGTGTACACAAAATAAAAGAACAGGTAGTTCAGCACATGGCAGCTTGACAATCTGAAAATATTGTTGGAGATACTCAGCTGCTGGCCTTGTCCAAAGAAACCAGGAGCAATGTAGCCAGGCTAAGTAACACTCTAGTCTCTTCCCCAAGGCATTTCATTGTTCGTTTTTTGCAGGTATAAATGAGGGTGTGTGAAATAGAGTACGCCGCTCTGAAAATAATCTAATCTGTCTTTTGTGTCGGGTTTGTGTGCAAGTATAGTGGAAGCACAAAAGTGCAGATTTCATTTTTCCCTGTAGATTATGATAGGAATTTACTTTAGCAACAGGCCAGAACCTGTTCTTTCATATCATTGTACGTTAATATGTCTTGGTTATAGGCAGGAAATCTGTTGGGACACCAAGCCTATTTTAAAAGCTTAATTATGTGGAAGAAATATTCCTTAGTAGTCTGGATTAGCTGACAGTATTGCAGAGAGTACTCGCCGTGTCTGCGAGCCAGAAAGAGAAGTTGGAAAGAGAAGAATGGGTCTGCTTCTTGTCTGTTGTCCATGCCGAAGCACAGCAAGTAGGGAAACTGTAACGGAAGAAGAACAAATCAGAACTCAAGTGCTGCTTGCTTTAATAATGCGAACAAAGGCTGTTAAATAAAAACAAGACAATAATGCAAAACGCATGTGCTGTGGTTTTGGGATCAGGGCCAAAGGATGTAATGAACACTCCGAAGGGACATGAAGTGGCTCAACAAAGTGAAAAGGCATCTGCCCCTGAACAGTTCCTGGTTGGTAGACCACCTGCGAACCATATGGAAGGCTGCTCTGAGCTCCATGGAGGGAAGACTAGGGTATAAATAGTACAGATAAGTGGCTGATGGGGTGTTTTTTTGTTTCAAGGCACCTGGTGCCTCCTAGCAAACTTCATTTAGGTTGAAGTCCCTCTGCTTTGTGTGTGCCCCTTACTTTGATTCGGAATGGTGGGATATCCTTTGGCTTTTCATAGGACTCTTAAATTTACAGTGGTACCTCGGGTTACAGACGCTTCAGGTTACAGACTCCGCTGACCCAGAAATAGTACCTCGGGTTAAGAACTTTGCTTCAGGATGAGAACAGAAATTGTGCTCCGGCGGTGCGGCGGCAGCGGGAGGCCCCATTAGCTAAAGTGGTACCTTAGTGGTAACTGTTTCAGGTTAAGAACGGACCTCCAGAACAATTTAAGTTCTTAACCCGAGGTACTACTGTATACCTCTGGGGTTATGGTTTAGACTGCCTACAGTCTAAATTGTTTTGAAATGTTTTTAATATGTTTGTATTTTTTATTGTTTTATTTTTATTTTTGCTGCCCTGGGAGGAAGGCCAGGATAGAAATTTAATGGAATAAATACACAGAAAAGTCAGCTATAAACCAAGTGACCTTTGTTATGCCCCAGTTCATATATTTCACTTAAAACATACGTGCATTTCTACTCCACTTACTCATAAAATGTCTTAGACATGTCATTTTTTGGGGAAGTGCAAACAGATTGTTATTCCATTTAGGATATGACCGAGTAGCACTCTTCCAGGTTTTGTTTTGCATGCTGAGGGTCTCAAATTCATTTACCAGCTTCTCTGGGTAGGGCTGCGTGAAATGCATGTCTAAAACTTTGGGAGAGCTGTTGCCAGCCAGAGTGCAATCCTAGTACTATACAGGTTTCCTCAGAAGCAAGTCCCACTTTGCTCAGTTAAGCTTCCTTCTAGGTAAGTGTGAATAGGATTATGTCGTCAAAGGCATTTCAGGAACAATACCAAAGAAAATCCCAAAGAAAACATCATTGTCTCTCTTCCCTGTACGTTTGCTTATAAAGGCCACGTGCACAGAAGCAAAACCAAGGTAGCTTTGCTTTAGGGAAGGATATGCCAGTGGATATCTGCTGTGGGGACTAGGTAGGAAATGATGTGAAGAAGAAGAGAAGAAGAGTTTGGATTTGATATCCCGCCTTTCACTCCCTTTAAGGAGTCTCAAAGCGGCTAACATTCTCCTTTCCCTTCCTCCCCCACAACAAAAACTCTGTGAGGTGAGTGGGGTTGAGAGACTTCAAAGAAGTGTGACTAGCCCAAGGTCACCCAGCAGCTGCATGTGGAGGAGCAGGGAAGCGAACCCAGTTCACCAGATTACAAGACTACCGCTCTTAACCACTACGCCACACTGGCGTAGTGAGTGAATGAGCTGAAGCATCCCCAAGTTAGGAATGTCCTTTAGGTGAAGTACATTCAGTCCCCTAAATTAGTGTTTTCTGAGATGTGCTGTTAGGGAGGTATGCTTTGAACAAGATGAGAAAACCATTGTTGAGGTCACCTATAGCCTTTTGGTGACGATATCTGTTCCTCCCCTCCCCCTCCATACTCTAAAATGTGGTGTTGAAAAGGAAATATTTGCTAACTTTCATATCCATGTGGTCCTCAACTCAGTGTTGTGTTTTCATTTGTTTGGGGCTGCCATAGCGACCATAGGAAATACTGTAGATATGGGGGGGGGGAGAGACCCATCCGTATACAAGATCAAGTGACTCAGCTAAGTTCCCTTGCTAAGTCATAAATGAGTAACATGTTGTGTATTTCTGGTGTGAGGTTCAGCCCTGGTTTGTAGTAGCTTGGTATCCACTAATCTTTATTTCCCATAATTATTATTTTTTAACTGTTGGAATTTAACTGGTAAACACGATCCACTGAAACATTTTATTGCAGCACAGCAGTTCCCACGCCTCCGTATCTGAACGAGGTTACTGGAAAGATTGTGTAATCCCCCAAAGGGGACAGTGTTTGTAATAGTAATTTCCTATGAATGAATGAATGAACAACACAATGAAGGCAGTCTCTTCCATGAACTGATGTTCATATGTTCTTAGAATGGATGTGGCAGTTAAACCCCACGCTAGCTGAAAGCAATTGATTTTTGAATGAAATATGCATGTGCATTCCTTTATTGTAACATCAAAATGCAGATGCTACGGCTGTAAACATCATCTGGAGGCTGGAATGAGAAACAGTAGGGATCATATGACTGCTGACAGGAGCAGCAACTGAAATGTATGATGCGATGCCATTGCATTGCTCATTTCTCCATTCCACTTTATTAGCTTCTGTTTCTGGGGGTGGGAAAAATTCATGGTGTGATGAAGTCCTATCACAAGGTTTAGTTTCTCGGATATTACTGGGGAGAGAAGGGGAGGAAAGAGATACGGGGAAACTGCTTTAGAGGCAGCCACATGACTTCTGTTGCATTTGATTTTTTTACTATTAAGTTGCAGAAGTACACTCCCCACATAGCCCAAGTAACTTCATGTTTCCTAGCAGCTTGTTCATCCTACCACAAGGCTTTTTTAACTGAAGCAGCAACTCTCCTGGAGTTGGAGAGAACATAGGGAACAAATATGTGTTGCACTTAAATCATCCTAGTTTCTCTAAGTAGCGAAAAATAAAACAGTTTTAAGGGCAGTGTGCTAAGGTCAGTGTTCTAACCACCTTTTCCTCCTTTGGCTCATTCTTGACTCCCTTGCCATCTGAAGGTACAGTTACCTCCCTAGTTCGTTTGCTGCTTCTAGCGTTTGAAGAGTTATGATGATTGTTGTTGTTGTTGGTCTTAATGTTTTCAGTAGTGACATACTCCTCAGATTCTTTTTTTTTTTTTTTTTGGTATCTGTTATTATCTGTGTGCCTTTGTTCCCCTGAAGTTTGTGTTCTTTGCAAAAAGCCGTATCCTTATGATGAAAACAATATTGTATAGATAATTACAAATTGATTCAAAGCTGAATAAAATGCACGGAAAAGCACACATAGGTAAATATGTGATCTGTTTTGCAAGAGAAGTCGGGATAGGATCAGTATAATTGCTTGGGAAGATTGGCATTTCTCAAGAGAAGTGGGAGGTGGGACAGAGGATCGCATGGTTCTTGCTTATGGATTTTACCATACTGGAATTCCGTTCTGCTTTCATTAAGGTTCAGGTTTTGTTCTTTTGTTTATGTTCCCCACCCTGAGCCTTTCAGGTGGGACAGGCTATAAATGATAATTAAGCAGGAACGCTATTGGCTTAACTCTGGCTACAAAAACCCAGTCCAAAGGAAAATGTGTTAAAATGGCTTGAGCTTTGGCCTGTCCGCATGAAGACGGGAGGTGAACAGCTGTGAGGCAGACACTAGTCGTCTTTCTTTAGGGAAACCCTGCTCTGAAAAACATATACAAACAGAAGATATTGGGGTGTATGATGTTGGCTGCCCTTGTAGCATAGTGGTGAGGCAGGGTTTCCCAAACTTGTTGGGAGGACTACAATTCCCATCATCCCTAGCTAGCAGGACCAGTAGTCAGGGATGATGGCAGTTGTAGTCCAGAAACAGCTGGAGACCCAAGTTTGGGGAAACCCTGGGTTAGAGTGTCAGACTTGGACCCAGACCCCCAGGTTCAAAAATTCTGTAAGTCATGAACTCCATTGGAAGCCCTTTGGTGATTCACTCTCTCTCTCAGCCTACGATACAGGGTTGCAGTGTGGGTAAAAAAGAGGGCAAGAACCTTTTATACTACTTTGGTATTTATTGAAGAAGGGACAAGATAAAAATGCAGTAGTGATAACCATAACAAAGATTAGAGAAGTTTGTGTAACAAATATTGAGAATGGAGAGGAAGAATGATCTAGTGAAATTCTGTAAACCGGTCCTTTCTGCTGCAGCTAAATAATATACATAAAATATAATAAATACTTTTGCATTTAAGCCATTTGTTTCTCATCCCCGAAAAGAATGCACTAGCTTTTTCTGTGCTGCAGACCCCCTAAATTTCACTATTTATTTGCCTGAAGAGGGGCTAGCGAACATCACAGTGCAATTTTTTTAAAAAAAACACCAGTCCGACCTGAAAGAATACGATTATACATTTTAAGTTGGCTGCTCAGAATCAGGTTTAAGCACTTCCCTTTCTCCTGCAAAATTGTTATGCACTGCAGCCAGTTGAAATTTAGAAGATGGCTGTAAACTGCAGTGTGTGAACGTTTCCTTTGAAAATATCTGTAGACATAATTCCAAGCGGGCAGTTTCAAAACCCAGTGTTTAATTTTCTTTTATTGCTTTATCATGGAAGGTGCTAAGATGACCTCGTGGTAAGGAGGGTGGAAAGTGATTTTGGTAGTTGTAGTACCTCTTCTCTGTTCTGAAACTAAGCTGGCGCCAAGTAGGCCTATGACGCAGGCCTGTAGTGTTTTTAATCCTGCTGTGTCCAGGAATTGGTGTGGTTCCTAGTATAGCTTGCCAGAAATCCTCATTGCGTGTTTGAAATATCTTCAGTGCTGATGTTGTAGCCTTTCACCACTGGAGAGTGTTGCTGTGGGAAGCAGATCAAGGGAGCTTTTGGGGGTTGGGGAATGTAGCTACCAGAGTGGAAAAAAAAGATGTGTGGGAAGATAATGTGCACATGTGGAGCAGAAACAAGGGTGTGCAAGTAGAATTTAGCTCAAGATGAATGCTATCCTGTCAGAAGTCTATAAACAAATGATAGGGCTTATGGATGACTATGTGTTGAAGGTATATTTTAAGAGAGAAAAGAGGTCCAAAACTTGAGAATATTACTGAACATGTTATTGTGTATATGTGTGTTCTGCAGGAAAATATAAATGCATTTGGGTGCTTTCTGTAATAGTATGGTGCTTTTATTCTTAAGTTTGAAAACAGCTCTTACTGCTAAGCATTTTTATACTTGGAAAAACTGTTTTGACAATTCGGTGTTGTGATTTTGTTTTAGGTGTGAAAACAGTTAGGAAATTTAGATAATTTATTTATTGTCATTGTCCGTATATACACAGTATACACAACAACGAAAATCAAACACCCACTCGAAGACCGGGTTCACATACACATTTGCACGTATCTCCAACACTCTCATCCTATTCAGACATAATCTATAAAAACATATCATACTCCAGAATGTAACATAACCTATTAAAAGCATAACATAACCTAAAAACCTGTCTCATTCCTTCCTACTCCCTGCTTGCTATTCCTTGCAACTGGCCCTGAGATCATTATTTAGTGCAATCAGAGCTCTTGGATAGAAACTATTCAGAAGGCGTGTGGTTCGTGTTTTCATTGTCCTATATCTTCTGCCCGAAGGCAACAGTTCAAAGAAGTTGTGAGCAGGATGGGTGGGATCTCTCAGGATATTGTGTGACTTCTTCAAAGTGCGAGACGTGAAGATCTCATCCAGGGTTGGTAGTTGGAGCCCAATAACATTCTGGGCAATTTTAATTATTCTCTGTAAAGCTTTTTATCCGTTTCAGAGCTGCTCCCATACCACGATAATATACTATATGTTAAGACACTCTCGATGGTACTGTGATAATAGGACAGAAGTAGGTGCTGAGATAGATTCAGTCCCCTGAGCATTCTCAGGAAATACAACCTCCCCTGCACCTTCCTCACAACCATATTAATATTTACAGTCCATGAGAGGTCCTCAGAGATGTAAGTGCCCAGGTATTTAAAACTACCAACCCTCTCCACCTCCTCGCCATTTATGTGCAATGGTAAAAATACGCTTTTCTTTCTCCTAAAGTCAATTATGAGTTCTTTGGGTTTTTTGGTGTTAAGCATAAGATTGTTTTCTTTACACCATTGAATTAACCCCTGTACTTCTTTCCTATAAGCAGTCTCATCGTTCTCACTAATGAGCCCCACCACTGTTGTATCATCCGCAAATTTGATGATTGTGTTGGACTCATACAGTGGGGTGCAATCAAATGTGTACAGGGAATAGAGAAAGGGACTTAGCACACATCCCTGAGGGGCTCCTGTGCTTAATACTAGAGTAGAAGAATAGTAAGGGCCCATTCTCACTGTCTGCGGCCTATCAGTCAGGAAATTCCTTACCCACAGACAGATCTTCTGATGTATACCCAAATTGGTCATTTTAAGAAATAACCTGTCTGGCAGAATTGTATTGAAGGCAGAACTGTAGTCCACAAACAACAGCCTTGCGTAGGTTCCCTGTCGTTCTAGATGACTCAGTACAGTATGGACAGCGATGGAAATAGCATCATCAGTAGATCTATTTCTTCTGTATGCAAACTGGAACGGGTCTAGAGTGGATGGAAGACCAGCCTTAATATGATCTAGCACCAATCTCTCAAAACATTTCATAACGACAGATGTTAAGGCTATTGGTCTATAGTCATTGAGAGATACCACCACTGACTGCTTGGGGACTGGCACTATAATCGATGTCTTCAGGCAGGTAGGGACAGAACCCTGCAACAGGGATAGATTAAAAATGTCCGTAAACACACCAGCTAATTCTGCAGCGCAGTCCCTAATAGCCCGTCCCATGATTCCATCCGGTCCAGCTGCCTTCCTAATGTCAATGCTCCGAAAGGCACGTTGTACGTCACAGGTCTGTAATAAAAATGGTTGTCTATCAGTAGTAGTTTCTGATGATGTGCTGGTAGCCAATGCTGTAGTGACGGTAGTTCCAGTTCCCACCTCAAAGCGACTAAAAATTGATTCAGTTGATCAGCCAGGTGCGCACTGCTGCTAGCCAGTTCGTTTTTAATATTTTGCCCTGTAATTTGTCGCAGGCCTTGCCATACTCGACGAGGGTCGGAGCTCTCAAAATGTTTTTCGATCCTCCGGCAGTACATAGCTTTGGCGTTCCTAATGCCCTTTTTCAATTTGGCTCTGGCTTCTCTATACTGTTGCGCATCACCAGAGTGAAAAGCAGCATTTCTTGCCTTTAACAGAAGATACACATCCCTGTTTAGCCAGGGCTTGTTGTTAGGGAACACCCGTATTTGTTTGGTGGTAGTGACAACATCAATGCAGCTTTTAACGTAGAACAGTACTGTTGAAGCGTATGTGTCCACATTATTCTCCACAAAGAGCGACCACTCGGTGCTCCGAAAGCAATCTTGAAGTTGCTCAGATGCACCTACTGGCCACACTCGTATCTCTCTAGTTGATGGTCTAATTCTGCGTACGAGAGGTCTATATGATGGTATCATAAGTAAAGATATGTGGTCTGACTGCCCCAAATTGGGCAAGGGCTTGGTCTTGTATCCATGCATGATGTTACTATATACTCGGTCCAGGGTATTTCCCCCCCTAGTGGGACAATCAACATACTGGTGGAACTTAGGGAGCACAGTTCTTAAATCGGCTCGGTTAAAATCACCAGCAACCACAAATGCTCCATCCGGGTGGGCCCGCTGCTGTCTGCTAATAGCAGTTAGCAGGTGGCCCATAGCTGTAGTAGTGTTTGCATCGGGAGGTATATACACCGCTGTTATTATAACAACATTAAACTCACGTGGCAAATAAAAGGGCGGCACTTCACCACTAGGTACTCCAAGTCAGGAGAGCAATGCGTGTCCATTTGTTTGATGTCCGAGCTCCAGTTGTTATTTATATAAACGCAAATTCCTCCTCCTCTGCTCTTCCCGGATTCGGCGGTTCTATCCGCTCTAATTACTGAGCGTCCTTCTAGCTGCAGAAGTCCCTGTGGAAAGGAGGGATCCAGCCACGTCTCTAGAAGGACCATAACACAGCAGTCCCGGATACTTTTCTGCCGAGAGGTAATAAGTTCCAACTCCTCTACCTTGTTGGTTAAGGATCTCACATTTGATACAAGGAGACTTGGCAATGCAGGCTTGTGGGGATTTTTACCTAGCCTCACTCGTAGACCAGCCCTGCAACCCCTCTTCTGCTTGCGCCCCCTCCGTTTTCTTTTCTTTCTGGCAAGGAGAGCAAGGGGAGTTACCCAAGAATGTGCAAAATATGGAGGCTCTCTGATAAGCTCAGCTGGAATGTTATAGGTTGAGACCTCCTGGCTGCAACCTTCTCCTCTGCCGATACTTAAGAGCTCTTGACGACTATAAATTACTTGTGCCTGAGTATTCACAGTCCCTAGCAGCAATAAGTTCACAAGTAAAAATAAAACACAAATCACTGAATACCGGTCTTCGGAGTGCCGAGCCGCTGCAAGTGCTTGCGCCGCCATCTTAGATCCAGATGGAATCGGTAAAGAGCAAGAACACCATACTATTACAGAAGGCATATTAAATGCATAAATATACAATAAAGCAGTTAGCAATATGTAAATCTGGTGTGCTAGTATTGCACCCATAGGCAAAACAATGCCCCTGAACAGCACTGTGCTCTTAGATACCTTCTGTCTCAATATTTTGACCCTTACCCAGCCTACCACTGCATCCAGTCGCTGGCTTAAAACAGTCACAGACTTTTGGTTTGAAACACAAGGTTCTTCTTATTCTAAGTTTGAAACCATACTGGACCCTACTAGCAGCTTTACTGCTAGGAGACAGTCCATCTCAAAACAATCTTTCCAGTGAAAACTAAGGAGTTGGTTTTCTTTGTGCAGCCTGTTGAGGCCTAAACAACATTTTGGATAAAGTCGTCGACCATTTTGCGTGGGGGTTCTGTTCCCGGCCACCACATGCGTTGGTGCAGCATGTATAAACGTGGCCCCCCTGCCTCGTTCTGCTCTGCCCCTGTCCTACCTTCTTCCAGATCCAAAAGGACCTGTTCATTGACAACCACACGTCAGTTGGATGCATCTAAAATGGTCACCGCCTGTACGTGTAGCATAAATCTGCATCTTGAAGGCCTGTGTTTTGCATGACAAAAAAGATGCCAGCTTTGAAAAGAAAAAGGAACAACTGCTACACTAATGCATGAGTAAGCATGCCTGGTAGGCAATGCGGGTTAAAGTATTTAGCGCGTAAGTAGTTTTATGTCATATAGATAACAGTGGCTATATGCCAGTTGTTTATATATAAACACTGTTATATTGTGTTTTTTCTTTAAGAATGATCTGAAGGTTCTGCGGCGATTAAGGGAACAATCTTCATCTATCTGGGAGGTGTTGCCCTAGGGAGCCTGAATGTTTGTCAGCTGCTGAATATGATGAAAAATTGTTTTCTTTTGTTGATTTGGCTGAGTGCAGCAGGACTCTCATGAACTCTTAACAAAAATTATACTGAGAACTATGTGAGAGAGAACGCTTCTTCAGCAAATTCTTAAGACTTGTGAAAGATTGCTGAGTAATATCTGCATTATTCTTTCTTATTCATAAACACAATTAAAATGCAGTGGACAAGAGTTTGCGAATAACACTGGGGCGTGTTTGGCATTTGTGGAAAGATTTGTGGCATTGCGAGGGAGGTTGAAACCTGGCAGAAGGCGAGGCCTTTGACAGGGACTTTTGCATCCCACAGTAGTTTAAATCCAACTCTGGTCCCTGTAACCTCACTTCTTGCAGTGAGGGAACCGCCAGGAGGTCCTCAGAGCTGGATCTGTTTCCAGAATGAACGATGGAGGTATACAGGGCTGAAGCTGTTTAGGGCTTCAGCACTTTGAATTGCGCTTGGAAATGTACTGGGAGCCAATGTAGAAGTTTTAGGACTGGTGTTCTATATGGTCCCGGTGGCCGCTCCCAGTCACCAGTCTGGCAGCTGCATTCTGGATTAGTTGTGGTAGTAATAGTAATAATAATAATAATAATAATAATAATAATAATAATTTATTTATACCCTGCCCATCTGGCTGGGTTTCCCCAGCCAATCTGGGCGGCTTCCAACCGAATATTAAAAACAATACAGTGTCAGACATTAAAAATTTCCCTAAACAGGGTTGTCTTTTAAAAGTAAAATAGTTGCTTATTGCCTTGACGGGAGGGTGTTCCACAAGGCAGGTGCCACTACCGATAAGGTCCTCTGCCTGGTTTCCTGTAACCTCACTTCTCGCAGTAAGGGAACCGCCAGAAGGCCCTCGGCGCTGGACTTCAGTGTCCGGGCTGGATGATGGGGGTGGAGACGCTCATTCAGGTATACAGGACCGAGGCCGTCGTAGTTTCCAAGACACCTTCAAAGGGCAGTCCTATGTAGAGCGCATCATAGTAGTTCAAGCAGGAGATAACGAGAGCATGTACCATTATGGCGAGACAGTGTGCAGGTATACCAGATGCAGAAGAGCCTGCTGGATCAGGACTGTGGTCAACCCAGTCCCAACATTTGTGTTCTCACAGTGGCCAAAGAAGATGCCTTTTGGGAAGCCCAAAAGCAAGACCTGAGCACAACAGAACTCTCCCCTCCTGTAGTTTCTAGCAACTGGTATTCAGAGGCATAGTACCTTTGACAGTGGAGGTAGTACAGTGGTACCTCGGGTTACATACACTTCAGGTTACAGACACTTCAGGTTGCTAACCCAGAAATATTACCTCAGGTTAAGAACTTTGCTTCAGGATGAGAACAGAAATTGTGCGGCGGCAGCGTGGCGACAACAGCGGGAGGCCACATTAGCTAAAGTGGTGCTTCAGGTTAAGAACAATTTCAGGTTAAGAACAGACCTCCAGAACAAATTAAGTTCTTAACCCGAGGTACCACTGTATAGAGAAATCAGAAATGGTCTCTATAGTATCTCATTATGTAGAATATAAATCACAATAAGGCAGTGAGTAAATATCAAAGTAATGGATAAAAACAATACATGAAACAATCCAACCACAGAAAAGTGTAAAACAAATCACAAAATGTCAATTCATAATTGCTCAATAACAAGGGCAGTTCAAAACAACTCAGAAGCCTAAAATAAAACGGTCCCTTCCAACAGGCTGTACAAGAAACACCCAATTAATTCATATTGCAATAAAACCCAAGAACCATTAGTATTATTCATAAGCTTAAAAACTGCACGATTAACAGCCTGTAAGACAAGACCTGCCATTTGCCAGGGAGGTGGTGGCGAATCTTTGGAAGCCCAAGATGTGCTGGATGTTAAGTAATCTACTTTGTTAGTATGGGAAACGTGGCTCAGTCTTATTTAAAAGGCGTCTTTGAACAGCCCACAGAGCAGTGTGAACAATGCTTGTTCTGTATTAGACTAACAGAAGCTGGGCTCTGACATTCCTTAAAATACCAGTGGCCGAAAGAATTTCTGATGTGGCCTGATGACTTACCCAAATTCAGCCTCGATTAAATTAGAAACCTAAACAGTGTTGCTTTAAGATGCAGTGCCGTTTTGTTTGTGTGCTTCTGTGGAAGACTGTGACTTTTCCTTTTCTGTTAATAGTGGTGCATCTTAAGAACACTTGGAATTGTAACAAGAGAGCAGTGAAGGGTCTGGAACTCTTAGCCATTTCGGTCCTGAGTTTTGTCTTCTAAGTACAAAGAGATTTTGATTTCTGATTCGCGCTCTCTCTCTCTCTCTCTCTCTCTCTCTCTCTCTCTCTCTTAACTCATCCTATAGAATAAGGCAGCTTCTCCCAACCTGGTTCGATCCAGGTGTTTTGAACTACAGTTCCCATCACCCCCAGACCATTAGCCATGTTTGGCTGGAGCTGATTATAGTCCAAAGCACTTGGGAAAGTTTAAAAAGACTAGAAGAAGGCAGCTGAAGCTGAGTTAATGCTTGCATGCCCATCGCTTGGTAACCTAAATGACCAAAGAAACCAGTGCAGATCACCCTAACTGTCAGAGTTTCATATCATCTCCAGTACATTCCCCTACTCCCAACAGAAAGAGTTCACATGTTCAGCATGTACATGAGTCCCTGAGTGGTGTAGGATAAACCATGTACATGCACATCTGAATTAGCACATAGACCAAAAACAAATCAGAAGATGAACGTAGAAGCGGATCACAAGAGTTTCCATGGTTTCAGTCTAAATGGCTGTATTGCTTAGTTTCAAATATTCCCTGCAAATAGTCTTGTGTGTGTATGTGTCATCTGTCCCTTTCTGACTTGGTTGTTTTTAAAATCAGAATACTTTCCCTAACTTTCCAGCATAAAAATGTCATCCTTTTAGAAAATAATCATATGCTCCTCACAAAACGTATTAGAAATATACTTCCTGTTTGTGTGCCCATTGAGTAAGTAAGCAAAAGATTAAGCAAGCTTTGGGAATCGTTCGCCATAATAGGTTCAGGTTCAGCCACTAATCTTACCAGAAATGTGGTGGGAAGCTTGCAACAGGCTCTTCCTGTTGTACAGATAACAATGAATATTGTTTTCTTTGTTGTCATTGCACTGACTTTCACATGCTTTCAATTTAAATTGTTTGCAGCTGTTTTTCAATCAGAGTTAAATCAGACAATTAAAGAAGGGAGAGGAATACCTGAGTACCTCCCTATTGTTTAGCACAGCGTTGCAAGTTTACCAACTTTTGCAAAAGCCACTTAATATGTTTGATGTTTAGGTAGACAGGCAGAACAGATCTGATATTGCAGAATGATGCAGATTGTGTCTTTGCTTAGCTATGTCGTGTAATAATAGGAGGTGTGTGGGTGCTTTTTATTTTTTAACTATTAGGTGGGTCAACATTTGTGGCCTAGGGAACATATAAAAGTTAAGTGTGTAGTATCTCGGCCAATTCAGGAAAGTGATTTTAAAATCTCCCTTGCGTTGTTGTTCCCTTGCTCCATTGCTCCCTTGGTTTGTTGCATGTCAGGTGCAGCAAACTGCAGACTTACGTGCTTTCCTTGCTCCAACCCCTGTGTGGCTGAGAGAAGATCGAGAATCTTCTGCTTCCACTTCAGATTGGCTGCAGTTTAGTGTGTTGTCGGAAATGCAAACTGTAGTTAATCTTAACTGGATGGTTGTTTCTTTAACCTAGCCAACTTCATATACTACAGTTTGAAATTGGCTTGTTTTGACAAACCACAGTTGTGATTAACCTCAGTTTGTCTGGGTGTGGTTATGAAGAACAAACCATGGCTACTCTAAAATGGAAGCCAAAGCTTCTAAACCACCTCCTCTTGGAGAAGAATGAGCCAGGTAGGGTGCATGAGCCTCATTCTTGCTGTGACTTGTCCTCATAACACTAAACTATGGTTCAGATTTCAGCTTTATGTGTGAATGAGACCACTGAGTTAGACCATTGACTGTTTAACTGAGTACAGTGGTACCTTGGGTTAAGAACTTCATTCGTTCTGGAGGTCCGTTCTTAACCTGAAACTGTTCTTAACCTGAGGTACCACTTTAGCTAATGGGGCCTCCCGCTGCCGCTGCGCAGCGCGATTTCTGTTCTCATCCTGAAGCAAAGTTCATAACCCGAAGTACTACTTCCGGATTAGTGGAGTCTGTAACCTGAAGCGTTTGTAACCCAAAGCATTTGTAACCTGAGGTACCACTGTACTGACTACAGTGACTGGGAGTTGCTCTCCGGGGTTTGAGACAAGAGTGCTATTTGGAGATGGCAGGGATTCTACCTTGGACCTCTTGCTTTTAAAGCATATACTCTACCACTGATGTGTGGCCTATCAGCTGAAATCATGGCTGTGAATTCATTGACAATTGTAGACGTTGGTGTCACACATCTAGGCCACATCAACTCACCATCAAACGTATTGATTTACTCATGAGAATTGGTGATCATTATAAAAGACGAGTCAAAATGTGTGTTACAGAGGACCAGACTTGTAGTTGTAGTACTTGTAGCAAAATTGTAAAAAGAGGTGGACATGAGATTTGGAGATTAAACGCTGCAGCTTTATTAAAATAACCGAAATTAGAAATAACCAGTAGGATGAGCAAAGTCGGGAGTAATTAAGCCACCTGCACTTGCCAGGGCAACTGGTATGACTGTGCAGCCACAAACACCCAGGGCTCAAGCCTGAGCCACCTAAATAGCATCTGTGGGCTAATCTGTAAGGAGGTGAGTAGCAGATAAACACATAGCAGCTGACTAGCTCTGCTGTGTAAAGCCTGCCAAGGCCCTACCCCAGAGCCACAGAGCACCATGTAATCCTTTCAGTAGGTGCAGAAGCAGGAGTTGCCACCATGATAATATATCTAGAATACAGAAATCAGACAACCAAAGTCCTAACTGTATACTGTTTTTATTTCCTAGACCTGGACAGTACCACAAATATGGTGCTGATAACTATCCTTGACTGCAAGTAAATACAAAAGCAGGACCCTAAATTGCCTCTTAGAATGAATTAGAAACACAAAGACTGTGCTTTCTAAGTTTACTTGCGTTTCTAAATTCTGCTCTCTGTTTATCAGAATGGCCAAACACTATGAAGCCGAGGTGCTTATTGGGATATTAAGAAGCCTTAACATTCTCTTCCCTTATGGTTGTGCAAGTATTAAAAAATCGTTCTCCTGATATTGCTCTTCCAGTCCTTAATAGTGAGGATGCCTTACTGTGCCTGTGAATAAATATTACAAATCACAGGAACATTGCAAGCTTGAGAAATACTCTTCTTTTTCTTGGGATGAAAAGGAACACACCCAAAAATTACCTGGCATAAAAACCCACTCTGGTCTCTCTCTCTATTTATAGTGGTGTAGTCCTTGGTTTTAATTCTTTTCCATCGTCCAAACAGCCAGCTCTTCATTCTACAGTTCCTTACGCTGAAAAGCAGCCAAAACTAGCACAGGAGAGGGAGGTGGTTGTGGTTGTGGAAGGATTTCCAGCTTGCCAAAACTCAGCCCAGAGCAAATTTGTTTATGGCATAGTTGTGTAAACCTTTGGGAATCATATTCATGGAACAGCTGAAAGAATCACCCTTTGCAATATTGCCGGCTGGTAAAGGATAGGCTTTGTGTAGTGTACAGGCAGGGCTTGAATAGTTTACTCAACACCAACAGGTTGGGTTCCCAGAAGAAAGTTCACTTTTGTTGTGACAGCTCGGAGGCTTCCCTCCTCCCTCCTTCTCATTATACAAGTAGTCATTACTCTGATGCAGTCATAGAAACTCTGCTTGCTTTCAGAAGGTAAGTAGCTGGGATTTTGTTGGTGTAGTCAGTCCTTTCAGAGTGAAGACTACAATAACAATCATACTTTTAATTTATGTCCTGTCCCCTGATGAAGTTCTGTTGCATATTCATCAAAGATGCCACTTTGAGTTGCAGTTTGGTGTATAATTGCTTTTTCTTAAAGTTAGCTTTTATCAACAAGTTTCAGATAGAAAGACAAAAAAGCAAAGTTACTTGCAAAATAACTATAATAATGAACATATTTAACTCAGACCTTGAATTTCAAACACAGTTAAGTTCTCTGTAACATGCTGGCATCCCTTGCCCCCATTTTTACTCTCATCAGATTTTAACTATGGAATTAAAGGAGAGATTTTAATGACAGAATATTGCAGTACTAGTTCTGGTGAGCAAGAAGTGTGCAAATATGCACTGAATTTGCCATGGCATTTCCCCTCCAGAATATTGAGGTTTCTTCTCTTTCTCTAGTACAGGTTTATAAAGTCTCAGATCAGAAGAAACCATTCATTCAGTGTTCATGTCGCCATCATAATTTTGAAATTCACAAAGGTGAATCAATAGGTTGTCCATACTTAGACATTTAGGTATTCAAATCTAACTGATAAATGAACTCGGGGTGTGGGAATCTGGGTAAGCATATATTTAAAACGAATATTAATATATATTAAAATACTATATTGAAAAGCATATATCAAAAAGAACTTTTCAAATGTGAACCTAAAGAGTAATAGCTTCGTGAGCCATCAGTTTGATTACCAGATCTTTAAAACATGTAAATTGATGCCTTATATTGTTGATCATCCCCAAAGCATCTTGAGAGTTTGCATTTTTCGTCCTGCTTTTAGGAAACGGAGATATTACTTCACTGGGCACAAACTGAATACAGTAATGTACATTTGGGTATGCACTGTATTTAAATATTTTACACTGTACCTGATTGGCTACTTCAGTTCTATTGTGGCCTTTTGTTTAAGATATTGCTTGCCTCTGATTTGGTGATTGAAAACTGATGTGGAAACTTGTGAAATACTTGCTGTTGGGTAAGCAAAGGTTAATGTAGTCCTGAAATTATTTCCTAGAATCATAGAATGGTAGAATTGGAAGGTGCCACAAGAGTCATCAAGTCCCAACAACCCACAGTGCAGGAATCTTTTGCCCAATGTGGGGCTTGAACCCGCGACCCTCAGATTAAGAGTATTCTGCTCTACCAACTTACTTGACTTTCTCTGCATACTGATTTAACAGTGAGCTTCTTCAGCCAGTGAAAATGAAAGTACGGTAGTTGTTAAACAAAAATTTAAAATGCATTGGAAAAATTAGTAGCTGACTGGTATTCTGTAAACAGCCTTAGGGGTCAATATACTGTCACCACGTTAGATACTGGTTTGCTAATTGCGCTTTTGGGGTTAGTTACACAGCTAACACCATTTGTTGTAACCTGGTTTCTGGTATGTCAAAAGTTGGCATTCTGGAAAATTTTACACTCATGTATATGAGTTTTTAAATATTTAATTTGGATAAAGCCCTTTTACATTTTTAAAACCAGACATCTGAACTTCTGATGCGAAACAGATGGCTTTATTTCAACATTTTGTTGTCACATTGCATCCACTTAGATTGTTTAGCTATGTCCTGATTTCTTTCTTTCCTTTTTTTCTTTTTTCTTTTTGCAAAAGATTGAAGATAAAATCCAGATGCTTCTCAGATAATGCCAATGGATGTTTCTTTCACTGGTATTTTAGAGCAGCCTATCTTTTAGGGTTTGGTGTATTGGAAACAGTGCAGCAGACTGGCGTGACCCAGAGATTTGGAAGAAGCCAAAACACTAGGTAAAATATTTGCATTAACAGGCCACTCATTTGGGTGACTTATCAAATTATTTCTGTGGATACAAATGCAAATGTCTTATTATTGAAGGGTCATCCACAAAACATGTTTAGAAATGGACCTGTTTGCTGAAGCTGATTTTTTTAAAAAAAGCAAATTGACTTGATTTATGGGATTGTATTTGGAAAAAGTGGCATGGATTACTTGCTTCAACAAAACGTATTTGTTCACATGAATCAATCCTGTATCAGTAATCAATCATCATACTGTTCTTTGCTGCTGTCAACAGCAAGGATGATGTGGGTTAAACTAGAACCTGGTTTAGAGAAAAAACCCTTGTCACAGTTAGGTAAAGATTGTGTTTCATTGAACCTGTATATCGGTGACAACTGTGGAATGTTACTAAGAGTTTAGGAGTGGTTTTTGTTGGGTAAGCTAACATGCCCTGCTGGCCTGATTGCCAAATCCTTGGCATCACTACAGTTACTGCTTATCATAGCTGGCTCTCAGAACGGAGATTAAAATCATGACCCAGTTTCAGTCTGTGGTCTGAGAGCAAACTATGGCCTGTTTTGCATGTCTCATTAAATAATAGTTAACAACAAACCATGGTTAAATGTTGAATGCACAGCCTGTTGGTGCATACTGTTAAAAGGTTTCTCACTCCCAGTGGCCTCTCTTCATGCTGTGGGCAAGTTGCCAGGAAACAAACTAGAGTCCGGCTTCCTGTGATGTCTCTCTAAATAAACCATGTGACATCTCTCTAAATAAACCATGTCGACCATGCACCAGCACATTGCTTGTTCACACGAAACAATAGTTTGTTTTTAACTCTGGCATAATGCCATTTGGAAACTGAGTTGGTGTGGACTGTCAGCAGTTGTTCCATATCTGGAGTAGATGGATAGAGGAATACTTTGTGGATATTTCTGTTTCTTAAAACAGGACAGCATAAGAATGGTATGCGTCCATAAATCGCTGTACAGTGACACACGTAATACTTCAGTTCCATGTGTATAATATGACACACTCTTTGGCTTTGCGTTTTGCAGCGGGGGAGTAGCCGAGATGCAGAAATAGCAGAGAACGGTTTTTTAAAAGTGGAATTATTGGTGGACTGAGCCAAGAGAGAGGGTGACGTTGGGACGCATGTGTGTCGTGTCTCCTTTCCAGAAAATAGTTGGAAGAGAGTTGCATAGGTCCTTATCACTGCCTAGCATTTTAATAAAAAAGAAAGAAACTCTTTTATTAGTGAAATGGCAACTCGTTATATTTTTTTACGGAATAGTATATTGGTTGCTTTATATGTAATGAAATTAATACTACTTACATGCACACAAATGCAGACAAACATTATTTTTAATTCTGGTTAGATAGTTTCTTTGGGGGGGGGAAGTGTTCATAAATAAATGTAAAGTTCCTACATTCATCCTAATTCTTAACTGTGTGAGATAGGCAAAGCTGCTGACATGCTTAAAGCATGTACATTCTGAGCAGGCTGTCAAACTACACTGTCCATTGTGCACACTGCCCCCTTCTTCGTTCCATTAATGTTTTTACCTGTTCGTTTCATTTCAGCTTATCCTTTGTTACCTTAGTACTGATACCTTCTATGCACATGTGTTGCTTTCTTGCAAGACTTTAGGTTTGGCTTCTTTCTTTCTTTCTTTCTTTCTTTCTTTCTTTCTTTGCCTTGAAGGATGGATGGTTCGGTGATAAGATGAGGTTGTTGTTGTTTAGTCGTTTAGTCGTGTCCAACTCTTCGTGACCCCATAGACCAGAGCACACCAGGCACTCCTGTCTTCCACTGCCTCCTGCAGTTTGGTCAAACTCATGTTAGTAGCTTTGAGAACACTGTCCAACCATTTCGTCCTTCTCCTTGTGCCTTCTATCTTTCTCAACATCAGGGGCTTTTCCAGGGAATCTTCTCTTCTCACGAGATGGCCAAAGTATTGGATCCTCAGCTTCAGGATCTGTCCTTCCAGTGAGCACTCAGGGCTGATTTGCTTCAGAATGGATAGGTTTGATATTGAGTCTCCTCCAGCACCATAATTCAAAAGCATCAATTCTTTGGTGATCAGCCTTCTTTATGGTCCAGCTCTCACTTCCATACATCACTACTGGGAAAACCATAGCTTTAACTATACAGTGGTACCTCGGGTTAAGCACTTAATTTGTTCTGAGAGTCTGTTCTTAACCTGAAACTGTTCTTAACCTGAGGTACCACTTTAGCTAATGGGGCCTTCCACTGCCGCCGTGCCGCAACCACACGATTTCTGTTCTCATCCTGAAGCAAAGTTCTTAACCTGAGGTACTATTTCTGGGTTAGCAGAGTCTGTAACCTGAAGCATCGGACCTTTGTCGGCAAGGTGATGTCTCTGCTTTTTAAGCTGCTTTCTAGGTTTGTCATTGCTATTCTCCCAAGAAGCAGGCGTCTTTTAATTTCGTGACTGCTGTCACCATCTGCAGTGATCGTGGAGCCCAAGAAAGTAAAATCTCTCACTGCCTCCATTTCTTCCCCTTCTATTTGCCAGGAGGTGACGGGACCAGTGGCCATGATCTTAGTTTTTTTGATGTTGAAAGATGAGGTTATGAAGTGATAAAATTTGTACAAGGTCTTCTTTCCTCCCCAAATAAATTAGGATAATGAATTACTGAGATATATGTCGTGGATGGAAGTGCACTTCGATTTCTCATTCACCACCCAGGCCTAATAATAGAGGAAGTGGCAAATGGTTGTGAAGAGGGGAGGGCACAATAAGTCTGTCCAAACTAATCAGAGGGTTTTGTTTTATTTAATGGCAGAACAGAGAGAAGGGGAGCAGATTACATGGTGTGGTGTGGGCCTCCCTACCTCCACAGATCTTGTGATTTTTAGAAGATATGGCCATACCATTACATTAAAAGGGGAAAAAATGTGGTGTTTAGGAGCGGGGGGGGGGGGAGGAGTACATTCCACGTAAGTAAAACTGGAATTAGCAGCTCAGCAACTAACACTCCCCAAAATAAAATACTTGCCATGTTGGAGGGTGAAGACTGGAAAGGATTTGTGGAAACAGTGATGCACAAAGCAAGCATACTGCATTTACAGGAGGAAAACAGGATGCTGGTTCTGTTTCTTTTTGTAAAAAAATAAACCCTTACAGTATAAATGAAAGGATGTGTTTCTATTTATAGAAGGAAGTGTTAGACCTTTTAGTCAACTGTATTGCATTAGTAAGTCACCATATTTATTGACGACATGTACCTCCTTGGGGTTTTTTTAAAAGTGTGGTCTGCTGAGCTTTTCCAAAGTGTCTTACTTTCCCAACCTTTTAAAGATGACATGCTCCTTTAATTCCTTAAAATTATAAATGAAAAGATTTGTCTAATAATGTATGTATAGGAGTTTGCTATATACATTGTCTTAAGACTTAAAATCCCACCGAGAGTGATTTTAAAACTTTGCTGTATTATCTTTTAAAATGTTTTCAGCAGGCTTTCTATTAGAAAACATACAAAAAAAATTTTACAATTATTAATATCACAATGGTAAAAAGCAAAAAAACCACACACCCCAGTGATATTGAGGATTAAGGATTAGGGAGAAATTAGGTTCAGTTTGCATTTAAAAGTAAACCCTCCCCCCCAATTCTCCCTTCCCAAAATGATATGCAAACACAGCCATTGTTTGACATTCAATTCACACTCCTCCAGATTTTGCAGTGAAATTCTGCAACCAAATTAGGTGTTCACGAGTGTGCCGGGGGTGGGGGTGGGGAGAGTTGAAAAATGAGTGTACTGGGTGAAATTGCATATAATAATGTATTGGGAGACATATGCAGTAAAGGGTTGAAGATTTTTGCACATCAGAACTTTTTTTAAAAAAAACCAACGCACCTCAGGCTGATGTGCAAATGTGGAGAACTGAGCTTAAGATTGGAATAATGAGAAATCGAGGGAATCTGAAATTGCTATATTGAGGACAACCTGTAGAATATTTATGCAGAGGGAACAGACTCCCATTACTTTCAGAAAAATAAAAGAAAGTGCTAGTTATTTAATCATCTCCCCTACCAGCTACAATTCTTTTCTTTTTTTAAAGAGAACTTTGTCATATTGTTTAGTCTGGTCCTTCTACTAGATCTATACATGCAGCAAAAGATGGACAAGTATGCACATATTCATTGTTCCTTTAAAAAAAAAACTCCTTGCAGGTGGAAAAGAGCATAGTCAAGTGTGGTGATGGTGGAATTTGTACTACTACCTGTTTATTTTCTGTACTAGTTTTTTGCTTGCAAGGTTTTTTTTAATTAAATAAAAGGGGGAATATCACAACATGAGGTTCTTCCTCCTCCAGTTTGAAGTAGGGGTGTCCATTTTGTATTAGGGTTGCTAACCAACCAGGAGAGGGGGAAAAATCCCTGTCCAGCAGGTTTTGTTAGCCTCTAGGCTAGTTGCCAACATTTTTACTGCATAATAAGGCAGAATTTTGGGCTTCTTTCCATAATTCTTTGAGTGCTGTGTGTGTGTTTTGAGTGGAAGGCAGCTGCATGATTTCCATTTTAATTTGCTCCAATCTCTGCTCCTTATTTTTTTCCCACACGGTCCTCCATGAGAAGACTGCAGGATACATCTGTCTGGGACATAGGAAGCTGCCTTATACTGAGCCATTGGTCCATCTAGCTCAGCAGAGTCTGCGCTGACCACCAGCAGCTCACCAGGGTTCCAGAAAGGGAACATTCCCAGCCCTGCCTGGAGTTGCCTAGGATTTTACCTGGTCCCTTCTGCATGCAAGACACATGGTCTATCACTGAACTGTGATCTTTCCTGTCAAGACTGTGGGCTTCCTCCGTAACTTTTCCTCCCTTGCCAATCTGTGCTAGGCAAAGTGGTTGATGTAGCACTGTGGGGAGCTTGCGTGCTTTGCATGCAGTTTAATCCAGCAAACCAAAGGGCTCGGTTTGCAAGTGATGTGGAAGAATCTCTGCCGGTTAGAGTAGACCAGGGTTTTCCAAACTTGGGTCTCCAGCTGTTGTCGGACTACAACTCCCATCATCCCTAGCTAGCAGGGCTAGTGGTCAGGGATGATGGGAATTGTAGTCCAAAAACAACTCAAGTCTGGGAAACCCTAGAGAAGACAATGCTAAGCTAGATGAACAAACAGTCTGACCTGGTACAAAAGCAGCTTCCTATGTTCCCAACACAGAGATGCAACTATGAACAGCACAGTTTGCTCTTGTTATTTAACCCTCGGCATCTTCAATGGCAAGGATCAGGTGGTGGGCGATGAGAAGGCTCTCTGCCTAAGAACTTGAAGTGCTCCTAACAGTTAGAATGGATAATACAGGACTAGGTGGACCAAACACTTTCTGTGTGCATATACGTACATGGAAATATCCCATAGCATTCTGCCAAAAAGCACCATTGTTTTGGTTCTTGAGAATCCCTGTTTGATAGCTGCACATGTGCAGACTGTCCAGTGGTGATGATGATGGGAGCATTGCCATATTTTCCATTGTGGCCTGAGATGGGTCTTCATCCTGCTGGATCAGGAAAGCAGGATGCAAAGGATGCTGATCAGGAACTGTAGCTACTCTAGGAGAACGCACTTGTGTTCATATTTCCTTCCTGTCAGGGGAGGAAGTACTAGGATGGTCCTTGGCCACCACTTCCCTTTGCTAAAGTTGCTCATGTCACCTCTGCCTAGGGCCGTACACCAGCCACAAGATAGGAGCTGGGCAGCAGTCTGGTGCTACGAAAAACACACTGTCTTGGTCTCAAGCCCTTTGTAGCTTGACCAGTTTGGCTCATGGCTCATCTGAGTCTGCTTCATCCACCTGCCCTCCTTGGCCCTCCTTGCTATTGAAAATGGTTATAACTTTCTTTAGAGATGAAAGTAGATGAAATCTTCAAAGTACAATATTCCTTGTGGATAAAACCTGCCAGATTATAGATATCTGGGGCATGTGCTGGACACATCATAATCATAATCATCATTATTATTAATTATTATTTTAAGGAAACTTCTATAACTTTTTTAAAAAAAAACATTTTTTTGAGGCAGACATGAAAATTGCAGGCAGGATCACATGGTTTACATCACTTACAGATTTAAAAAATACTATGTGATTTAGAAATGCTTTTAAGCAAACAAGCAAGCTATTGTAAATGTTTATTTTAAGGGTAGTTCTCTCCGGCCATGCAATAACTTTAACAAAAAAAAGCCCCACGTGCAACTGAACCACGTTGTTAACAAAGCCAATCTTGTGATTGCAAAACGATAATGATTTTAACTTAATATCTGCCTGTCACTCTGTGGGCTGTGGGTGGGTTACAACAATTTAAAATTCAGCATTGAAAACAGTTTTCAAAACTTAACAATTACAAAAAAAAATTCAATGATTAAAAAATAGGCTTGGTCCTGAAAATATGCATCTCTGTTGTCAAAGATCAGGGTAAAGAGCCTTGGCGTTGGAAACCGTGGTTGGCAATTTAATTTATTTCTATATTAATTTTCAAAATCTAAAACTGTATGTGCTACGGGCAAATAAGCTGTGGGAAACACCCTTTTGGCATGGACATTCAGTGGACAGAGTTTTCCACTTGAAACATCTGTGTGAGTCAGCTTTAAATAGGCATTAGGAAGAATTCTTATTCCTTTTATGATCACGCTATATTTGCATAATTTGAAGCTGCTCCTTGTCAGACATTTGGTTTGCATTTATCTGCTGTTCATCTTCAAAAACAGCATCTGCTTTAGAATACAAACTGAGCAGAACAGCAGCATATCACATATTTAGCTTCTGGATAATGTGGCCTGAATAGCCTTTCACCATGGTGTTTAAAAATAAAAGAAAACCATATGTCCATTTAAAGTGCCATTCAAAATAAGATTTTACATTTTTTTCTTTCTGTGACAGAAAATTAATGCTCGTGATTTTCTGCATACAAAATGCCACCTCCTGGCTCAAATCTTGCTCTTGAACAGCTTACCAATCATTAGTTCTGCATAAAATTTATCTTAGTTTTGGTTACAGAATAAGTGTTGTGTGTTCTTCAAAAGAACACAAGAGTTTACAACAACTGGGTTTAGTCTATTATTTCTGTTCCTTCTCATCCATTTGTTATTTGCTGCAATATTTGCCAGCCCTCTCCGTGGGCTATGCCACCAGGGAAATGAGAGGGGCCACTATATTCTTAATTTGGTATAATGGCTGGGATGAGCATAGAGCTCAGTAGGGATAGCCCTTCGTGTGTGGGATTGCAGGTGTAATTTCCTGATAAATGCCTGTTAAATAGGATCAGGTAACGTGGCTGAAAGAGACCCTGGAGAGCTTGGGCCAACCTGAATAGAACTGGGATGGGCGTCCTGTGGCTGTCTAAAAGTTACTGAACTCCAGTTCCCATCAGCCTCAGCCAGTATAGCCAATGGACAAGGATAATGGTGGTTGTAGTGTAATAACATCTGGAGGGTCACAGGTTTCCCATCTTGGAATAGACAATACTAATGGTCTATCTCAAAACAAGTAAGTAGTTATAAGCTTTCTGTTTACTTCTTGTTTCTTTGATGTTTAAGAAGTTCTGGGAATATCCGAAAGTATTTGTAGCTACATACAGCGGGTGGGGTTTGAATGAGTTTGGTTTCGGATTATAGATGTTCCCCAGGATATCAGCAGAACTCTGGGCAAATATTTAGTGAAACATTATCTGTTGTGTATAATTTCTTTAATTCCTCAGGGTTAAAGTGGAAAGAGAACTTAATCAGTGAGAAACAAAAGGAATTGCACAAGATCCCAAACAATGGCTGTATTTACATATTATGTTAAGCCATAAGTTTCGGTTGTTTATTTGAAGGATTTACTTACTGTCCATCAGCACAGATACCATCCAGGGTGGGGCCCAGCATAAAACAAAATATAGATAGACAACTTTAGAAGCAGCTAATCAAAAACAGGCAGCTAAAAACAACGTCAAGCTTACGAACACGTAAAATTCACAGGCAAACAAGTTTGGTTGTATCTGACTAAGCCATTCTCTGAGTTGGGCCCATTGACTTTCGTTAGTCAAGTCACTGGTTTCAGTACGTCTACCCCGAGTGTAACTTAATTAACACAACTAACAAATTTTAACTTGGTGCTGAAATGATAACAATGTTGGCACTTATTGTGCTTGTAAGGAGAGGGCATTCTGCAAGTAGGGCACCACCATAGAGAAAGCTCCATCCCTTATCGCCACATAACAATATTCCCCTAATAGTGCAGTGTAGAAGAGATTTTCATTTGTTCACTACGATGTACACAAGCAGGAACAAGCCACTGTGAATCTTGGGCTCACTCTCCTTTGTCCATTTCTAGTGCAGTCAAGCGGATGAGTTTTGTTCTGTGAACTGCCCTGAGACCTCCGTGTATAGGGCAGTATATACAAATTCAATAAATAAATAAAAGAAGTTTGGAAGCTTCAATTTCTGCTTCATCACAGCTTGCTGTGTTGTCTGTACAAGGGGTTGTGTTGAATCTTTAAGACAGCATTAGTACCTAGATTTAGAAGCTGGCTTGTTTGAAACTTGCTGTAGTGAAACTGTGGGGTTGTTTAAAATTGTTTTTGAATATTATACGTTACTTTGTAGTTTGTATTTGTGGGCTGCGGTATTGTTTAGGGACTTGCCGGAGATTGTATTTTTTATTAGTTTGTGTTCATTTGTGTTGTTAACTGTTTTAATTATTTTTTGTTATGCAATTTGTGCTATTTATGTTGCAGCTTTTCGTTGTAACCTACGGGCATTCAAATTTAATAAATAAATGAAATAAAACAAATATGAGAATTTATCATCTGACAAACTGCCATGAGGGAGCTTTCATCTGTGTTGCTTTTTGCAGTTTTGTTTGCCATGTCACAATGCCCAGAAGCAGTTCAGTGGTGATAACTTTGGAAGCAACCATTATTTAGTCTTTAAGATGCCCTGGGTTCCCCTTCTCATGGGAATCCCCTTCCAAACCAGGCAGGAAAAAATTCTATGTGATGCACCCACACAGAGTATTAATGCCTACTGGAAATTCCACATTATTGCCAAGGGAATATGATGCACACTTAACTGTTAAAACTTCCTTTCTATTGCATGTTTTAGTTTTTGAGCTTTCTTTCATAGGAAAGTAGTCAAACCTACAGTTGGAAAGGAGGGTAACACAGAACCCGGAGAAATATTCCTTTAAGGAAGCATTTAACGACGTATGGAAGTTATAGAACAAAATCATGAATTGGTGGGCAACAAGAGAAAGGCTTGGTATACTTATAGTTGTCATGCAGGAATCTGATGCAATTGTCATGCAGGAAGCTCTATTTTTAGTAAGAGTCAGTGCTGTGTGATTCTGCCAAAAATAGAAATAATGTCTCAAGATTGCCCAGCATCTGGGATGGTCTTAATTGAAACAAATGGTACTCTAAAAGTGGCAAATGGCAACAAGTCACTGACAACTTTGCCTAGTGTGTCAAAATATCATGTGAACCTACGGCCTTTGTCTGCATTGTCTGCATGTTTGTTTTTACAGTGGGAAGAATGGGAGCATGATAAAGGAGTTTTGCCAGTAATGGTGTGATACAGTTAGTCTTGTAACCCTACTTCTGAAGATTTTCACTGTGCTGATTTATCGAATCCTATTAAGAATGCAAACGAGCACAGGTTGGTTGCTAGGGGTACAATTGCTGTTGCTTGTTGGCACCTATCTGTCTCTTGGGTGCACCCTTGGGGGAGAGGGCAAGCTGTTGGAAGGTTGCAGCGCTTGCTGTGGCTGTAGAGACCGATGCAGGAGAGACATATTTTGTTGCAGCTGGGGCAGATGAAGTGATCCAGTTGTGCTGATGCAGATGTGCAATGGCATTTCTTATCCCAGCGGCCATCCCTCCTCTGGTCACTGCTATGGATACACAACTTGACTGCTTGTCTCCTGGTACAGCAGTCATCTGCAAGGGATGCCTACATGGCAGAGTTGATGTTGCCAGCCTTCATGTCACGCTTGCAGCCATCTTGGTAACACAGAGTTGGTCTGCCAGTGGGCCTGGTGCCTGAAGCCAGCTCCCCATACAGCTATTGATTACAAATTCAAGTACCGTATTGAATTGTTTATAAATCCCATGTAGTAGTTGAAGCTGGGGAGAATGCTCCTCTTCTGGTTTGAAAACCATTCACATAAAAGATTATTCCTTCAGTCCTTCAGTGTTTGCCTCTTTTCCAGTTGGTTGGTTGGTTTGTTTTGAGAATATTCCTTACAGTCTGGCAATATATAATACATTCTATTGTTTTCAGGTTCTGTGTATACTCAGAGATATCTCTGGAGACTAATTTTCCTCTTTAGGAGATATGTAGATTTGTATTTCAGAGGTATCAAGCAGTCATTCATTAATAGCATTCCAAATATTTCTTTTTGTCCTTTTTGTATTTATCTGATCTTGTGCAAATAAAAAGTATTTTATTTTAAAAGGAAGATGTTTCTGTTCTAGAAACAATAAATAGAGAGCAGATGTACAGCTAAGCTCCCAAGTTCCCATGATTGTTTGTGTGCCTGCATGTGATGGAGATCAAAATTTGTGTACTGTCCAGTATTTCAGTTGGGCGTGACGCAAGTAAAACTATGTGGTGGATATTTAGTTTTATGGTCTCCAGGGGATGTGAGAACAAGTCTTTCAGGTTCTGTCTTCTGTTATAATAGGAAAGCTTTTTTAATCTTTGGGGACGGATGGACACATAACCACATTGTTCATTAAAACAGCTTCGTCATATCCTAGATGTTATATTTGATAATTGTAGGCATGAACAAGATGCTAAGTTAAACGCAAAACAAAATGTGGCTTTGCAGAGAATAGTATAATGTGAAGAGATTCTGTGATGTGTGTATTCTTACTTCCTAATATCCTAGCAAAATATAGAAGCTATTATGTAGAAGACTTTGTACGCTCTAAGAAGCAGCAATAAAGAGAAACATTGGACAGCCCTGGTCAGCAGTTACACTTCGGAACTGTTCACTGAAGGTGAAAGCTGACTTTTGTACCTCACCCCCATTTCATGGGTGTGAAGAATTCTTGGTCAATAGTCTTCAGAGAAAGAGGATATGGGAAAGCTGGGGAACCAGCATTGCTACAGGTGTTGTGACCACGCTTGAAAAATAAAAAACAATAAGTCATGTAAAGGTGCCATATGTAAGTTAGTTTCTGTGGTGCAACTGGTCATCTTTAGGGAAGTTGTCAAATACAGTGGTACCTCGAGTTACATATGCTTTAGGTTACAGACGCTTCAGGTTACAGACTCCGCTAACCCAGAAATATTACCTCAGGTTAAGAACTTTGCTTCAGGATGAGAACAGAAATCGTGCAGCGGCAGCAGGAGGCCCCATTAGCTAAAGTGGTGCTTCAGGTTAAGAACAGACCTCCAGAACGAATTAAGTTCTTAACCCGAGGTACCACTGTACAGTAATCTGTTAGCTTCTTCAACAGGCGAAGGGATATTCTCTCTCTCTCTCTCTCTCTCCCAATTCTGTGAAATAGATATTAGGGCCGGTGCAGAATCTTTGCCCAGTTTGGAAGTGTCTATGAGCAGCTGTCTGCCACTCCTTGGGAGGAACACCCTGACAGAAATCCCATACATAAATAAAATGACATAGTTTGCCTCGTGGCCCTACCTTTTGAATTTCCTTCTATGTTCTCTACCTGAGTTTGGTAGGACACCCCTAAAACCCGCTTTGAGTTAATTTCAGCTCACTGAGAATGGGTTTAGAAGCATATCCATATTAATTTTATCCTAGGGTGGTGATAGGAATACAGGGCACCATAATAGTTGAAAGAATTTTCAGAAAAACTTTAGGAAGCAGCAAGAGGACATGGGCACATGAATACACCTGGAATTTCAGTTTAGTGCTTTTATTTGTAAGGTCAGTCCTTGTAAGTTTTTCTTTTGTTTTCCTGTGCTATGCTTACAGTATTTAAAAATGCATTTTGTAAGATTGTTCAGCCCCATTTCATTGAGTTACCCTAGGAAATAATTTTTTCTTTAGCATATTTATAAATGGAATTAGATCTGATATAGCATCCCTGAAGTTAGCTGGTTTTCCCCTTGACTTCACTTAGATTTGAATCAGGCCTTTAAAATCCTGGCACCAGTGATCAGGAGCTCCTGTTATTAATTTACCAGCTGATCATTGCCTCCTTAAGATGTTCTTTCCAAAAGACCTCAATTAGTAGCTGGCTGTGCAGTTTAGTCATAATGTAATCTTATAGGGTTGGGGGTTTGTGTGTGTGTTTGGGGTGTTTTTTTTTTGTCCAAGCTTTTTATTTCAACAACCTTTTTACTGGAGAGACTGAAGTTTAGTTGTGAGTTGGCAAGGCAATACAGTTAACACTGAGCTTTGGAATTTTTTGTTTGACAAAGTAGATTCTGCTTCTCAGAACGACTGCCCCCCTGGGGTAGGAAAAACTAGAAATAGTTTGCAGCTTGGTTGATGCCCTGACACATTTTAGCTCAATTACCTCATTTTTATGAAGATTTAACAGTTTAAGTAATATGCTAAAGCAAGTGTGCTCTGGTGTGTGTGTGTGTGTGTGTGTGTGTGTGTTGGGAGCAGTTGCATTCCTCTATAATTTGGAAATATTTTGGCAAGGCAAAGTGCAAAGAGTACTAAAAAACAAAACAAAAAACCTCCAGACCTAAGTTAAAAGAATGCTGTTACGTTTTCAGGTGAGTCTTTAAAAGAGTTATGAGTATATAATAACGTGGGGGTTTGGAATAACTCCATGAGGTTTATTTTACTACTACTACTTCTTTTTTGCCTTAAAAAAAATTACTCCTTTTCAAGTGAGTGTGGTGATTTCATCTTTTTGTGAAGCCAGTGCAAAGGAACTGTTGCTGTAATGTTTATGGTGTTACCCATATTGTGGCCCATTTGAAAGCAAGTTTGGTGTAGTGGTGTCTGGCTAGCACTGAGAAGACCCAGGTTCAAATGTGTGCTTAGCCACAAAGCTTGCTGGGTGATCTTGAACAAGTCAATTACTTTTACCTTAACCTACCTCACAGAGCAGTTCTGGGAGTAAAATAGGGACAGGGGAACATGTGCACTACCTTGAACTCTCCAATGAAAATAGGGACATCCTTAATAATAATAAAAATAATAATACCTCAGCCATCTTACTGGGTTGCCCCAGTCACTCTGGGCAGCTACACACACTCTCTCCCTGTACAGGGCCGCCTTCAGATGTCTTCTAAAGGTTGTATAATTACTTATCTCCTTGGCTCGGGGGTCAGATAACTCCTTACCCTCCAACATTTCTGGCTCTGAAAAATAGGGGCAGTTGGAGGGTCTGCTGTAAGTGTGATAAACCTGCAGCTTAGAAAGAGGAAAGAAAGTTAAGGCCTGAGGTAGGCCAGAGCCCTCTTAGGATTAGCTCCTGCGAATGTGCCTGGAGTTGCATAGGTAAAGACTATTTCTCCAGCTGCGACTTTTCCAACCGCAATGTGTCAGAGAAGGCAAAAACAACTCCTGGTGGGAGTTATCCTTCGTGAACCAACAGAGGTCACAGTTACACATGCCTAGGCATTATTATTTGCTTATGAATCACTTTCCACTTGAGTGAAACATGCTATAATGTATCCATAATGCTTTCCTATGTGAAGGCTCCCTTTGAAAATGCAATGCAATGCAAATGCAACCCACTAGGTGGCAGCATAGCTAGATGCTGGTTTAAATATATTTGTTTCCTTTTTAAACAAATCTATATTAAGTTTCTGTATAGTTTTATTTGGCCAGCAAGATGTCTTGTATGCAGGTTTAATTTTGTGGTTCTAGGTGTTCCGAGCTACCTTTGGGGTTATTTTAGCCAATTAAAATATTAACTAACATGGAAGGGGGGGGGTGTGGAATCCCTAAAATTGGTCTAAAATCAAATTTAAACCAGTTGTTGATACATTTCTTTGAAAGTCTGATAAACTGAGGAGTTTCCGTCAGTTATTTGTGATCTCACATAAGCCCACTATATAAAGAGTCTAGCTCGTCCTCTTTTTCAGGGGTCCTTATGGAGGGATTCTTTGGTTTAATTGTGAGCTCTCACGTTAAACAAGAGATTTTGTACCAGAATCTCAAGAAATAAATATGCCCAATTAGGTATAAGGCACAGAGTTTACTGATATGTAACGTGTAGTCTGTGACTCTGGATGAGGCTTGCTTTGTTGTTGTTCTGTTAAAATTTTAATAATAGTTGCTATAATAATAATAATATTATTATTATAATAATATCTGATGGTGATGTCTAGCTTTTGATCAACATATACATCATAACTGAGTGGACCGAAGGTCCGACACCTCATTTAGTCATGAAGCTAAGTCACCCCTTCTCCACATAACCTACCTCACAGGATCGTTGTGAGGAACAAATGAGGTTGGAAGTGGGAACCATGCATGCAGCTTGGAGGGTGAGGGAAAAGTAGGATAGAAATGTATACTAGAAATACTAATTGATAGATTTTCTACCCATCAGAAATATATGGATTAGGAACAGCAACTGAGCAACCTCTGAATGCCTGTCCTCAGGGGGACAACAGTAGGAGTGTGGTGTTATGCTCATGCCTACAGAATGAGCTGTGAAAACAGGATGCTTTGACTAGACAGACCTTTGGTCTGATTCAGCAGAGCTCTTCTTATGCGGTGCAGAGACAGAATTGACATAAACCTTGTTTGCTGATGTGTGTGAATACGCTCGCAACCAAATACAAAGTCATAACTGTGCATCTTTGGGCTTGTGGTGAAAATTCTTGAGGCATCTGAAGATGATCTTCGGTCCGTAGCAGTGACTACAAGAATCTGGGCCACGAGACACCCGGGAGCAAGGAAGCAGCATTCACCAGAGCTCACCCTTCAATGTTTAATTTGTCTCTTTGCCATGCCACTAGAAGGCCAAACGAGATGAAAGAAGCAAGGCGGTGCCTTACCCATACCTGAGGCAGTTTACTGAGGCAAAGAAAAGGTGTTTGTCCAAAATACCCTTTGGTAGCTGAATATCATAATCTCAGTGGATTGCTCCGAACTTCCAAAAACCAGGCATTTGTGTAATGAAAAACATTTGGCGACGTCTAAGATTACCAAGCTGTCAACTATACTAACTATTCCTGTAATGGGCGGCAATTGTTAAAACAATTTTGCTGAGGTTTTGCTGAGTTCTGGGGTTTTTAAGTTGCTATGGCCTCACTTGTAATGTTAGTATTTTGAAAAATAGTGTACGAGCACTCCAGCGAATTCAGGCTGTCAGTTAATGTGGGTCTCTAGCAATATCAGCCAATCAAACACCGACCTGTCAATTCTTGTCCCTCCCTACTTGCACAGCTACTGCTGCTGCTCTCCTCCAACTGGGAAACAAAACACCACAGTTGGATGCCTGAGGTCCTTGCCTTCTATCCCAGGCACCTATCTGTGGGGTGCTTTGTTTTTCAGCCGAAGGAGATGGATGCTGGGCAGGCAAGCTGCCAAGTCAAGAGAAGAATTAGGAAGATTTTGGGGAGTCTGTATCCAACTTGCCACATGTCCTTTCTGTGTTTAAACTCTTTCATTTCCTTCTGGTCATCTGTGCTGTGATGCTGGGGGTCCAGAAACAAATCTTTTGCAGTGCTTTCCCATTTTTTTTCCTTTGAAAAGTTTGTTTTACACTTCCCCTTCTGCATTTCACAATATCCTTCTTGGAGCCAACTCTTTCTGCTACTCTCTGGTACCTTTTCAAAGGACTATGTCAGATCACACAGAGAACCCCTCTCCCACATAGGAAATGCACAGTGTACCATGTGATAGTTAAGGATGTTATTTTTCCCCTCCATAAAAATTCTAGCATCTCGGGCTGAGTGCCTTTTGAGCATGTGCTGTTGGCTCTGTTTTGTGGCACTAATACAGTAGTGTGTACTGTACTGTACACTAGTGGGAGCTGAGTAACCCTCCTGGAGTATTCCTGGTAAGCTGTCTTTTGGTTACCAAGAGTTAGTGATGATATCTTCTGTGTCCTTCCTTACGATGCACACTGAGCTGAGATCTGGAAACTTGCATGAGTGAAATTTCCTTACGCAATAAGAGCTCAAATAAATTAAAGATTTCCTTCAATTCCAAATTGTCCAAGTGCCATCCCATTCAATAAACTCCAAGCTTTCTGCTGAATTTTAGAGAAGTAACAAACGTGGATTAGTATACACACAGGTCCTGCTTTTACCAGGAAATTGTTCGTTAGGCGAGCATTCATATAACAAGCTGCAGATTTCCATTATTTCCTACAGGAATATTTCTGATCTCCAGTCACACCATGGTTTCATCCTAAAATGGCTGCAGCCAACCAGCAAAAGAGAAATTGGAAAAAAACCAAACTGATTTGTCTAATATCTCTCCATGGTTTCTTCCTGAAAGTGACTTCTGTTGACCAGCAAACCACAAAAGTAAGGAAGTGGGCAATCTCTGACTGTTAGGATATCAGAATCAGCTGTGTAGTGAGGTTTGGTCATAATTCTTTGTTTGGATAACTGAATTTGTGGATAACAAGTGTTTTATTATGAAAACTTTTTATATCAGTTGTTCACTAACTGCAGCCCTGGCATTGGCTCAACCCCTTCCTGTGTGAATGCATTCTACACGATCTTGGTGCGGGTGCAGGTTTCAAAAGGAATGTTGCCCATTATTCTGGTTTTGATCTTCTGTTGTCTTTGAGAGTAAGGCAGCAGGCAATGGAGGCTGGTTGCTTAGGACAAATAGGGCACTGCCACCTCAACCTTGGTCTGCCGTCAGCCAGCCAGCCAGCCCTTACATGTCTGCCTTCTTGTTTACATACAGTCCCAGGGCTGGTACTGGCTGTGAGCTTCCTCCTTCTTAGTCTCACTGTTGCCCTCAGTAGAGAAGGATGGGGACAGACCAAGAACTACCGGTAGTCAGTTCTGCTTTGTCAGTGACTCTGGCGCCATCTGCTGTTAGCTTCCCTGCCTTCTGCCCCACCGGTTCCAGTGGGCACCAGATGGCAGCTGATCTTTCTCCAGATTTGTTGCCCGTTGATGGCCTTTTGGTTGACCTTGCTGAGCTTGCTCTGCTGTCTCCTTTCTGTGCTAAGTCTGTTATGCTCCACCATCTTAATTACTCTAGCTGAACTGGCTTTCTACCTTCTTTCCCTACTCAAATAAAAATTCCTGCGCCGAGAATATATTTATTTTTGCTGTAAAGGTGTCTTCCTCCTGCTAAGCATGTCTCTCGCTATCCTTGCCTGTTTGCTGCTTTATGTCTACTTTAAAGCCAACATTTAAGGGCTTTCATCCACACTTGACTTTTTCTTGCCCTCATTTCCTGCCTTGTGCTCTCTGCGCAGGCTCATATGCTTGCAGTCGCCTTGGTCCTCTACTCTCACTCTTGATTTCCAGTATTTTGTTCTGTGAGCTTGGAACCCTCTCCATGTCCATCAAGCCAGCTCCCTACACAGGCTTCCAGCTATGCAGAGGACTGGTTCAAGCGTTAACCCTGGTTGAGATGCTGAATGCTTTTAGGGGCTGTATTCCTGTTTGCAAATCATACCCCTCTTCCGAGGTGGCAAATTTCCCCACTTCTAACGAGTGAGATTTTTTTCATGGGAGAACTTTTTAATAAATAGCTCCCCAAGGTGGAAATAGGGACGCAGGTGGCACTGTGGGTTAAACCACAGAGCCTAGGACTTGCCGATTATAAGGTTGGCGGTTCGAATCCCCGCGATGGGTGAGCTCCCGTTGCTCAGTCCCTGCTCCTGCCAACCTAGCAGTTTGAAAGCACATCAAAGTGCAAATAGATCAGTAGGTACCGCTCTGGTGGGAAGGTAAACGGCGTCTCCGTGCGCTGCTCTGGTTCTCCAGAAGCGTCTTAGTCATGCTGGCCACATGACCCAGAAGCTGTACACCGGCTCCCTCGGCCATTAAAGTGAGATGAGCGCCGCAACCCCAGAGTCGGTCACGACTGAACCTAATGGTCAGGGGTCCCTTTACCTTTACCTTTAAGGTGGAAATATCTGAGATGGTTCTGAGTTAAGTTTGAAACAAAAGGTAGTGACTTTTAACAATGCTGCAAATATTTGAAATTGCTTTATGATTCCAGGCCTTTAGTCCATTTCTCCTTTCTAATGCCTACCCCCTCATGTTTGTTCTTTTAATAGAGGTACCCGGAATTGAAATTGGGAACATCTGCATCCACATGCATAAGTTCTGTCCCCTCCACGGTTTACTCGCCCGAGTAAAGGGATGCTTCCCAAAGCCTTTCCTGGGCTGCTATCTCTTTGGTATTTTGTGCCTCCTGCCTGCTCAGTACACCTTTGTTCACGGTGCTTCTTTTTGTATCCAGCACCTGTTGGTTCCAAGAAAAATCTCCAACAGTAGAAGCAGTTGATTGAACACTCAGATTCCTTCAGCACAGGGATACATTGGCTACTTCGACGCTACTGTCAATGTATTTAGATGCCTTAATCTCATCCAAGTGGAGGTTTCCGTAGCAGGAAGTAGATCTTTCCATTACTATCAGTTCCCAATGTTTTAAATTGCAACCCACCAGGTTGCTCTGATTTGTTTTATTCTGTATGAGCTACCAGAAAATATTTAGGCTGCTTAATGCAGTTTCTGGAATTAGCTGAAGCAGACATGTCAGGATTACTGGCGATCCAAATCTGTAAATGTGTTATCTAGGTTGTTTTGGTCCAGCAGTGGGATTATAAATAGGAAGGCTTAATGATGTAATTAGCTGAAGAGCAATGGATGAGGCGAGATGGTCAGTTCGTCTATATGTATGCTTTAGGGGTTTATATTGAGGTGGTGTTGAAGAATCAACATGTGTCGAGTTTGGGGTAAGCTGAACATTTAGTGCATTGTGATAAATATATTTAACTTGTAAAAAAAAACAAAGGGAAAAAGAGGCATTCTGCGTTAAGAAGATTGGGTACACTAAAATTCCAGTGTTTTAAAGCTAGTGTTGATAATGCAGACTGATTTATGTGAGTATACTGTATATCCTAGTAGCTGGAGAGGTCTGGTATCACAGGTTATGAAGTTTATATAGTCAGTATCGATAGTTGTCAGTGTCTCTGTTTAATCTGTTCTTTGTAATGGCTTAATGCTATCTTGTAACCATACTTGGGGTGAGTTTATGTTTACAGGACAAAAGAAACTTTATATTCAAAGTGTTGGCTAGTTTTGTATTATTTATTTTGCAACCTTTGAAGCTCCGCTTTAAAAACACAAAATCTTAGTCATTCTTTATTGGTTGTGGATATTTTAAATAGTATATTGCAGACATCTCAGCCGTGGGCTGCAGTCCATGATTCATCTGTGGGATTTAGAGGTTCATAACTGCCTGGCTGGATTATAGCCGTGAACTACAAATAAATTTATTCTAATATTCCCCAATGCTGAAGTCTGATTTGCTCGTTTTATATTTGGATTAATTTAACTTGCTGAGACTGCTTTTAGAAATGCTACTGGCTGCTTCTATGTGATGTTTTAGTTTTTCAATAATACAAATTGAGCTTTATGTATCTTTTACACTTTGAAAGGAACATTAAGAACAGCTGGAAAACTGGCAGCATAACTGCATGTGTGCTTACTTAAAAATAAGTTCCTTTTAATTCAGTGGTACTTGCTCTTAGGCATCTGTCTGTGTGTAGGATTGCAGACTTATTTAAAGTGCTTCCACATTAGGTGTTCAGAACTGCGATTCTTTGTTCACTTTCTCTTCATGGAGTACCTAGAAAACACCAGCTTCATTGTTGTCCTGTATTTTCCCTGTGGTTATTATGTCTTTTCTTAGGCTACAGAAACGCACATCACTTTCCAGAACAGGAGAATAGTGCATCTCTACAGGTTTAGGTGCCTTTAGTGCTAATCTTTTGGCATTTTAAAAGGATGGGGTTTTGACACGGTCGGTGATACATTAGAAAAGTGAACATACAATGACTTAGCACACATTCATTATAACCTTGTTGTTTTATGACCCCGTTTTGGATTACTAGAACACTTTGCTGGCTATTTTAATGAAAGACCTGCAGTGCTATGCCACCATAATGCTATGATATTATTATTATTTTTAAAATATATTTTAAAAAAGCATTTCTGGTTGCTCCCGTTTGAGCAGTGACCAGAAAGTTTCTAAATTCATTTTCAAAAATTAATAATATTGTATGATCATGCAGTTAGCATTATGGTATGGTATGCCTTGTTTTCATTGAAAAATGCAGTTAACACAATAGCAGTATAATGCATTTTTTTCTTATTATGCTATCATATTCCTGTAATAAAAAGCACAGTAATCCTGATTGCGTGAAAAGTCAGTTGCGATTCTGCTTGCAGTGGATGAACAAGTTTTGGGTAGCATTAGGAGCCCCCCATTTGGAAGCAACTTTAGTCCAGGGATTTTAGTTCTATATTCATTCAAGCCATAATGAATAAATAGTGAATGCGGCTGGTGGTTAAATTAGTTTAATTTTAATGAATTCATTATACAGTGGTACCTCACTTTTTGAAAGTAATCCGTTCTGGAAGACCGTTCAAGTTCCAAAACGCTCAGAAATGGAAAACTCAATACGGAAGTCTCAAAACGTAAAATTCAATATGGAATCTGCGTTTCATGTTTGACTTCTGAGGCGCATTCAAAAACCAAAGCATTTACTTCCGGGTTTATGGCATTTGAAAACCGAAATGTTCGTCAGTGGAGACGTTCGAAAACCAAGGTACCACTGTATTCTAAAAAAATTTAAGCAAATAATATAAATGAATGCTGGGCTAAACTTTACTGAGTGTCCACTCCCCCGTCTAAATATAGATGTTCAGTCTTCAAATGCTATGATTTTTAAAGCACACTGATGTCATAATTTATCAAGAATCTCAGCATATCTGAAAATGACTTTGCCAGAAAAACACCCAAGTTGCAACAATTTTTTAACAAAGACCGATTCTTAAAATAACTTGGGTGTAGAGTTCTGTACAATTAGACTACTTTTGTATCAGGCGTGTGTCTTTGTTTCAGAGTCAATACATTCCCCATGGGTAGGTCTTACTAAGTCTGTATGTTTCAAGCCTCTCCCTTCTTTTGATGAAAAGGGGTGGGAGCGGGGAGACAAAATATGATAAATTGAAGCTGCTAATTTTGTACTACATCCCCAAACTTCAATATTCCTTTTTTCCTCAATTAATTTACATATTAAATTGCTGAAACTTTGAATATAACTTTCTGTTGAATTATTTGTGTTTGTTTCAAGAAGACATGTTAAAAAGATGACAAGCCGGTTGTTTCTTCCTTTACTGCTTATATTGGCTGTTGCTCATACCACGATGATGACAGAGTTTGTTACTTAAGAACAAGGATGATTGAGGCGCAGTAAAGGTGCCGTCTCAGCAGCTGGCGGTGAGTCACAGCAGACTTGGGCTGGTTGACAGGAAAGGAAAGACTAGCCAGGCTAAGTAGCCAGGCTAGAAGCGGTGGCCTAAGTTTGAGTCTGGGGCAAGGCAGTAAAAGAATTGGAGTTGTCCCAATGGGTTGGCATACCCACCCGCCAAGCTTTGATAGGCAAGGCAAGCTTACTCACGAGACTCCTTTGCTTTGTGAGAAAGTTGAGCATGCAGATGATGCACACTGTGTCACGCAGAGGGTAGATCTTTCCCCAATGACAGCAGCACCAAATGCTTGGTGGCCAGCTCTGACTCCATCCCTTTGCCCCCAGCAGTTGGTTGATGCTCTCCCTGGGTTCCATTGATTCTTCCCTGGGAGAGAAGAGTGGAGATGGGAGTTCTGCTTCCCCGTCCAGAGCAACCATATCCTGGGAGAAGAAAGTACCTGTCTCCTCCTGCCTTTGTTCCTTGTTCCTTGGATACAGCCCCATCCTCCATTCCCCCTCCCCATCCATCTCCACCTGTCATTCCACACCTAAACCCGGTGATGCCTCGAGACATATGACACTCCTTGATGTTTGACTGAAGCATTAGTCATTGGAGGACTTGTGCAGTTTTGTGCCTGCCTTTCTGTCTATTGAGTTGCACCAAGTTAGAGAGCTGAAAGTCCAATAGTGTTTTTGGAACTCACCTTATCCTTGATGTGCAGATGATCAGTGACAGGAGACGGGGGACTCTGTGACTCAATCTCTGGGTTAACGGTCTATGCCTGAAACACAGGGTGCGCTGTGATCTATATCATCAGAGATGTTTTGTGTATGTGATATGATGGGAAGTGCAATACGGAATCTCCTTTCAACACATGCATTGCCCATGGCTGGATCTGTTACTCGGGTGTCCAATATGCTGCTGCTCTTAAGTTGCTGGACTCTCAACAAGCATCAGCCCCAGCCAGCATGGCCTGTGGTCAGAGATGATGAGAGTTGCAGCCCAACATTTAGAGGGGAACAGGTTGTTTAGTCATGGTCTAGTACAGTGGTACCTCGAGTTACAGACGCTTCAGGTAACAGACTCTGCTAACCCAGAAATAGTACCTCGGGTTAAGAACTTTGCTTCAGGATGAGAACAGAAATTGCATGACGGCCGCTTGGCAGCAGCGGGAGGCCCCATTAGCTAAAGTGGTACCTCAGGTTAAGAACAGTTTTAGGTTAAGAACAGACCTCCAGAATGAATGAACCCAAGATACCACTGTATAGTACAATGCAGGAACATTTTAGGGGACCATAAAAGGAGATGGTGTCCCTTTTCTCTGCTGAAACTTCCCCTACTCCACAAGTCCCAAATAGTATTTTAAAACTTTAATTTCCTGGTAGATGGAGTCCTGAGCAGAAATATTTGATTTGGGGTTGGGATGCGGTAATATTGGGGATTCCCACTTCCTATCATTGTAATTTTGAACATCAAATCTGTCTTAGACTTACATTTTGTATGTATTTTATTGTGGGTTTTAACTGATAATGTTATATTTTTGGTGTATCTTCTGCATATCACCTTGAATGCTAGTTGACTTAGCAATTAGTAATTGATAGGAATAAACAATCGCTTCACTTCATATTCCTCTTCTGTGAAATGTTCTGCATCGTTTGAGTATATGTTCTCTCCCCCCCCCTTTGTGTTTTAGATGGCTTATTAAAACGTTTGTTTTATTTATGCTTAAATTTACTTCAAAAGTTCTCATATCGGTGTACCATAGTGTGAATAAACTATTCACAGAACAATATACACAACATTAAACTGACAAATTAACACACTGAAATGCAACACTATCTCCAGAACTAAAAACAAAACCCCAAACAGAATAGGGCATGATTCCAAAATCACCTAAGATATTTCCATTTTGATTGAAAATGAATGAGACGCAGGATAATAAACCAACCCTTTTGATAGCAGCTTGCCATTAAATTTCTTCAGATGCAGCACACACTATTTAATCTATCACCTTCCTTGCCTGGAGACTAAGTTTAGAAACAGGTGAGTCTCTGCTCTGATGGGGATAGGCTTTCCAACACCTTGCATAGCTTGCAGCTGCTTCAGAGGTGCTGGCTTGTCGAATTGAAGGAACTTCTCCCCCTTTTTGCCTTCCTCTTTTTCTACAGGAATTTTAGAAGCAAGTGGGCGTGGTTTATTCGTTCCTCCTTAGAGGCAGGGAATAAATACTGGCAACTTCCACGCACACTTTCTGTTATTGGGGAAGCATTCTTTCTCTTCTCCAGAAAGGAAGAGAAAACAGAATTTGGGAGGAGATTGTGTCCCTTTTGGAGGCATTTCCATGGGTTGTTCCACAGGCGTAGCTGTAAAAATGGGGAGAAGAACTGGGATAAGAGCTACCGGCAACTTAGGAAGCGGCTTGTAATGTTCTGTTTAAATAGGACTTTGAACTGTGTTTTCCCTCCCGCCCCTTCCATGTACTAAGAGGAGAGTAAAAGTGCTCTTTGTATTCCATGCTTGGAGCTGACTTCAGAGCCATACACCAGAACAGCTGCTGGTGAGGCACCTACTGCTGGAAAAATACCTGAGGTAAGTCTAGTTATGTGACTTACCTGCGGCATGCAGCTAGAGACATTAAGAGTATAGAGGGGTCTGAGGGCGGGAGTGTGTATGGGGGGAGTGCTTTTTACCATTGACTGCTTAATGCAGTTTCTGTATTTCCAAACTTTAAAATTCTTACAAGTAGAAGAGTAAATATGTAAGGGTTTGGAAGATAGATTGGCACTTTCTGCCTTTGAGACTGTAACAAAGCAGAAAAATACTGCGCAAGTTTTGCATAGTTTTGTGGCATTAAGATTGCAGCCCTGCACATACGTCCCTAGAAGTAACTCCCATGGAGTATAGTGAGACTTAGATTTTGAATGAAAAATGCATAGGAATAGGCTGTAAGTGCATTCTTTTGAGCTTCTCCAACCTGAATACTGATTTTGCTTGTGACCTTTGCTAGATTAACATGTGTTTGTTTGTTTTTTAATGTATGAATAAAAATCCATTAGCAAAAGCTTTCAGGGAACATACTGGAATTTCTTAAGTCAGTCTTAGGATTTTAATATTTGCTTATTTTCAGAGATATTACAGTGGTTCTTCCTTTATTATTGAGCCTGTTGAAATCAATACAGAACAATCAATAGCTAATATTGGCTAAGAACTATTATCTGGCCCAATTTATAGTAGCAATAAGGTATGGCCAAGAAAACGGGGTGTGTAACACACACTCTCTCTCTCTCTCTCTCTCTCTCTCTCTCTCTCTGCCTTCCTTATTATTAACATCATAGTATTAGAGAGTCCATAGAACAAATGTGGGGTAAAAATAACTTTCTGCTACATTTCAAAAATTAATATTGGGCAACATGCATTATTATATGAGGGCAAGCTGAAGGTTGATTGGAATCTTCCAGTGGAATTTAGTAGTTTGGGTAGGGATTTTTGACTCTCAGCAGTTTTAGCAACAACAAAATGTGCCCCTTCCCTTATTATTACATACAGAATAATTGAGGTTGCTGAGAAGACTTTTTTTTCTGGGATGGGTGAGAACGAAGAGAAAGGACCTTAGTATTTATGAGTGCTGAATATTCCTACTGAGCATGTTCTCAGAGGCACCCTGTTAATAACTGGCTTCCCGAGGCACGATTTGACCCCCGACTCTGATTGTTAGACCTCTTGGCACCCAATAATATTTCATTTATAAGCCAGCAATTCACAAAGTATTTCTGGAAAAGATGTAGCAGAACTGTTGGTGGGGCTGTACTGGGTGAGGATACTTGCACTTTACAACATATTTACTTATTTTTGCATTAATAGCCTTGTTGAGGGTTATAGGCAATAAGGGCTTTCTTTTTCTTTTCATATGAAGGAGCATTTATTCATGCGAGACCATGACTAAAATGGTGCTGTCCAGACACAGCGTTACCACTTCAGTGAGAGCAAGATAGCTTGGTTGGTAGAGCATGAGACTCTTTAATTTCAGGGTTGTGGGTTCAAGCGCCACATTGGGCAAAAGATTCCTGCATTATAAGGGGTTGGACTAGACAACCCTCTTTACTCCTTCCAGTTCTACAATTCTACTTTCTAGAAGGAGAAAGTAGAGAGCATATCAGATTTTCTCTAAAAGGGGTGTCCGTTTCCCCATTCTTAGTGGACACATTACACACATGCACCCCAAAACACACATATTTGCCAAAGTTGCATGGGATGCTGGCCTCCTTTAGTCACCAAGAGTCACATGAGACAGTACTCTAGAATGTGTTGCCTGTCAGAGAATCACCATCCGGCAAGGAACCTGTCTTCCATGTGTCAGGCCGGCAAGGATGCCAGGAGACTGGTAGATGTCTTGTTTGGGAGACTTGATCACTTCAGGTGGAGAAGCTCAGCATTCCCCTTTCTCCATTGTCTGGTTTGTAGCCACGTAGTAAGTACAGTTCTGCACATCTTGTGCAAACCAGCTCTTTCTTGCAAGTTGCTGGCCTGCTAGTGACAGGGCTGTTGAAGCAAAGGCAGTGTTGCTAGCATTCTTTCTAACATGTTGAGCAATAATTTCAACACAGAGATGGGCACTGTATTGCGTTGCATTCCTAGTGGTATCTGCAAACCAAAGATAATCCCGAATAACTCTTAAAGCAATATAATAATTATGATGAATTGCAGCAGCAGGTGGTTGCGAGACATGTGAAATTAAACACACACACACACACACACACACACACACAGCCAGGAAAGCAAACACCCCTCCCAACACTCCATGCCTTGATTCCTACATTTAACTCCTTTTTTTCTTTGTTTATCCTAAGCACTAGTTTGCCATCATATAGAGTTCTCTTTCCGTCTCTTTCTCTCTCCACTCCCTCCCGGTTACTGGAGCAAAAGTCCAAAATGCTGTCCCTCTTAGCCAAATGACAAGGGGCAATGGGTGGAGAAGTTAAAAAAGAAAGAAAGGTTTATTTCAAAGCTGCAGCTGTGAGTCTCTGTTTGGATATCTCCAAAAGAACCAGTGGCTTATGTCTGCAATCCAGCTCCTCTTAGAGGCTGAGGCTGTCAGATCGCTTGAGCTCAGGAGTTCAGGGCTGCTGAGAGCTCTGCTTATTGGGTGTCCGCACTAAGTTCAGCATCACCTCAACATGTACAGCCTCACATTTTAAACTCACTTAATTTATGGTTTTTCACTTCTCAACTTGGACCAGTCATCAGGTATCAGCAGAACCTATCTCACACGACTTTTGTGAAGATATAGGATGTATAAAATGGCTGCAAAATGGGGCTTGGTTCTTGTATTTTAGGCATCACGTTCTGCTTCCTTTCACCAAAGCGATGTATCTTCGTAAACGGACACGTTTTGTTCATCTCCCCACCCTCCACCAGAAAAATTTAAAAGCCAAAAATTCAAAAGTCACATTTTGCAAACAATCACTCAGAACACATTAAAAGGTATTTGCTGTGGTGTGCGTAATTTCAGGTTCTGCTCATGCACATAAATCCAAATGGCATGTTTGCAAACATTGGGGAGCAACTTCAGGCACACAAACATATATAGAGAGAGAACCAACTGCTGTAAGCAAAGTAGTTCTCTCTGCCAGTCTTCTGTCAGTTTTGTAAATGTGACGGTTATATGTTACAGCAGTGGTCTGGAAACTGGTTTTCTGTGGCTTTACTGTCCTGCCGGAAAGTTTTAAAGGCACAGCCCTATGCAGGCCAGGCAAATCATTATGGGCCTTCCTGTACTATTTTTTCCCCTCCAGATAATTCTGTTTCTTTGGCCCTTAAACATTACATCAGTACCATGGGATAAAGCCACAAAAAGTGGCTCTGCCACTGCTGTAATGTATAAACTGAGCAGCAAAGCCACCACAGATGCATTGGCATTTATGGGTACATGCGGAACCAAATGGGGCGTGGGTGGCGCTGTGGTCTAAACCAGGCTTCCTCAAACTTCCTCCAGATGTTTTTGGCCTACAACTCCCATGATCCCTAGCTAGCAGGACCAGTGGTCAGGGGTGATGGGAATTGTAGTCTCAAAACATCTGGAGGGCCGAGTTTGAGGAAGCCTGGTCTAAACCACTGAGCCTCTTGGGCTTGCCAATCGGAAGGTTGGCAGTTCGAATCCATGTAACGGGATGAGCTCGCGTTGCTCTGTCCCAGCTTCTGCCAACCTAGCAGTTTGAAAGCATACCAGTGCAAGTAGATTAATAGGTACCTCTGCGGTGGGAAGGTAAATGGCGCTTCCATGCACTCTGGAACTTGTCACGGTCTTCCGTGCGCCAGTAGCGATTTAGTCATGCTGACCACATGACCTGAAAAGCTGTCTGTGGACAAACGCCGGTTCCCTCAGCCTGAAAAGCGAGATGAGTGCCGCACCCCATAGTGGACTTAACTGTCCAGGGTTCTTTTACGTTTACATGTGGAACCAGTGGTAATCCTGAAACCACTTTTCCTGCTACCTCTGTCCAACACACTGGCCCATTTCCCTTGCGTGGATTTCCATTTATTGTGTTAAAACAGGTAGGAGAGGTACAGATGAAGAAGGTAATCAAGTTCTGGTTGAAACCTGTGGCCATCAGATTGCAGCACAGATTCCTAGATCAGCTTTGTTATCTTCCTCAGGTGAGAAGGAACATAATGAATCACATCTCTAAATGGCCACATAGCTGAAAAGACATGGGTGTAAATCCAAGAGAAAACCTGTGTCTGTAAAAATCATGCCACAGTACTTTCATTGGCTGTGCTGTACATTCCTTTGGCTGGGCAATATGTTAATCAGTGATTAGTCACATGATTTTGGCTTGGACTGCCAAAAAAGAACAACAAAATACAACAATGTGCGCACGCAATCCCTTATTCATTACTAGCAGAGATGTCTTCTCAACATTTGGTTACTCTTCTGATTTTGCCACTGAGACCATTACTGCTCTCCTGTTTTTTCTGATCCTAACAAAACACATCATTTATCATCATATAAGAGACATGTCTGTCCGGCTAGGTGTAGATATGATGTAATTAAGACAACAATAATAACCCCAAACACACACTAACATTGCCACAAAAACGAAGAGAACAGTGCAATTGATACATAAAGAGAAGCACATATTTGAAAGAGAAGCACAGGTTTGAAATCCAGGAGGCTTATTTATTTAAATTCTAGTATGTATGAACCACTTGTGACTGGGGAAACCCAGCCAGATGGGCGCAGTATAAATAATAAATTATTATTATTATTATTATTATTATTATTATTATTATTACTTGCTGTAAATGCATCAAAGCCTATGAGAGTCTTACCATCAGCCTGGGCTAAATTAGACCGTACCCTACAGTACGTTGCTTACAAAAACTAGCATTGGTGAGTGAGTTCTCCTTTGAAGGGCATTTTTTGGCCATTATTAGTCATCTAATAAACAGGTAGGGATGTGGGTGGTGCTGTGGGTTAAACCACAGAGCCTAGGACTTGCCGATCAGAAGGTCGGTGGTTCAAATCCCCGCGACGGGGTGAGCTCCCGTTGCTCAGTCCCTGCTCCTGCCAACCTAGCAGTTCGAAAGCACTTCAAAGTGCAAGTAGATAAATAGGTACCACTCCGGCGGGAAGGTAAACGGCATTTCTGTGCGCTGCTCTGGTTCGCCAGAAGCCGCTTAGTCATGCTGGCCACATGACCCGGAAGCTGTACGCTGGCTCCCTCGGCCAATAAAGCGAGATGAGCGCCACAACCCCAGAGTCGGTCACGACGGGACCTAATGGTCAGGGGTCCCTTTACCTTTACCTAGTAAACAGGTATTAGCAACTTGGGGACAGACTGTTTCTTTGGAACAGTCTGAAATCTTCACCTCAAGAATCAGACTTTTAAGGATTGTAACATTGCACATATAATATGGATTATTTTGCTTTATTGCTAAGGTAGGTAATGCTGCTCTAGTAATTTGTTACAAGGTCAGAGCATTGTTTGCTGTTTGTCAGGCATGTGTGTTGGATAAGACCAAAGGGTGCTTGCCTTGCTAGGTAGTAGTTAACACAGTGGCAGCTTGTGGGATGTAGTAACTTTTACTGCTTAGGGAGCTTGAGGAAAGGGAACTCAATTCCCACATCTGCAGAGATGAGTGCTCTGTTTGATTTGTATTATGTGCACTCCTTGGTTTGTGAAGGAAATAGGTGCATAGTTTATACTTGTGTAATTTTTGCTACTTGGCAAAATTACAAAAGCCACCTAGAGGAGGCGTTTTCAACATGATTGGCATAGAACTTGTAAAAACAAAAAAACCTTTCTCTTGACTCTTTGCAACCGCAGTTGGCCCCACCCCAACCTCTGCCCACGTCCCACGATAACTCTTGCTTTCACTCTTGGCTCTCCTCCCATCGAACCCACCGTTTCCCATGCAGTTTTGAAGAAGAGGAGCTTGAATGCCTGAAAAAGGCATCCCATTTGAAGTTCATACAGGACAGGGGGACACTGTTCTCAAAAAAAAGAAAAAAAAAAGGACAATCACGTTTTTCTAAGGATGGCTGGCAACCCTACATGGATAGCACCTCTTTCTTCACCTGCTACCCGGTATATTTGCTACCCTCCTGTACGTCTCTGTGCCTTATCCTTTTAATTTCCAAGGGAGTAGAAACACACTGCCCGATCAGAATACAATCAGAATAAAGTTTTACCCCCCACATAGGCATGCAAAGGGTTCTCTTCTGGTTCATTTAATGGTTGGTCAGATTTTGTGGCACATACAGTGGTACCTCGGGTTACATACGCTTCAGGTTAGACTCCGCTAACCCAGAAATATTACCTCAGGTTAAGAACTTTGCTTCAGGATGAGAACAGAAATCGTGCAGCGGCGGCACAGTGGCAGCGGGAGGTCCCATTAGCTAAAGTGCTGCTTCAGGTTAAGAACAGTTTCAGGTTAAGACCGGACCTCCGGAATGAATTAAGTTCTTAACCCGAGGTACCACTGTAGTTTGTAAAATGGACCCCACCCCCATGACTTGAGTTAGAAATGGATGTTAGCAGCTGTACCATCATTCTATTTGGTACAAATTGAGTGGTCGGTTGCTTGCTTTCTAAAATAGATTGAAATCTTTGATAAAGTTACTCCGTTTAGACATGTGCAAAATCAACTATTTCCTGCAGCAGTGCTTAGTGAGATAGTGTCTTTTAAAGCAAAGTTATCTGAAGGTATCTGCAAAATGGTTTTGTATTCGGAAGTTTTGGTTTAAATGAATGGCAGGGGATACCGTGCCATAGATTATGATGCCCATAGCTAGACTTATCAGCATTGGGGAGGAAGTGGTAGTTTTACTTGCCTTCAGAAGTTTAAGATATACAGCGGAAGCCTTTTCTATTGGTACCCTAGCAGCTGTTGGCTTGGTGTCTGACTACTTGGGGAAGGAACTTCTTTCTCGTGGTACTAGACTGTAGAATGTTGGGTCACGTCGGGGTCACCAGATGTTGGGTTGAAATCACGACAGACGAATGGTGGGTGTCAAAGGAGAGGCGTCTGCCCGGGGCAAGTCCCGGGGACTCTCTTTTATTGAATATTACAAACATTGCCACAGGTGTGCTTGTGGCTGATTGGCTGATACAAACACAAAGCATCTTGTTGCTGATTGGTTAACATAGGTACAAGGCGGGCATTACATTTTACATTAATCAGTGATAGTTCAAAAGACTGGGAGCGGAGCTGGAACTAGACAGGCATGAATCCTCCTAATTAAATTGTAACTAAGATTAATATAACATGACTAAAACAATTACTAATGATTGATCATAAGTGAAAGGTCCGTATATGTGGTCAGCTATGCATTGAGAACAGAGCATGTTGTTTTTTGTACGTGAACTCAGAATGAACTGAAGAATTGAGGGAATGTCTGGGTGTCCTGAGCTTGGTGTGTTTGGAACAGTATGTGCAGAGCAGAAGGAGACTTCCCAGAATCCAAGAGGAAAGAAGCAAGAGTTTTCATAGTAAGCATAGAAAGATTGCATAGTAAGAGTTCCCATAATGCCACAGTTATGTGCAGTAAGAGAACTGCAGAAAGAGAACTTCCCTTCATCTCCCCCTTTCTTTTCTTGTTTGCGAGGCATTCCAGGTGGATAAGGCAAAAATACTTCGGGATTAGTGGTGTGCCAGCGAATGCCCGAAATAAGCCTGCCAGGGTCGATGGGACAAAAGTACTTCAGGATACGTGGTTTGCCAGCGCATGCCCAAAATAAATCCGCCCACATCTCCCCTAAGGTTTACTGTTGGTGTTGCCATTTCGCAATGTAAGCAGCAAGCAGTTTGCTGGGTGGTGGAGGGGGGGAGAGAAGCCGAGAGAAAAGACTCATGAGGCTGGGAACGCATTGGAGGAAACAGCATAGTAAAATAAAAATGGAAATTATGAAAATAGCATATTGAAAGAGACTACGAAGCCAAGTAAGGTTAGGCAACCAAGCAGTAAGCCACTGGGTGAAAGAATCCCAGAGGCCAGAAAATCCAACGTCCTGTTTAATGTGATGTGTAAGATTTTGCAAATGAGAGATTTGGCTTTGAATGGCTCTAGAATTGTCAGTAATATTGAAACAGCACATGTCATTCACTTGTTCACAGCCATAATGATGAAGCATCAGCAAGTAATCTATCGTGGCGCGGTTCTGTAAAAGCCCATGCTGGAGTTCACTTTGCTCTTTATTCAGAAGGTGAAGGGCTTGAGAAGTATAGTTCAGCGCTTTGCTGCAGAACAAGCTAGAGAATTAATATTTCTACTATTGCGTACAGCCAATCCAGGAACTCCTAAGAGAGAAACAGCTAAAGAGATATATTCAGACCTACTGAGAAGAGAGACAAAAGCATCACAATCATTAGTCAATTAAATATTGCGGCGATATCGAGAGCGGGATAAATGATGCTTCTTGGGTAAAATGATGGACAAACGGCTTAAACAGCAAGGTGTGCCATGGCTGATGTTTGCTGGAATGTAATTAAACGTATAGCCAGGACACGACCAGAAGATTTCCAGTTGAGGGGAAGTGCAAGCTTACTCATTAAATTGAATGGTAGCTTGTAATTGCTGTAGCAAGTCTCTTCCCCACAGATTGAGGTGGATTTTCAGCACACAGGGCTGGATGTAAGCAATGGTTTCAGAGCTATCAGGCAGAGAAACAGGCAGCCACTGTACGCTTTGGAAGAGGTTTGGGGGCCACCCACACCCCAGACTGCAGAGGCAGACTCAAGGGGCCACGTGGGGTCCCAGCAACTACTAGAAATTACAGAAACGTCTGCGCCTGTGTCAATCAAGCCTTCCAGCACAATACCATTGATTTTATACTTACGAAGAAGTTTCTTCTCACCAATCCTCTGGACTACAGCTAACAGCTGTGGAGGGAAAGAAGAGAGCTCGTGCAAATTAGTATCCATAATAGAAGCAGTAGGATGAGAAGGGAGCACCACCAAATGCGCCCAAGACTCACCCTTTTTGATTGCATGGGCATATGGCTCCAGAGTTGAACCATTATTGTGCCTACATAGTCAGGATCCAGAACTCCAGGAATAACCTGGATGCCTTCCTTTGCCGCAGAAAATTTGGGTAAAATTAAACCTGCGACTTTAGGAGGCAGGGGACCTGCCAATTGAGTGGGCATGAGCACAATTTCACCAGGTAGAACAGAATCTTTGGTCTCTTGATTGATCAAATCAATTGCAAATTCAGAGGGTGTGTTCTTTGAAAAGTTTGCAGCAGCAGAAATTAAAGGCGGAAAGCTCTCTAATTTTCCTGGCCCGAGAGTGGGGCCGCAATGGAGTTTCCCGAACTCCTGCATTGATTAGCCCAATGATAGCCTTTGCCACATTTTGGGCATTTTTTAGAAGGTCTAGCCTTAGAGGCAGAACCATCCTTGTGTGCCCCCCCGCCTGGGGCTCTGCATTGCTTGGCAAAATGGCCTGGGCGCTTGCAATTAAAGCAGTTACCAGTAGGCTTAGTGGTTGCTTGGATTGCGCCGGCAAGCAAGGACATCGCATGGCTCTGGCTACCGACATCCGCACAAGCTTGAATCATATCGGCCAGTTCATATTTAGGGCGATGTATGATTGACTGCAAAGCTTTCTTGCAATCAGTGTTTGCGTTTTCAAAGGCCAATTTCTTCATCAATTCATTTTGAGCAGTGGTGTTATCAATCTGCCTAGTGACTGATTCTTTCAATCTATCTATAAACTGATGGTATGGCTCCGAATGCTGTTGCTTAATATTCACAAAGGAGCTCAGCGGTTGCCCAGAAACAGGGACTTTCCGAAAGGCGCGTTGTACACAGGTCGCGGTGCGAACAAAATGTACAGGTGTCAGTGTTGCTTGGGCAGTTATATCAGCAAACTGACCAGCACCATAAAGTTCATTGGCAGTATGTTGAGGATCAGACAGGGCTGAAGCGCTATGTTTAAATTCACTCTCAAACACCACATACTGAGCAGGGGACAAAAGCATGCGCATAAGGTCTTTCCAGTCCTGAGGTAGCATAATGTAACCAGTTGCTATGCCTTCTAGCATCCCTGTCACATAAGAGGATTTCAGACCAGAATCAGCAATGGCTTTCCTTAATTCTCTCATTACAGAATAAGGAAGCGATTCATAATAAATCTGCTGTTGAGCAGATCCAGGGTTTGAATAAGAGATAGGGAAAGCAGACGGCATTTCACCTGGCCACTCAGACTCCTCCTCTAAGGACAGGAGCCCTGTTTGCCTTGCCCGAGAGAGCGCAGCACGCACAGCTCCGAGAGAGCAAACAGGGGCTGTGGCAGGAGGAGGTGGGATGGGGGGGGCGGGAGGAAGCAGGCTGGGGGGGCGGGGTGGGGGGGGAGGATGCAGGTTGAGGAGGGTGAGACGCAGGGAGGGATTGGCTGGGCTGCAAAGGAGAAGGAGGTAAAAGTTTCGGGTAAGGGGGGGGGATTGTCTGCGATGGCGAAAAGTGCTGGTGGCGGGCGAGACGCCTGTGGTAATTTAGCGACGGCATCAGCACATTTCTGCCAAGTGAGCAGACAATGAATCGGAGCCCTAGGTTCTGCAAAAAGGGTCTTTCCGATCTTTTGCCAAGTCTCTACGTCCAAAGATCCAGCCTCTGGATAAAAAATGCATTGGCAATTTATCTCACATAGCAATTGTTCAATTTCTTTTAAGGAAATATTAACACCCACCTCCCGCTGTCTAACTAAATAAAGCAACTCTTTAGCATGCTCTTTCTGGAGCTTAGTCAAGTCCCCTCCCATACTCACGAAGTAGCGCGCTGAGACTTTTCCAGTCGGGTGAAGTATGAGGTTTGGCTGCGTAAGGGATCTGGCACGTCGGGGTCACCAGATGTTGGGTTGAAATCACGACAGACGAATGGTGGGTGTCAAAGGAGAGGCGTCTGCCCGGGGCAAGTCCCGGGACTCTCTTTTATTGAATATTACAAACATTGCCACAGGTGTGCTTGTGGCTGATTGGCTGATACAAACACAAAGCATCTTGTTGCTGATTGGTTAACATAGGTACAAGGCGGGCATTACATTTTACATTAATCAGTGATAGTTCAAAAGACTGGGAGCGGAGCTGGAACTAGACAGGCATGAATCCTCCTAATTAAATTGTAACTAAGATTAATATAACATGACTAAAACAATTACTAATGATTGATCATAAGTGAAAGGTCCGTATATGTGGTCAGCTATGCATTGAGAACAGAGCATGTTGTTTTTGTACGTGAACTCAGAATGAACTGAAGAATTGAGGGAATGTCTGGGTGTCCTGAGCTTGGTGTGTTTGGAACAGTATGTGCAGAGCAGAAGGAGACTTCCCAGAATCCAAGAGGAAAGAAGCAAGAGTTTTCATAGTAAGCATAGAAAGATTGCATAGTAAGAGTTCCCATAATGCCACAGTTATGTGCAGTAAGAGAACTGCAGAAAGAGAACTTCCCTTCAGTAGAATACTCTCTTTAGGAAATTTCATTTTCATTTTAATATTTCATTGTCAGGCAAGAACCTTTTAAAACAAATTCCAGACATTTTAACCTGACCTGGGCTTTTAAATATATATTTGTCCTGCTGTTGTGCTGCTCCTCTAAACTGTGTAATTTTAATATTCTCATTTTCATTGTATTTTACATTGTACTGGGAATTTATTGAAGTGTAGGATGTAAATCCTTGAAATAAAATGTACGCACTAAAAATTTCAGGCTGTGGTAGAAGTCTTGGGCACAATCTAGTAAAAGTTGAGTACCTTGGATTACTATTGATTTTAGCAGGAAAAACCCACACATGTGCGAAAATAAATGGGGTTTAAAAGTGCTTAACGTTTCCTGAATCTATGCCCCTGGCATTGCAGGTTATATAAATAATTTATCATCTCCCCACCTCCCCAGAATATGTTCCTTTTGTCTCTTTAAGGCCACAGCACAGCTTACATCTACTGCAAGCTTCTGTGCAAGCTCAGAACTACTGTGCACCACACATTAAATTTCAGTAGAACACTGCTGGTGTATTTCAAGGGATATTGCTAAATAAACTGGGTATCAAATCTTTAAACGCCAGCAAATATAAACATTGCTGGTTTTCTTCTCCCGAACCCTCCTGCAGCTGAAACTGTGTGTGCATGCCAATTGTCTTCGTTTATAAACTTTTGTAAGGCAAGTTTCCTGCATTCTCTGCTAAGTGCTGTCTCACTCAGTGTAAGTAAAATATTGCAGATGACAGGCAGATGACTTGTTCTTCTCACACTGGTGCTGGTGCCACTCACTTCCTGTTTGCCTTGTCGGGGTGTTTCCTGAAGCAGCCAGCGTGTCTGTCATGCAGGAAGCAGAAAAGCTAAAATAGCACAGACATTCCCAAATGTATCGCTACCTGGATGCGTTGCTTGTGAGGGTGTACATTGGTCTGTCTCTGATTCCCCCCTCCCTTGTGTCTTCAGCCTTACACCTCAGCTGATTTCCTAATCTTTCCAGCTTATTCAGCTGACTGCAAAGGGGCCAGGCAGTCGTTTAAATTGCAAAGCTTCCCATATTGCTGGCATGCAATTCCCTTCAAACGACACTCATTATTTTTCACTATTATCCCGTAATATTAATAAAACAGAAATTTATGCATGGAACCATGACTTTTTTTATTGTTGCCATGTTTATTTCTGCTTTATCTTGAAAGTGCAAGAAAGAGAAGCTTGTAATTCTGAACTCCTGTTTACACCAAATAAATCCGCCTGTACTTATTTATCTGGATAATGCCGCTGATTCAACAAAGCAAGATCTAACAAACTGATTTAAAAGATTAAAAGTATTTTGTATAGAAAAGAAATTCCTACTGCCTGTTAGCTTGTTTCTTTTCCTTTCCTTGCTTTTCTGGTGGCAGTCTAATTTCATTCCTTGTTTTCCTTAGTGAAAGGTACATTTAGGGTCAAACTAGAACTGATGCCAGTAGATATAATTTTGAATGCTATGATTGGGACCCCCATTCTCATAGCTATATAACACCCCTGGCAACTGCTGGGCTGTGGTGTCAGTCCAGATTGGGACTGCCACAGGCAGGATTTATTTAACCCAGTGTTTTCTTAGTTCTCTCCTGGGATTGACTGCAGCTTTTTTTCTTTGCTGGGCTACACGTGGGGCTTGCAAGAAAATGTTGCAGCACGTAAATGCTCCTGTTCTGAGTTCCTGCCTGCCTGCCTGCCTGCCAGCTAGCTAGCTATGACCTTTCTGAGGCTATTCCATTCCATCCATGGATGCTTTAGTTGAGATTCCTGCATTGCAGGGAGTTGGGCTAGATGACCCTCAAAGTCCCTTCCAGCTCAACAATTAGCTATAGTGATTCTATTATTCCTTCCTTCTAAGTCTGCTGGATCCCCATTGGGTTATCTTTCAGGGGTCCTGCCCGTTAAGCCCCCACCCGGGTAAAGTTTTTCTATTTCTGCAAATGCTTTGGTTCCAAGAAACCTGCTGATAACCTCCCTCTTGTGCGTGGATGTTGCTGTTTTAGCTGTGTAATGATAGCTAGTTGGAGAACGCGTTTGCTGTTAGTATGTATGTTGATTGATCTGCAGTCATGCAACACTGCAGAAGTTCAAGTGTGTTTTAAAAACTGCAGGAGCCTTTTAATTAAATGGCCGAGATGCTAACAGTCGGAGCCTCACTGTTAGTGGCTCACTTCAGCTATGGAATCGGGCAACAAAGGCTTACACAGTGGATATTTTCCCCCCCAAGTTATTGCAGGGTCTGACACACTTTCCTTAGCGGCCATAACGACCCTGGCTGAAAGCATGGATATCTGTGACAGATTTGGCTTTAACCTGCTGCTCAAAGTATGCTTTTTTGGCCTTTTGAAGTAAGAAAATGTCATTTGGACTTGGAGCCAGCTGAAAAGCGTTTCTGTTTCCAGGACTGCTGCTGTCCAAAGGTCATATTATCAGATCTACGGAGGGGTCAGTGCCAATTGCTTAGAAAGAAGCAGAGAGCAACTGGCAGAGCTGGCTTCTGGTTTCAGTGTGGTACAAAAAAGGGTTTTCCAGCATTCTGTTAAATTATCAGCTTAATTATCGCGCTTTACGGGGCCAATCACTCTTCCCTTCAAATGTATAAAAGCTATTTAAGGGAAATACGTGATGCATAGCTGCATAGGAAACTCCTTAATACAGAGTTAGACCAGTGGTACATCTATCTCTCTGTTATCTGCACTGATTTGCAGGGGCTCCCCAGTGTTTCAGATGAGGAATCTTTTACAGACCTTCCTGGAGAGTACAGGGGTTCCTTCAGGATTAGAGGAAAATGTTTTCTTTGGCTGGAAGTAAAAAATTAAAAAAGGGCACACACTACCCCATAATCAATGGAACTTGTTAGTCATTTACAAGAGAGGAATAACACGGTCCTTTACTGTGATTTACTTTATTGCTTACTCATAATACTAGAACCTGGAGCAATCCAATGAAGCTGAACATTGGAAGATTTGGGACGGAAAAAACGAAGTACTTCTTTACACAATGCATGGTTGAACTATGAAATGTGCTTCCGATACGAAAGATTCAAATTTCATAGAAAGTGATATGTGTGTGCGTTTGCGCATGCACACCAGTTTTTAAAATTTATTTTAGAAATCCTTAAGTATTCAGTTTAGGTTTTATTTTATCACATGGAATAGGTCAGAATTGGCAGAAAGCAAGCAGGGGGGAAGGAAATTGCAGAGTTTGTATGTCGGTAATCAATAAGGGCAGGAGATTGCTTTCCTGTCCCAAGACCACATTTGTTGTGCAGCATTTGCCAGATCCTGCCCACACAGAAAATCATTGGGTGATCAGAAACACCTGACACTGTATCAGAGAGGGGAGGTCAGTGCTTGGCTGAACGTGAGAGGAGGGGGAGAAACAGTAGAGGTGGGAAATAGCTGACTTACCAGTTCCTTCATCCACTGTGTTGTGGCTTTACCCCAATCCACCCTTTCTACAAGGTTGGGGAAAGTTGCAACTTCCTTTTAAGGCAAAAAAACCCCCCATACTCTTCTTTTAAAGCAAAGGTCTAATCTCAGGGATTAGAACTCCCCCAGTCCTTCCTAAATTCTCCGTTCATACATACATACATACATACATACACATATAAGTCTATAGTTCTCCTGTTTACTTTGTTTACATTGAAGTTCTAAAGTGAGAAATTCCCATGAGGCACGCCAGGCTGTGGTTGTGCATCTTTAATATTATGCGTTATTATTTTTTTAGCTTTATGCCCTTCTCTGTCCTCAAGGCTCTGGGAACTTTACATAAATATTTACAATTTTTGTCTTTCTAAAAATAGTGTCTGGAGAAAAAACAAAGAAATGGCATCCCTCCTTCCAAATATTCAGTAAATGCTTTCAAAATAGCCAATGACTAACCATTGTGAGAAAGAAGATAATGAACTAGATGAACCTTTGGTCTGATCCAGTGGGCCTCTTATGCACCTTTTCCTAATGGAGCTCATGGTATAGTGTTAAGATCACAAAAAACTCACTGACAGCATACGTACATAATTTTACTTTTGTACGCCACCTTTCCGTAGTTAAAACCATGCTCATGGTGGCTTGCGATTATAAACACAGTAAAAGTAGCCATAAACAATAAATTATAAAGCATTTAAAAGTACACAAGCAAATTAAACAGTTTCCATATAAATCATAATAAGATCTAAAATAAAGATACAAAAAAAATCAATATCAAAAACAGGAACAACCACGCTCCCAACCAAAACCCCTAGCAATACCCTAACCCAAGAGTCTGTTCAGCAGCCTCAGCTTTTGTAGCTGGAGTCAGTCAGGGCCTGCCCTCCCAGGCCAGGTGGGAAAAGACCTGTAAGACATGGAGCAAGTCTTCCAGGACTCAGAGCCAAGATGTAGGTGGATGATGATCAGAGCACATACCATGTTGACAGTTGTGTGATAATGATTCATTATTTTCATAAATTGGCATTTTTTAAATTTAAGAAATAAATTAAGGACTGAATTTGGAAAAACCGTCTTCAGAATGCTATGAATTGCCCAGTTGTTTGGTTTTTTTCTTCTTCTCCCATGCACCATTCATTTGTTTTCCCACACTCCTTTTAGAATTACGTTTCTAAATATAAACACTGAAGTTTCACATAACTCAGTACTGTATTCTGTTTGTGGTTTGAAAGTTTTCTTTTCAGAGCTTTCTGAATCAAGATGAGCTTTGTGTTGCACGTCAATTATGCAGTCTGTGCGAGGCACAACTCTTGACTGTCAGATTAGCCTCTAGGTTGGCAGTGGACAACACAGACTGAAGAAACACCACACATCCATGCAGTCTTGTTCTCACTTGTTTCCTTTCAGTTGTCTACTCACACTCTTTCTCGCACCCAGTTCCAGAAGGAAGATAAATATTATTGACATCTTCATTCTGTAAAGCAGAGTAGGCTAACCCGGGGCTCTCTGGATTGCTGCTAGATTCTGTAGGTCATCCTTGACCATTGGCCATGCTGGCTGGGACTGAAGGTACTTGGGATCTGAAGTAGCTTGGAGTAACTTGTTTCATTTGTGCAGTGGAACTTCTCCCCCTGCACTCCCTCCCATGTGCCCCCTAAATCTGTTCTAGGGGTTCCACCAAATTTTGGGAGCAGATTTGAGGTGATGGGGGCAAAGAGGGAGGGACATTCTGTTGCTCAATTAGAAATCCTTGCATTAAGATGTGCCAGTTGGATACTGTCCTTGAAATCCCATCAACATCTGGGGGGTCCACTGGATCCCCACCTCTGTTATAAAATATGTGCAGCAGCGTACTTGTTTTCCTGCTGGTTCCGTCACCTTTTTTCTATGAATTTGAAAATTCTAGTAGTCGGTTTGAGGAAGGGAGGAGAGAGAGTGGAAGCCTGGGCTTTATATATGGAAATCACCTTAATCTCTTCTGGAACCCAGTTTAGTTCTTTGCTATGCCACGTTACTGGAAGTACTTACTGATGGGGACGACGTCCAGTAGGACATCCTTTCACTCCAATTTTGGTGAATCTGTCACTACGGGGCCAGTGCATCAAGTAGTAAGGCTGCCATAAGGGTACTGGAATGCTCTGTGCACCCAGGGGTCCATACTAAGCGGGTGGTGCTGTGGTCTAACCACCGAGCCTCTCAGGCTTGCTGATCGGAAGGTCAGCAATTCGGGTCTGCATGTTGGGGTGAGCTCCCGTTGTTCTGTCCCAGCTTCTGCCAACCTAGCAGTTCAAAAGAACACCAGTGCAAGTAGACAAATAGGTATTGCTGCAGCAGGAAGGTAAATGGCATTTCTGTGTGCTGTGGAACTTGTCACGGTTCTCCATGCGCCAATAGCGGTTTAGCCATGCTGGGCACATGACCCAGAAAGCTGTATGTGGACAAACGTTGGCTCCCTCGGCCTAAAAAGCGAGATAAGCGCCGCAAACCCATAGTCCCTTTTGACTGGACTTAACCGTCTAGGGGTCCTTTACCTTTACCTTTTACATACTATGCAGATATGGGCTGGGACAATCATCATTTTCTCCCATTGAGTTATTTGGGGTTACAATATGGAGTTGGGAATAATGAGAGGGGAAGAGTAATTTTTTTTTTAAAAAAGGGATAGATGAACGCAAGAGTGCTCTCTACCCTCAACGTGAGTCTGGAGGGTCACTGGATGAGATAGTTTAATTATCTTCTGAAACCCCCCCCCACCCACTCCAAGCTGCCTCAGAATTGCAGCCTTAACCCAGTCTTGCTTTTCAAAACAGATGACACATGATTTCCTGCTGCATTCATATATTTACCTGGTCACTCCTGCTACGTGCATCATGCTGTTCAATTTCAAGGCTAAATTGCTTAATAGTTGTGTTTTCTGAGAACAATTTCCCCTCCCTCCCCCACAGGTGTTTACTTAACTTTTGTTTGCTCTAACATTCTGCTAAGTGAAGTTGCATGAAAATGAAGCAGACTTCACAGATCAGACACAAATATAATCTTGCATTGCCTCAGATCCAGTGTTTAATACTATGTGTATGTGTGTTTTGGGGGCTGTTAATACACATGTTCAGCCGAAAGTTATCAAATTACTGTATACTGAATGGAGCACGTATATGTGTTAACTGTCCCTAAGTTGTGTCTTACCACCGTCATGTCCCTCCCTCCGCCCCTGCCCCCAAAATCATTGCCGTTGCAGAGCTGTTCCAGCCCCATGGCTTAGTGCAAGATGGAAGGGTTTTAGCCTGAGCAAAACTAAGTTGTGTATTGCCCATGTTCCTTTACCAGATTTTATAGTGCAACATACTTTAAAGATACTTGGCAGTGTGTTTAAGTAAATGTTATAATGTCTATGTCCAATGCTGTACATTTTAAAATATGTGATGCAGAGCTGATTTTAATATGATTGTAGTATATTTCTGTAATGTTCAGCTTACCATCCTCATGTAACATGTTGTGAAAAGCAAATATTAAAGGGGTAGAGAGAAATTTAAAAACACTGCATTGTTTGATTATGCACTTTGGAGAAGGTTAAATATATCTGTCTCATATATATCTCAACCATCACAATCACAGTTGTCCTTGCTTCAAAAAAGTGGGAAGTTTGCAAAGGGATGTCCAAAATCAGACTGGCAAAACGCTGAAGAACCAATATCTGTTCCATCTTATCACAGTCCTGTGCATTCAAATGAGAATTCCCAAATACAATAAGTCAGGATCTGGACTCTTAGATAAACTTGACTTCTCAAAGTGCAGCTTTGCAAAGAAAAGGCAATTGTGTGAACCAGGAGGGGGAAAGAGCTTAATGGCGGGGGGGGGGAGGGAGACAATTCCAGTATAGTTGTTCAGGAAACCTTGGGGTGCTTTGCAAAACAATCCTTGAATTGCTTGATCACTGTACTGGTAATTCAGTTTGGTCAGGGAGTTTCCCTCGGATTTAGCAGACAACTCAGGAACTGCACAGCTCACTTGCATCCAGGACTCCAGCACTGAAGCCTTTACCCACTTCCTTGCAGTGTTCAGTACTGTTCTGCTGATACGCTTTTTCCTAATTGCGTTAAATTTATGTTCTATTTCAGACGGAAAGCCAAGCCAAAAGCTCCTCGTCCTCCATCTGAGACAAGGATCACTGACTGTTCTTCTTTTGATGATTCAGAACTAACTAATTTCACCATGGAGCAAAAAGAAAACATAATCGACAGAGACATTGAGCTGTCTGTGGTTCTCCCAGGTGATGTGATCAAGTCTACTACTGTTAATGGCAGGTACGTTTAAGAAAGAATTCATGCTGTTTTGCAGCAGAAGTGCTTTAGCACGTACTAATTTCAACCTGGATGTTGAACCTGGAAATCCAGTAATGTCTATGTTGTGATCCAAAAACCCAACAAGCTGTTTGTGCCCACATGATTTTGTTATCTTGCGCCGATGTACATTTGTTTTGTTTTTTAGTTTAAATGAGCCTTGTTCCTTTCATTTTTTTGTCCTAGATAACTTAATTGCAGTTCAACCAGAGGTCCCCAAAGACAGATTTTTAAGACTTCGGGGAATAGTGAAGCCCTTCAGCTATCCAGTGGGGCACAGCTCAGGGAAATGCCAAGGCAAAGGGAAGCTAAGCTTGTCTGGCAAAACTCTAGGAAACACTCTCTGGCTGGATTGAGTGAAAATGTAATACCTTCCTTCCACGTGACTAGGAAAGACTGAGAGTGGGGTTGAGGCACAGTCACATGGCCCAAAGAGAAGGCTTACAGAGAGTAAGGCAACTTTGCCCTAAGCTTTAGCTCAGGTTGATACACAGCTCTGTTGCTCCCAAGTCTTGGTCAAGAGCTTCCTTGAGCTGTGTGTTCCTGTGAGCTAGGGCAAAGTTTGCACAGGTCCCTGGAGCCTTTAAAAAACAGGATTTGGGGGCTTATGCACACTTCTTTCTAGTTTGTGGAAATTGGCCAAAATGATAAAATTGAAAGAACAGGGGGGGAAAGTGGAGGCAGTTCTCAGTAATAATTAACGATGAGCAACAAAAGTGAAAGAAACATTTTCTTGCCTATAAATCTGCCCAGATTATTTCCTTTTTAGAGTGTGGCCCTTCAAGGACCTCTAAATTACTCTTTAGATGCTAAAATCTGCAGCAAAACCTGTGAAGATTGGTGTAAAACATGATGGCTGTTTAAGCCATCTGCTACGTAAGAAAAGCATCTTGAATAAAGTTCTGGGAAGGTGGGCTGGGTATTCTTTCATTTGTGTAGTGTGTGGAGAAAGGAAGGCATCGTGCGAGTCATCCTTGCTGTTTCTTACCTGCTCCAAAACTTTAGTGGAAATTAGATCTTTCAGTAATGATCTGTGTGGTGCCAGGTATTCTATTTATCACATATCCCTAGCCAGTGGATTTGCAGATGTCGCTGCTGTAGTTAGGTTTGGCTGTCTGTGTTTCTTCCTCAGAATTTTACTTAGGAATAGGACCCAGTAAGTAATTTTCCAAAATGTGGCCTAATTTGAAATACTGGAACCCCCTTGAAAATATGTGCAAACATGATTGGCAGGCTGCTACAATTCTGGTGGAACATTGCTTTCAGTTAATAGTTTAAAATTTGTATTTAATGCAGAATAGATGCTGAAATAGAAAAAAAGGTTTGGTGCAAAATACAGGATTTGGTGACTGATGTTTTCACGCTTGAATTTTAGACCGATGAAACAATTACTTAATTGAATTGAATGTTTACTTGCAATGAAATTCCGCTCAGGCAGTTGAAATAAAAATATAATCTGAATCATAGCTTTTTGGGTGGAAAAAAAAATAGTTTGTTTGGGTATTTTGGCAAATTTAGCTTTTTAAAAGAATTGTGATTTGGGAGCCCTTCTAAGTGGAGCCTTTGTACAGGTCATTTAAGTTCAGCATGGTAAGACTTACAAGAATTGATACAGGGTTTGCGGTAGTAAAAGTACTACAGTGGTGCCTCGCAAGACGAAATTAATTCGTTCCGCAAGTCTCTTCGTCTTGCGAGTTTTTCGTCTTGCGATGCACGGTTTCCCATAGGAATGCATTGAAAATCAATTAATGCGTTCCTAGAGAACCGCCTTCAGACCAGGTCCGGGGACAGTCTGTCCCCGGACCTCTTCTGAAGGCTGGGGGGCAAGGGCTTTTCTTCCCACCCCAGCATTTTAAAAGCCCCGGGACAGCGGAGGACTTCTCCGCTGTCCGGGCGATCTTAAAATGCTGGCGGGCGGCATTTAAAATCACCCCGGGACAGCGGAGGACTTCTCCGCTGTCCGGGGCAATTTAAAGCCCCTGGGAAGGCAGGCAGGGGGACAAAGACTTTGCCCCCGCCAGCCTTCAGAAGAGGTCCTGGACCTCTTCTGAAGGCGGGCGGGGCGAAGTCTTGCTCCCCCGCCTTCAAAAGCCCTCCGGGACAGGCAGGCAGGGGGAGCAAGACTTCGCCCCCGCCCGCCTTCAGAAGGTCTTCCCTCCCCCCGCCCGGCTCGGAGCACCGTTCCGAGCCGGGCGGCGGCGGGAGGTCTTCCCTCCCCCGCCCGGCTTCGGAGCACCGTTCCGGGCCGGGCGGCGGGGAGGTCTTCCTCCCCACCGCCCGGCCCGGAGCACCGTTCCGAGCCGGGCAGAGGCGGAGGTCTTCCCTCCCCCGCCCGGCTCGGAGCACCGTCCGGCCGGGCGGCGGCGGCAGGTGTTCCCTCCCCCGCCCGGCTCGGAGCACCGTTCCGAGCCGGGCGGCGGCGGCAGGTGTTCCCTCCCCCGCCCGGCCGGAGGAGCCTTCCGAGCCCGGCGGCGGCGGGAGGAGGTGTCCCCGCCCCGCCGCCAGGCTTCGGAGGAGGTCCGAGGACAGTGGGGAAGACGCGCTGCGCTTCCCCGCTGTCCCTGAGATTTCCCTATGGGCTGTCGTCTTGCGAAGCAAGCCCATAGGGAAATTCGTTTTGCGAAGCGCCTCCAAAACGGAAAACCCTTTCGTCTAGCGGGTTTTCCGTCTTGCGAGGCGTTCGTCTTGCGGGGTACCACTGTAGTTTGTTTTCACTAGACTGTAAAACAGCAAAGAAAAGCTGCATGTGTATTTACTAGTCTTTAGTTATATCTGGGTGGTCCTTGTTCATGAGCCAGCAGGAATTAGGTATGTGTCCTAGCATTTTAAATAAGTAACCACCAGTCAGTGCTTAACTATTTAATGGGCTGTGTCTCTGCATCCCCTGCCCTTCCTGAAGCTGTTTTAGGAGGGAATTGTTTCATTTTATAATACGATTTGCTCTTTTGTATACTTGCATACAAAAATAAGGTTTACGGTAAGTGATTGGGTAAAATATTTCAGGAAGACCGGTTCTGTTTATTGCAATTGGCTAGTGTGGAACTGTCTTGCTGTGCAAGGCCAAATGCGCCACAAACTCCATAAACGTTCAGAAATGTAGTCAAGAGACCTGCTATTCCCACTACAGCAACCAGTCACAGGGGAGGAAGCAGTGTGGAAGGCATATTTTTTCTTCTTTTTTAAAGTTACTCTTGGCTCTTAGGCTGTTTGGTAGTCTTTTGGTAAAATGTTTTGTTGAGCCTTGGGTTCAACAAGGCCCTTTTTTATAATTCAGGGAGGCGTTGTGTAAGCTGTTCCAATTAGGAGGTGGAAAAATTATTTCATCATAATCTCTGTTATTCATTATCAGGGTTGACCCAAGAGCAACTTTAAAGCTTCTATGCTGAACGTTACTGTGCGGTAGATTAAACTTGAGTAGGAATGTTGCTTGTTTTTTTTACAGTCGCTGAGACATTCTGCAGGGTTTTAATCTTACGAAAGTGTTCGATATCTCTGTGCCGCACTATTTCTCGACAGTGTTGAAAGTGGCTTTTGCCTTACAGACGCTGCTGAATCCCAATGAAATAAATTACTGTATTTTTCACTCCATAAGACACACTTTTTTCCTCCTAGGGGAAATGGAGTGAATGCGCTGGGTGGCAGAGGGATCCCTCAGCTACCGCTACAGTCGCGAGCTGAGAGGTGCCTCTGCAGCCAGAGCCATGGCTCCCGTCTGCTGCTCGCTGTGAAGCCAGCAGAGCAAGAGCCACTGCGCAGCTATCACTCTTGCTCTGCTGGCTTCAGCGAGAGCTGCGCAGCACCTCTGGCTCTGCTGCCTTCACAGGAAAGCGGGATGAGGTACGGAAGGGGCTCCATGTAAGGGCTCCCTTCTGTCCCTCCTCCCGCTTCGCTGTGAAGCCAGAAGAGCCAGAGCCGCTGCACAGCTATCGCTCTTGCTCTGCTGGCTTCAGCGAGAGCTGCGCAGCGCCTCTGACTCTGCTGGCTTCACAGTGAATTGGGAGGAGGGACTGATGGAAGCAAGCAAAGCGAGAGCTGCTTACATGGCTTCTGTCCCGCTCTGCACAGCTCTCACTTTGCTTGCCCATCCCTCCTCCTGCCTCGCTGTAAAGCAAGCAAAGCACCTGTCCCGGTGTCTCCTCCTCCTCTTCTTGCTCCGGAGTCGCCGCGCTTTACAGCGAGGCAGGAGGAGGGATGGGCAAGCAAAGTGAGAGCTGCGCAAAGCGGGAGAGAAGCCATGTAAGCAGCTCTCGCTTTGCTTGCTTTAAAGCAAGAAAAGCGAGAGTCGCTTACATGCTCTGTGCAGAATATTTTTTTCTTGCTTTCCCCCTCTAAAAACTAGGTGCATCTCATGGATAGGTGCGTCTTATGGAGCAAAAAATATGGTAGTCTTGAGAGTGCCTACATCTTCTGAAATGTACTGTACAGGGAATGATAATTTTGCACACAACGAAGGCATGTGCAACCACTGACGCGTGCACTGCTTTTGGCCTGCAAGGGGGCAGAGTGGGGGTGGGGCGGGCTGACACCTGCAATGACCTGGATCGCATCCCCCATGCAAGTGGGGAGCTGCCTGTACATAACTGTCTTCTGGTTCAAGCAAGGCAAGAGCGTCTTCAAGAGCCAGACCTCCACCACAACCAAGTCTTTCTTAATGACCTTTGGGGAAATTATATAATAACCATTTATAGTCATATTAACATTTTATTCCAGCAAACCAATGATGGACTTACTGGTATACCTTTGTGCACAACACCGTTTGAATCCTGCCAGCCATACCATAGACCTGATGACAGTCGAGAAAAAGCAGATCAAATTCAAACCAAATACACCCATTGGGATGCTTGAAGTCGACAAAGTGATTTTAAAGCCAAAACAGATGGATAAAAAGAAGCCTACTCCTGTCATCCCAGAGGTGAGATATTTTACAGAAACTTTTTCTACCTCCTAAATACTTTTCATTTAAATTCTAAAGCTTTTGGAGGCAGTAGCATCATTCAGAATTTGTTCATAAAATTGCATATGAAAGTCACTGGAAATTAACCTATATTTGTCTTTGGTAGTGCATGCCTTGTGACTGCTCTGGGTTCAGAGATGAATTGCTGAGTGGTTGCCTAGGGAGGGAGATAGGTTTTCATTCCATGGGTTCCTACCTGCTGTGATCTGCTTTAAGGAGGGGTGCGCATGGGTTTTGCCTTAAGCAAGTGCAAAAAGTCCTTTCGCTTATTCTCAGTTCTCTGTCTCTCATTCCCTGTGAGTTCTATGAAGAGCAGAGAAAGTGTTGACAACCAGGGGCAAGACATCACTACCACGTGAGCCATATTCAGTTCATGAGTTCAAATCCTTGGGATATTTGAATTTGGGGAGGCCTTGTTCATATCCTCTTCCAAGTCTTGAATCTTAATAGGGGTGGCCTAAGCCAAATCTTCATTTCACACTGAGAAGAGCTGGAAGAATATGGGGTATAAATTAGAATTCTATTACATCCCCGCCCCATGAAATGTTTTGTGAAAGTTATTAGTAGCAATGAACTCAATGCACTTGATGGATTGAGTGTCTTTCAGAAAGCAAAAGACTATAATCGGTTTTTAAAATTCCCCTTGTTTCAGCAAACCGTGAGAGTCGTTGTAAACTACAAGAAGACACAGAAGACTATTGTCAGAGTTAATCCTCATGCACCACTGCAAGATATCATGCAAATCATCTGCAGCAAATGTGACTTCGACCCTTTACACACTCTGTTACTGAAGACTTACCAATCTCAGGAAACTCTTGACTTGACCAAATCCCTAAATGAGCTTGGGCTCAGAGAATTATATGCTATGGATGTCAGCAGAGGTAAGATTTATAAACTGGTCTCTTACCAAAACTATTCCTGAAAGTTAATGCTGCAAATATCTTCAGAAGCAGTACAACCTACATGCACTCACTAACCTGTTCTGCATTCATTCAGGCTGCATCGATGTGAGAAACCAATGACTTGGTATCTTGTTTTATTCATTTAAAAATATTTTAGCCACAGGGATGAATTGGCTCAGTCGGAGCAACCTGGCCGAGGAAGAGATTGTCAACTCTCTTTTTTCTCCTTGCACTGTTTTCTCAATCAGAATTGCCCACCCAAAGTTGCTACTGCTGCTCATAGTGTGAAGGCCGGGGAGACAGTAAGCAGAACCGGAGCCAGCGACAGGCAGAGGCAACTAATTCTACTTTTGTCCCCAGACTCACTGACTTCTACAGGGGCTGTGCTGAAAATGAGGAGGAGGAAACTGACAGCCAATGTTACATCCTAAATTGGTTGTAAAAAGGCAGGGAGGTCGTGGCTGGCTATGGGTGGGTTGAAGTAGTTGGGACAATGCCCCATTCATCCCAATGGACAAGCCTCCACTGCTACTTGTCCTACAGTGGGGAGCAGAGTGCACCAATATTGTGCCTGCCTCCCCATACCTCATCAAGACTAATAGCAAATTTTCTGTTCTCTCTCCAACAGTTTCAGCACTTAGAGAGTCTTGATGACAACCAATGATATAATACTTTGGGGTGTGCAAATTATCTTACATGAATTCCTTCTGTAACCATTACAAAGACCTTGTAATGTGATCCAGTATTATTATTTCTGAATTGCTGATGTAAGTCTGAGGCACAGAAAAAGTGGCCACGAACCCCTTTCAGTTAAGAGCTGCCATAGTATTCACACTGGCGAATTCCCAGTTCGATGCTTCTTAGCCACTGCACCAGGTTCTTCTTTCCATTCCCTCTCAGCATCATCTGTCTTTGTGCAGGAAAAAAAATGGCACAAAGGTTGACCTACTAAATCCTACATTTGTATTTCCTACCCTCTCTAGGGGTTCCTGAACTTGCATGCATAAAACTGATTTTTCAGGATAGTAGCAATTGTTAATGGTTGCTTTATTATCATTGTTCCCTTTATAGCGAGAAGCTGACATAGCAGCTTTCATAAATAAAGGACTGTTCAGGTATCAGAGTGCATATAGGATTGCTGTTAGGGGAGGACTGTAGAGCATGCATTTTGCATGCAGAAGATCCCAGCTTCAACCCCTAGTATCTCCCAAGCAGGGTTGGGAAAAATATCTGTCTGAAACCTTGGAGAGCTAAGCACTAGTCCGCCTTTGCCAACTTGGTGGGATCCAACTGTTTTTGGACCACAGCTGTCATCAGCATCAGTCATCCTGGCCAATGGTTAGAGATTATGGAAGTTATTGTCCAAAATATTTGGAGGGCACCATATTGAGCAAGGCTACTAGACAGTACTGAGCTAGATGGGCCCATGGTCTGACTCTGTAAAAAGCCCCATCCTATGTTCCTATGATGCGGGTGGCGCTGTGGGTTAAACCGCAGAGCCTAGGACTTTCCGATCAGAAGGTCGGCGGTTTGAATCCCCACGACAGGGTGAGCTCCCGTTGCTCGGTCCCTGCTCCTGCCAACCTAGCTGTTCGAAAGCACATCAAAGTGCAAGTAGATAAATAGGTACCGCTCCGGCGGGAAGGTAAACGGTGTTTCCCTGCGCTGCTCTGGTTCGCCAGAAGCGGCTTAGTCATGCTGGCCACATGACCCAGAAGCTGAACACCGGCTCCCTCGGCCAATAAAGCGAGATGAGCGCCGCAACCCCAGAGTCGGTCACGACTGGACCTAATGGGCAGGGGTCCCTTTACCTTTACCTATGTTCCTATGTTTGTTCAAATACTTTAAGATAAATGGGTTGTTCAGATAAATAGGTTGACAGATAAACAGGTTTCCTGCCTCCACTCTGGACAGGCCACATGTATAGAAACTGGGTAGGTCTGCTCTTGTCTTACATACCTCCTCAATATATGGGTGTGTCACTTTTTGTGTTTTTGTTTCGGTTAAGTATTCTGGGCTGCTTAGATCAGGGATTTTTGGGTCCCTTATTGAACATTCAATAAAATGCAGACAGAAGTTACTGAAGCCTTTCATCATGGAAGCTATTAATTTTAGGGGTAAGCACCCATTTTCATTTTGTTTACTGCTCTTGGACAAGGGAGACGTTTAATTTATCTTGTTAAGTTTGTCCTTTTAAAGTTCTTTTGATCATGGTGTGAGTTCTAGACTAGTTTATTGGATAATTCTAGATGGAGCCAAATACACACCGAAATAAGAGCTTACATTAATTTACCTTCAGGCAGTTAGCAGTTAGAGATGATGTATCCATTTCCAAAACAAAGTGTTTGTTATAATCTTAGTTATATAGATTGCCCTCTTCATTCCATTGTCACATACTGCTGTTCAAAATTTTTAAAATGCAATAGATTTTTTTTTAAAGCAAGTTAATAAACCAAATGTTAGAAACCCATTTTATATTAATATTGTATAGATATCTTCATAATACCAGTGTAGTTTTTAAAAATAATTTTCAAGTCTCAGTTTTGAGTCCCATGTTTGAAATAAAAAATAAATAAAATGACAAAATTGCCTCTGAATTCCATTTTCCAAATACTGACATACTTAGAACTGAATGGTACTGTATTTTTTAAAACTATGAACGTTTGTTTTACTAATAACAATTGTTAATTACTTTTACAGCTGAGGAGGAAACAGCAAAAAACAGCTCTCAAAAGCATGGTTTTGTTATATCCTGCAAGAGATTTGTGCATGGTAGAAACTTTTAGGAGTGGCATTTTATACAGTAAAAAGCAAATATTAAATTTACAAATACAGTACTCCAGCATCTGAAGTGGTGGTTAATATCACCTGCATGTTCCTTGCTTTTGTACTTAGAATTCCAGCTTTTATTCTTAAAAAGTTTACGTCTAATCAGCCCTTCGTTTCATGATTTATTTCCTACGAAGCATTTGGGTCTGACAATTTGGTCTGGTTGTATGCCAACGGATACCACTGTTTTTAGATGGATAGATCTGGTGAATTTCATTTGTTTTTAATACTTCCAAATTAGAGACTTCCAAATGTAGAGGTGCCTCTGGGGACAGAGCCAGGTGCCTTCTCTGCCCAGTTGGCCATCCTTGCTTAAATTACAATGTTTTCTTTCTTTCCGGGTGAAATTTGATAGAAGGGATCACTTCACACACTTCTGCATTTTGAGAATTTGCCTTCGGTTCCTTTGCTTGAGACTGTGATGAAGGAGTTATTTGGGAAGCATTGTCACTATAATTAAGTTTTCATCTTCCTCCCCTCTCCATCTCTCTAGTCACACCGACTGCTGAATTCAGCTTTTCATCTTTACAGGGTGAGTTTGTACCTACCTCAGAGTGAATGATGTAGTATTCTTAAACACAGGCATTCCCAGTTAAACAAGTATTAGGACAAACAAGTATCTTCTAATATGAATGAGATTTGTCTGAATTATTGTTAGAAGAGTAAACAACACAGATTTTGGTATGGCATGCAAGTTCTCCTAACTTAGAATAGCCCATGAATACTCACTGAACAGCACCAGAGGAGTTTAATTTTTTTAAAAAAATAACAGGAATTAAAATGGGTTATTTCTTTTGTCATGAATGGCAGCATTGCAAAGGTCTTCATTCTCAAGAAACAGAAAATAGCACTCTTTCCTATTTTCTGACCAGTAAGACCACTTAGCAATGGCTACAGAGGAAGAGGAGGCACCCAAATTTTTCTGGAGGCCAGGAAAGGATTCTAGTTTGATTGAGATGGGCTGGATCTGGCCTGTGGGTTTGCCATCTTTGAATTACAGCATGGCTTGTCTTATGCAGGTTAACATTATATAGTATTTCTTGAACCATTTGTTTCAATTAGGTGGAATTTATCTATATTACTTGGGCTATATTCACTTGGGCTTATCTGCAAAACCTCTAAAGATGCATGTGACAAACTTTTGGAAACACTTAAAAGCTCATTCACTACCATACAGTGGTACCTCTGGTTACGTACTTAATTCGTTTCGGAGGTCTGTTCTTAACCTGAAACTGTTCTTAACCTAAAGCAGCACTTTAGCTAATGGGGCCTCCCGCTGCTGCCATGCCACTGCCATGCGATTTCTATTCTCATCCTGAAGCAAAGTTCTTAACCCGAGGTACTATTTCTGGGTTAGCGGAGTCTATAACCTGAAGCGTATGTAACCTGAAGCGTATGTAACCCGAGGTACCACTGTATTTGGATGGAAAAGGAATTTTCCTCAACTAGATTACTTGTTTATTACCTTGTTTATTAAAATATTTATGGGTTGCTTTGCTGCTCACAGGCACCTGAAGTGACTTGCAACTTTTTAAAAAAAAGCAAACTCCAAACTAAACAATATTGCAAACAAAAAACAAATTTAAGAATTTATTTTCAATCAGGGTCGTGGGGTTTTGCATTATTACTTTTGTCTTTATAATTGCTTGGGAAAGATATGTAGATTACATCTTACTTTTGGTATAGATAAAATGACTTTTCTTTTAAAAAAGAAAAAAATACTACTAAAATCAGACTAAATGTGCTTTGCAGTTTTTATGTTTTTTACCTTGCATAATGAAATGTTTTCCAACAGTTATGATCACTGAAAGGGATGCATGTAAAGGAGAGAACATGGTATTCTATAAATTATGTTCTTTTTGAAAGAAATATTTTGTAATAGAAACAGAGATGCAGGAAAGGAAAGAAACAGTACAGTCTGTAAATGATGGCATCAAGTAATGTATTTTATTTTTAGACTCTTGCCAAAACTCGCAAAATTCAGATATTTTGAAGGAAAAAGAAAATAAAGGATTCTTCAGCTTTTTTCAGAGAAGCAAGAAGAAACGAGAACAGGTAAGACAACATAAGTTACAAATATTAATGTATGGTAGAAATCCCCTACAACTGGATCCTCTACGGTTCACTCTTGATCCAGACAGTTGCTAGGAGAAAGCAGACTCCAACATCTTTTCTGCCTTCTTGAAGTTATCTGGACTGGCAATAAAAATGTGTTGTTAAACTAACTGCCCCGTGACATTTTTTTCAGTTTCTGCCATGAAACTGTGTGCCCTCTTTTTTGCGGATTGATCGTATTTCACTCAATATATTTCATGAGGGTTTTTTTTGTTCCAGGAAGTATTTCCTTAGATGATTGAACACTGCAATCATACGCATGCCTACTCAGAAATAAGTGCCATTGTTTTAAATGGCATTTACTACTGAGTAAGTGTTTTTAGGATTGCAGCCTAAAGATAATGTCGTCCTGCATGGCCTAAAGGCCCTTATTCTTACTTCGATCTGCTTCATCCTTAGATACTTGTAGGTTACAGTTGTGGAGACTTAACGTTCTCCCTGAATAAAGAAAACTGTACTCTCAAGGCTGGCTGATGACTGAGTGGCAACAACCCACACCCACACCCACCCACCCACCCTCATTCAAATGGTACCTGTACTCCGATTACTGTAGTAACCCTAGGATCTTCCCTTGGAGAAATAACTTCTGTTCTGGTAATGGTAAATTTGAATGAAGTCCTATAATGAAGGTTGAGAACCCCTGGTTTAGAGAAGTACATTGGCTAAAATCTATTCAGATTATTTTTTAATTGTTGACCTCTTTTCCCCTTCTCAAAAGACCGCCAGCGCTCCTGCAACTCCATTAATGAATAAGCCAAGACCAACCTTTGGCATGAGAGCTAATACAATCTCCAAGCAGTATGACTCAAATACCCTTCCCTCTGAAATGCCGAAGAAGCGACGAGCGCCCTTGCCGCCAATGCCTGCTTCCCAGAGTGTGCCCCAGGATCTTGCACAAACCCAGGGCAGACCCATGACATGCGTGGTGAAATCCAGCAGTGTGGATGAAACTGATAAGGTTGGTTGTCAAAAGTCTCGTCCTTCCTTTAAATTTCCGCTGTGAGAATAATGTCAGAGCAACTTCTGTTTAGCTACGGAACAGATAAGCAAGAACATTTATTGCTTTATACATTCTGAATAAATTGTAGCAGACCACAATTTTGAGCCTAATTTATAGGCCGTCTCTGGAATCGCCGTGGCCTCGAAACCAGTTTCCTTTGTGGTCACATTCCATGCCACATCACATGTAAAAAGGGGGATGTAGGTGGCGCTGTGGTCTAAACCACAGCCTCTTGGGCTTGCCGATCAGAAGGTCGGTGGTTTGAATACCTGTGACAGAGTGAGCTCCCATTGTTTTGTCCCAGCTCCTGCCAACCTAGCAGTTCAAAAGCACACCAGTGCAAGTAGATAAATAGGTACCACTGTAGCAAGAGGGTAGATGGCATTTCCGTGCACTCTGGCTTCCGTCATGGTGTTCCATTGCGCCAGAAGCAGTTTAGTCATGCTGGCCACATGAACTGGAAAGTTGTCTGTGGACAAACACCAGCTCCCTCAGCCTGAAAACGAAATAAGCGCCGCACCCCATAGTTGCCTTTGATTGGACTTAACCGTCCAGGGGTCCTTTACCTTTTACCTTTACCCACCAGCTGAGCACTTTGCCAGTATGACAAGAGATCACTTGGGAAAGCAGTTGCTGCACTGGGAAAGTGTAAATTAAATCTAACTCAGCCATGCTTTGAAATAGGTTGAATTGAAATAGGTGGGATGTATGTCTACACTATGCTTAGGGAGGGGCATGTTACATTAAGTGAAAAGGCTAGTCAGTTATTTTCAAAGGGGTCCTTTTAAAAGTTGAGTTTGGAAATTAAAATTAATCTTTTGGTGGAAGTCTGACATTGTTCAGTAATACTAAATCCTGCTATTGAGATAATTTAAAGCAAGTTTAAGCATCAGTGCTTTTAAGTGCAGCCACTCGTTCTATTAAAAAAAAAACTTTTTGGGGGGAAAAAAAGCTTCTTTTAAAACATGTTAATAACAAATTGGAATTGGAACCCTCAGTTCTCTACTGAACTGATAGTCTTTAAACTTGCATTAAATATGGGGAAATTATGATTCGCATTAACATATTCAGTAACTGGAGAAGGATTTGACATTTTATGTCACTACCAAATTGCCTTTCTTAGCCCTGTATTTTAAAAATGCAGTTAAATATGTTACTGAGAAAAGGTTTCCTTAACAGTTCAAATCTTTGTGTTATGATGAACAAGTTAGAGCCTTAAGGAAATTTAAATTTTCCTTACTGAAAGAACATGGATGTTCAAAACTCATGTTTTTATCTTAATAAAATTGCCTGCTTGTGTAATAATGCATTTTAATGAAGTTATGAAGCAGGCTGCCAGGTCAAATCTATCTATAAATCCCAATATGTGCTGAACTTACTCTAGCACAGTTTTGGGGAAAATTAATGCAGTGGGTAATATCTTGGTAAAGCACAGATTGTCAGTTGTGAATTCCAATTAAAGTTCAAAGCTAAATGTGGCAGTGTAAATTGGAGCACTGCATATTTGTGTTTCAGACATGACTTTGAATTGAGAATGAAAGCCATCGTTTCTAATACGTTAGCCTATGAGCTTGCTAGGAAGATGAAGAACAGAACAGGCCCAAGAGATGAATTGGATGCAAGGCCCTTCAGTTAATATTGTTTTTACTCAAATCAAGAATAACACAGGAATTTATTTTCTGTTAAGTAGTAGCCACCAGAGTGTGCTGTTCAACAGAGGTTTGGGATTTTGCGTCTTGGTGAGAAGATCCTCATTCTGAGAAAAGTTACTGGTCCAAATATAATGTGCTCCAAATATAAAATAAGAAGACGGGGTCTTTCCCCCCTCTTCTTTTCAGTGTGTAAATGTCTGAAGTTTGGCAAATTTGGGCCCAAGTAAAAAAAAAACACATAGCAGCAACAGCAACAAAAGTAAAAATTCAGGGCATAGAAGCCTATTGAGATTAGTCATGCTAGAGCAGTTTCCATTTTTCTCCCTACTTTGTAGACCAGGGAAACAAACCATAGAATGGCTGGCTTAGCATTGCACATGAACCAACATGCATGGTTTGTTTCTCTTCAGTGTTACATGCAATTTTGGTTTTAGTATTTTGGGAGGCATCATCTTGGAAGATAGCATACCTGAAACAATTACAGTCGTATCTCAGAAGTCGAATGGAATCCATTCCAGAAGTCTGTTTGACTTCCAGAACATCCAGGAACCAAGGTGCGGCTTCCGATTAGCTGCAGGAAGCTCCTGCAGCCAATGGGAAGCTGTGACGGACATTCGGGTTCCAAAGAACGTTCACAAACCAGAACACTCACTTCCGGGTTCGCAGCATTCGGGAGCCAAAACGTTCGACTCGCAAGACGTTCGACTTCCTAGATACAACTGTATTAGACAACAGAAGCATGGAAAGTGTCACTCCATGAGTGCAAGTTAGGACCCAGGCCAATAACCTCCTGCTTCTTCTTAAAAGGTTTCCCCATAAATCTCATTGCAGCAGTAAATTACTGTTTTGTGTTTCTTGTGCTGTGGTTTTTAAACTTCTTGCTAGCCTTTCTTTTCTTTTTTCTAATCTGCTATCAATAATGTTATTTTAGGGCACAGATGGGGAATCTTTTTTTTTTTTTTTGGACTAGGAGCCACAATCCTTTGTGGACCACCTTCTGGCGGGGGGGGGGGGCAGCAAATGCCTGTAATGGTCAGAGCCAGAGGCAAAGTTGGTGAAGTACAGTGGTACCTCGGGTTAAATACGCTTCAGGTTACATACGCTTCAGGTTACAGACTCCGCTAACCCAGAAATTGTACCTCGGGTTAAGAACTTTGCTTCAGGATGAGAACAGAAATTGGGCGGGGACAGTGCGGCGGCAGCAGGAGGCCCCATTAGCTAAAGTGGTGCTTCAGGTTAAGAATAGTTTCAGGTTAAGAACAAATTAAGTACGTATCCAGAGGTACCACTGTAACTGAATAACTTCTACCTTTGAACAATATTCCAGCTACACACAAGCCAGAAGCTTTTAAACGCCAACCCACACCTCCAGGCAAGAAAGAGTTGTAACACAAATTCCAGGCAGACAGGAGGAATTCAGGAGCAGGATTGGAAAGGCTGTAACCTAGGAAGGGGTGAGGCCTGAGGGTCAGATAGAGAGGTTGGGGAGGCCACGTTCGTCCAGTGGGCCTGAGGTGTTCTGCCCGTCTTGGAACATGTAAGAACAGATGATGAAGTATGGGTGGGGGGCAAAATCGACAGCACAATCATTTCTGAGTATATCTGTCAGAGGATGGGGGAAGCAGGCTTGCCCTGAGAAAGAAAGGATCCCACAGTAATTTCTTGGTTTGTTGTGCACATCCTTAGTTGGCTACCTCTTCTTCCTCTACCTGCTGCCTCAGGTGGGTTTTGAGGAGGGCATTCTAGGAATCGTGATTTGGAAAATGTCCATGCTGCTGTGACAGCTAGAAAGGCCTTTTGAATGTAGGTTTTGTTTTTTTTTAAAAAAAAGCTAGTATAAAGAAGTATTTCTAGTTGTTGCAACAAACCATTGTGGTGGCAGAGGCATTTTCCTTACCAACTTAGACCGGAGTGTCTGGCTCTTCCTTGGCTCTTTCTTGGGACAAGGGTGATCAAGAGGAAAGAGGAGGATGGTAGCACTATAGGGATCCAGGGGAATCCAGTGGCTGGTGGGGAAATTGGTTTTTGGGGAGCCCGTTGACTGGATTTTGCTGAGGACTTCCTGAAGTCTGGCAATAGCCCTCCCTACATCCCTCTTGTTTGGAATGAAGCCTTTTCAGAAAGTTTTGACAGCGCACTAACAATCTGTAGTTAGATAGGAGAAAGCGAACAAAACGTCTCTTGCTGCATTGCCTTTATAGTAGATTACTGAAGCGTCCTTGTCCAAACTGAACAATTTGCTCAATTCTGATAAAAGTGCAGCTGTTTATCCATGCCAGAACGGTAATATCAGACAACAGCAAGGGGGAAAAACCAGCCAAAAACAAACACTGACTCTACTGTGTCATTTATTGCAGTCTTAACTATTTTTAAATGGAAAATATAAGACTTCGGTTACCTTCTTAGTTTCTCCAACTTACTAGACTGGGCAGTAGCAGAAAATAAAAATAAATAAAAGTTGATTTGTAACATTCAGGTTTGCTGACATTTTGAGTGTTTGTTCTAAATTTCGGAGCCACAAAGAATCTTAGTGCAAGCCTTGGTGCTTGTTTCCGAGTAACAAATGGGCGCAACTCTCACAAAGAGCAAATGAGGGGGTAACTGTGCCTGAATTGTTCTTCTTCACATTGGAAAAAAGGGGGGGAGAGAGTTTACATGTTTAAATGCTCATCTATCCATCCATCCACCTATCTCACATAGAGGGAATTCAGAGAGAAAGGAAGAACTACACTTCTCACTGACATGAGTTTCTATATGCAGGGACTTTTTTATTATTTTTTGGATGGCGGGCGGTGATGGAGAATTCTGTCCATGCAGAAGTTGTTTGCGAGAAGTTAAGTCTCTGATAACTGAATGTTTGGTTCATAAGGACACTTGCTGCATCACACTGGAAATTGCTAACTCTCATTGGTATTGCAACAGGAGATTACTGGTTTTGTGGCATTTTCTTTTTCTGCTTCCTAAGTTAGCTCTCCAGTTAAAAGTCACGAAAAGAACATATTTTTTTAAAGGAGCAATTTAATAATAATATAATAATAATAATTTATTACTTATACCCTGCCCAACTGGCCGGGCCTCCCCAGCCACTCTGGGCGGCTTCCAACAGGATATTAAGAACACAATAAAACATCAAACATTAAAAATTTGCCTGAAGGCTCACCACATCTCACTCTCATAATGATAAGGCTGCTTTTCCCAATAGAGTGCCACGTGGTATATTAGACTGCTTTTCCCATAATCCCTGACCACTGGCTAGGGAAGGCTGTGCTAAACCATCGTTCAGCCACCAATTTTTAGCATTATGTCTGAACTGGATTTCTGATTCACTTATGAGAAATGTTAAGTGTCTGTTATGGGGCTGCTGAATTGTTCATTACATTCACATTTTTGCTTCTGCAAATTACTAATCTTTTTGCTGCATCGTTGATGTTTGTTTGTTTGTTTGTTTGTTTGTTTGTTTGTTTTTCCTACCCTCCCCCAATTCCCCAGGGACTTTCGGGAATAGGAATAGTGAGGACAGGCTCTCTTCAGCTCAGTGGCACATCTTCCGTCAATTCTTCTCTGAGGCGAGCAAAGCGCAAAGCCCCAACGCCACCTCCCAGAAAATTGCAAGGCCAAAGTGACAACAGCATTGAGACAGGTAATCTTTACAACACAAATTAGGTTAGGTTATATTATTTCTGAATTCACAGCTTAATCTTGAGGCGGTTTTGCTCTGTTGGGGAGTAATGGCGTCTAGGTTAAAAACACACACACACACACACACACACACACACACACGAGAGAGTCAGAGGAGACTAACCATATAACGTGTTCAGGAAAGAAAAGTAGGAATGTCCCACAAGAGAAATAGAAAACTGACAATTTTTCATGCCTGTTCATCTTTGACAAAATTTATTCAGGTTATTTCCCCCACTCTATAAATTTTAGACCATGTCTATGTATATAGGTTTGTATTTAAAGTACGTTAGAATAGGAAATGTTTCCTCTAGTATTCTAAACTGCATTAACATTTCAGGATCAGAGTCTGCAGAATCAATTCATGCAGAAGGCAGCATCAAAGGAAGTTACTCAGAAGCACCATCTCCAACAGGTAATTTTTCCATGTGTCATTTAGTGAAAGACAGGCATAGGTCTAGCCACTAGCATGGCCACAAAATTCCATTCCCATCACCATTGCTGCTGCTGAGAGTCACTTGCCACACATACAGTTTTTAAAAGACCCCAAGGGGGTTAAGAAAAACAGCTAATAATCGTTTTTGCTTCAGCAGCCTGTTGAAGGATCATTTCTTTGCAAACATTAACAGAAGTAACTTAGAACAGCTTTGCTTGTAGCTCCCCCTACAGCCACATTTGGGTTGGATCTAGACACACTCTCTGCATGTTTGCACTTGAGTTTGAAGCGCTGTTAATTTGAACAGGGAAAACAGGTAGAGAAAAACGGGACGCCACGTCGTCATCTGGTGGCACAATATTGTATGGGGCACATACAACGCATACACATCGCTTTTTCTTCACCAGTCTTAACTGAGTCCCTATTGTCTGCAGTGCATCCAGTTTGAGTGGGGTTTTTTTTAAAAAACAACAACTATTTAATACTGTCATTTCACTCTGCAGTAGGGAAGAAGGCTCATTCCCAGTCACCATGCTGGTGGTAATTCTGAGTAGTAAGATCAAAAGTAAGATCACAACTCAAGTTCAAACATGCATACAATCTAATATCTGTAGGGCTGTCATGCAATTAAATAAACAGTAGTTGATTAATAAATTAAATGTGAATCTATGAAAAAAAATTAAAAATTGAAGTAAAAGGGTATTACTTGTGTTTAGATGATTCATTCACCTCTTGCAGCAGGCACGATTTTGGAAAAGGCATTGCTGTCCATGTGAAAGGGATGAAGGTTTTGCCTCTTTCAAGATGCTGACTTCCTCTAGTTTCTTTTGTATTAAAAGCGAAATGTGTGGTTTTTTTATTATTAAAAAAAACACCTTGATTACATCTGTAATCAGTCAACTTGTTTCAATTTGATTAATCGACTAAATGCTTCAGCCCTATTAACACAGTGTAACGCAAGCTCCTTTAATGTAACTAACTTGCTAGGGCTGCACCTCTGCTGCATTTACTTTCCCTTCCTCATATTTTCTTGTGTTTAGTGATCAGATTAATGCGAGCTAATTCATTGTATTGTCTCCTAACCTGCTTCTTAGGCAATGTAATTGATCTAACTGGGACCATAGTGTCAACAACAAATGCCTCGTGCAGCTTGGAGCCAACCAATCATGACCAAAACAATGCGCTGCAAGTCCCAGACGAAACTAATCTGGCTAATGCTGATAATCCCGATGAATCTGAAGTGTCTCTTAAATGTAGGTGGTTGTCATGTTTTGCCTTTAGGAGTGGTTTATTTAGATTACTTGCGCAAAAGTTATCGTGATAATGCAGTCGGGAAAGCAATTGGGTATCTTTTCTGGGGCAGCCTTCAGGAAACCTGGTGCATTCCAGATGTTTTGGATTCCAATTCCCCCAGCAACCTCAGCGGTCAGGGATGGCGGGAGTTGTAATATGACAACATCTGAAGGACAACAGGTTGGAGGAGCCGGTTCTAGAGCCGCAGATGAGGAACCTGTGGGTGGCGCTCTCAGAGACTGCAGCTCCACCAGGGTTTTCAATTCAGTTTCATTTCAAGTGTCATGGGTAGGTGGCCACAACAATGGGCCCCCATGGTACAATTCCATTTAGCTCTTCTCTCACTGATGATTTCAGAGATTTATGTTAATTGCCCTGCTTTCCAACTACCATGTTTAAAACGCAGTAGATCACCTTTATGCTCAGCTTGTTGGTTTATTAAGGGGGTTCAGAGGAAGCTGATTTCTCCCCAAAATTATGATCAGGCTGTTAGGCAGTTTTCATAGGCTATGAAGCCTACGCCATAATAAGTTTTGTTAGACTTTAAAGTGCCACGTGATTTGTTGTTGCTTTGCTGTAAGAGATTCATGCAAGCAGCCCCCACCCCCCCGGAATCTAAATAAATCTGAAAAATTAAATGAAAGAATAATACAAAGAGGACTGTTAAGGTGTTGAGAGGCACTGTAGTTTAGTGGTAGACGTAATGTTTGGCCCGCGGAAGGGACCATCGCTAGCATCGCCAGGTAGGGCTGGGAAAGAGTTCTGCCTGAACCCTGAAGAGTTGCGGCCAGTCAGTGTAGAAAATCAGTGGGCTAGATAAGCCAACGAACTGACTCCTGGTGCATAAGTCGCCTTCCTATGAGTTCATTATCTTCTGAATGAGGAGACATTAAGGTAGGAATGTTTTCAAGTGGTTGCCAGTCTTTCTCTGCTCATACGAGCTTTTACTCCATAAGAGCAAAACCTACCACCCTGCCCTGCTGATCTATACTCACATTTATCAGAATTTTAAACTATTTGGGCCACAGGGACAAGCATCCCCCTCACCCCACACACCCCAAACTCCTTAGTAAGCATACTCTGATTTTCCATTTGGGATGGTATATTTTTTATTTTTAACAATGTAATGTGATATATTTATCTTGGCTTATTATTGTTCTTTATGCTTTCCTTGGGAGCGTAGCTGACATAGGCTCCGAATATAGTCTAGAGGAGATAGATGAGAAGGAAGAAATGCATGAAGAAAGTGCAGGGGCTCCTCTCACTATGCCAGAGGCCCCCATCTCCTTCAGTACTCCTGAAATTCCACGGGGCGTTCAGAAAAACGAGCCTGCTTCGTTGGCTTCAGATCCTAGCACTGGGCGTGACAATACTCTGCAAGACTCAAATGAAGAAGCAGAAAATAAGACTGCACGTGACAAGTGAGTGCATCAGGCTTCTTTCTGTAAATGGTGGTAAGCCCCCTTTATATCCTAGAAGGAGAGCAATTGATCGCTGAGCCTATGTTTGTGATTGCAAGGGTATCCTGTCCACTGTAATGGTATCTTTGTACATCAATACTTTTATCTATGAGAAGGGGTTGAGAAAAGTGGTGCATTGGTGCTCCGAAGTACAAAGCAATGCACCCAGTGTTTATGCAGAGCTCCGTAGCAGTATTTCTTCTTTGAGTTACTTATGATTAAACAAGTCGTTCACCCTCTTGTTCTAGCGCCAAACAAAATAACTCCAAAAGAAGACTCCAGTGTGACACCACTGCATAACTTGAACTGATAGAATTGAACTTGTTCATTTCCATCACACTTCTGGCCTCAATCAAGATAGTGGGTTTTTTAACTTGCTACATGTGATAATTAACTTTGCCAGTGCCATAATGTTTGTGTTTATCATCAGTAGTGCTTTGTGAATGGTCACTAAAATTATTTTACATAATTCAAATTATAACAGTGTGTGTGTGTGTGTTTCATTTCCCTCTGAGCTCACTACTTTTTCTTTGCTACTTATGTGTATCATCAGTACCTGCCAACTTAGGATAACACATCATACATCTGAAAGCCCATGAACGTTTATACTGAGACTTGGAAACTCAGTGCCCTTGTTTACATTTAATGCTATGGCAAACCGTGGCTAAGCCAAAGCAAGCAAATGTGTAGGCGCCAGGGAAAGAGGTTGCACCCAGTTTTGCTGAGTTAAGCCATGGTTTAGCTTGTTGTGTCATCCAAACCCTGGTCCATGGTTTAGCTTTCCCTACCAACCCACAGTCTGTAAACCATGGGATGGCTTGGTTTCGGCTCATGGTTTGTCTGGAGTCCTTAACACCTGGTGGGGGTACAGAAGCAGTGGCAGTAATGCATGGGATGGGGCCAGGATGTAATCACATGAGGAGAAGAATGCCTGAATAGAATTTGAGTGTTTTTCTCAATACGTTACTGATGCCAGTCTGTCTATTGTTATGGTGTGATGTTTTGCAGAGCTCAACATAGTCAAGTATTCATTGCAAATATTACACTTGGCAGTGCTAAGCCACTTGGAGCATTGCAGCCAAATGCAAGCAATGGTGAGTAAATTTATATTGTTATTTGTGCAAGATGTATTTTCAGTTGCAGCGGAATCCTGGCAATGTTGTTGGTGTCTGTTCAAACATACCGGGTGGTATCCGACTACAATGTCCCATCAGCACAAAAGATTTCTGCTTGCACAATGGGAATTCCCCCCGGAGGTACGCCAGGGGAGGCAGAAATCCTTGCACTGAAGGAACATTCATGTAGTGTTACATTGGATGCAGCCCATTGTGTGAATGGCGAATGTAAAGGAGTCTTCCACAATTTTTTTCCTAAGTGGTATTGATGGGTCCTTGCAGTTGCTCAGAGAAATCTGAATATAAAGCATATGTATATTTTTAATATTTTAAAAACCTCTCATGTCTGTCATATGACATATACTATGACATATACTTAAGACTACAAAAGCTATGTACCAAAAAGCTGTACTCTGGGAAAGTTTAGCTCCATTTTAATACAATTTGGAATGAAAAAGAGTGATTCATGATTCAAACAACTTGATCCTAATGCTAATTTCAAATTTTTGTTTCCTTTTTTTTTATAAAGGTCACAGTGACGCAAAATTTCTTCCTCCAACAGAAGAAAGTAATATTGATGTGAGAGAAAGTAACAAGCTTGAATCATTGAACTGCCAAGCATATCAAAATGACATAGTCGTAAATCAGGAATGCAGCCCTCAAGCATGTCTAGGGGTGCAAGATAAAAAATGGGATCAGTCCATTGTGGAGACAGTAAAGACTCAGGATGTTGCAATTCAGGCAACCCCACCCGACGGTAATTTGGGTCAGACTGAAGTAAGGGAGAGTACTGGTCCTCAAGGCTGCCAACTGGTCACACGCAAAGATTCAACTCACCTGCACAAATCAGCTCAGGAGAACCAACCCTCAGGGCTCCTCAGCAGGGTACATGAGACCGTAGGAACTATGACAGAGTTCAACCAACAGAGGGAACAATCGGCACATGACAGAGCAAATTCTAACGACAACCAATATAACACAATTGAAAAGGATAGCCCCATTTTACCACAGAAAGTCATCAAAAGCCCTGCTAGTTCTCCTCCAAAAGGTTACCCACCTCACTGGCAAGACTCTAAACCTAAACCTAAACCTTCCAATGAGATTACAAGAGACTACATACCCAAAGTTGGAATGACTACCTATAAAATAGTGCCTCCAAAATCTCTGGAGATAGTGAAGAATTGGGAGTCCGACACTGCGGAGGATCGGGAAGCGGCCCACTTGCACATGTCTCCCAAGGAGAATTCCCATGAATTTGGTACGCAAACAGAAATGCTTAATAACTCTAAAAGCCTGAGCCCAACAGGACCTGTTTTTAGACATGAAGTTACGTTGCTAGGGAACGATTCACTGCATAAAACATACAGTGCTGATAATGCCACAGTTCCTCTCCCTAATGCCGAAGGCAGGAAAATGGAAGGGGAGCATTACAGACCTGGTCCGCAACATGTTGCAGCTCCATTTGTGCTAAGCACGGAGAAGAAAAGTCCGCCCCCACCGGTGCAAGAAAAACCAAGGATCTTAAGTCCTACAGCAAAACCAAGCAGCTTCTATTTACAGATGCAAAAGAGAGCTTCTTCTCATTATGTAACGTCTGCGATTGCAAGAAGCAATTCCATTAGTAGCCCTACGCAAAACGAAGCTAAGAGTATGGAGCCAGAAAAAAAGTTGGCCTCGCCAGATCATACTTCTTTTCCATTTCCTAGGACAGTTACTGTTCCTTCTCAATTAGTAGAGGAAAAGACTGAAAACGGACACAGCGAGGAAAAGACAAAAGTCACCACTCCTCCTGTAACAATGCCCAAACCTCTGAATTCCCCCTGCTCCCAGCCTCCTCCATTAAATCTGAAAACCCTGAGGACTTTCGTTTTGCCGCAACCGTATTCCAGCTCCAGGCCGTCACCTTTTGCTCTTGCTGTATCTTCAGCAGTTAGGAGGTCGCAGTCGTTCAGCAAAACATGTGCACCCAGGCCACTGAAAGAGCAATTGTCCCTTGACCTTTCCTCATCAGTGTCCAACACGGAGATAAAGAACCATTCTCCTCTACAGAGCCCAACTGGACAGCTGCAACAGAATTTTGCAGACAAGGTAAAACCCAACAATAACATTTGTCCTCAACTTCCATGCGGTGCTTTCTTACATGCATATATCTTGGCATTTTGCAAAATAACATAGAACTGTTCTGTCGTTCACTAAAAGTGTGCATTGCATTGCGTGTTGCTGTCTAAGGTAGAGTGAGCTCACTCGGGGCAATGGTTTTCTTTCTTCTTCTCCCAACAGAAAAATAATTGTGCAACCGATGAGCAAAATAGGCAGGTGCCCTCTTTATCTGGCCACCCAACAACTGCCGTCTGTCAGAGAGGGATTGCTGTGGCTCTCCAGCGCCCTGACCCGGAACAGATCCACCAGAGCTTGCTGGCTGCAATCCGCTCGGGAGAAGCTGCTGCCAAATTGAGAAGGGTGAGGTGGTTGGGTTTTTTCCCCTCCTCTCCCCTTTCCTTTTTCTTCTCATCATTAAAATAAATAACAATGGATTTACAGTGCTTACTTTCAAAATCACCATAGCAATCGGTGCTGGCATTAATCTTGTTGAAGGAATCTCACGAGTGTGATTTCTGAATAGTGCCAATAGGGGAGATGTAAGGACTGGTTGCAAAATGTTCTTGCTAGCTTTGAGTAAAGGAAAGAGTGTATACAGCTTTTCCTTTAAACATACATTTGGTATAAAGTGTATGGGCTGATTCCCTCTGCCAAATCCTCCACTGAAACAGCTGTTAGGAAGAAGCTTTAAAGATCAAGGTCAAAAGGACCTTGCCTCTCCTACCTGTCTTCAGAATTTGAAAATTCCTTGCTAATGCTCTGCTTTCCTGTCTCAGATTTCAGAAAGGTATTTCATCAGTTAGGGGAAAGAAGGCATCCATATAGAGCTGGAAATAGAATATCCTGGGGTCTTATTTTTTTTAAAAAAAGAGTGCTTTGTTTGGTTTGTGGCAAGAAGATGAACTTTTTTAAAAAAATTATTCTGACAGTGCCCTGTCAATGATATTATCCTATTATGAATTGTCCATGACTAGAATATGGTCATGAGAGATGCCTTTTTAAAGCTCTCTAGCCCAAACTGCATATATAGTTAGGTATCTCCTTCCTTCTCTGCTTTTGTTATTCCTGTGCTATGCAAAATTTAATCCCACTTTGTCTCTCTCACTTGTCACCTCCTGTGCCATCCCACATTTGTTTAATTAATGAATTTATGAATCGCTTCCCAGGAAGCATCATAAGGAGAGCAAGTACCAAAGAATGCAGACAGTATTGACATAATCAAGTATAAGTCATTTTTTTCCAGGAGTTTTAAGTTTCCCTCAGTTATATTCTGTTTAAGAGAACATTTTTCTTTCTTTCAAAGTAGCATGATAATGACTGTGCTAACTCACTATCTTACAGTATGAAGAAGTGAAGCTGGGGTGAGAAAAGTGTGGTATCAAATTTATTTTTAAGCCTCTTGTGAAGATGAAGTCAGACAGTGTCTGTAAAACATTGCTTCAACTTTTAAAACAAGGCATATTGCACGGGGAAAGAATTAAACAATTAAGTCAGCAGACCCAAAGTTACTGCATTCACTTGTGTGTGAAGAACAAGTGAAAGGACATTTAACTCCTATTTAAATGGCAAAGTTCGGCTAATGCTTTGTGCTATTAAATTGGGTAAAAGGTCTGTCAGGTGCTCTCAGCATCCGCCAAGCATTCAAGAAACAAGGCAAAAATTGCCACTGCATTCAGCCAAGCATTTGCCCCCCCCCTTGCTTTAATAACTCGTTAGGGTACAGAGCCAAACTCTGTGGTCTTTTGTGCTGCAGTTTTATTCCTGCTGAATAAAGCTTGCAGTAATTGCTAACCAAATGGGTCAAATGAGGTTGGGGTTTGAAACTATTTCTCTCTCTCCAGAATATTTCCATCATATGACTGAACTCTCCCTGTTAGTTTCCCTTGGGCTCATACATCTTAAAGCATTACTTTCAGTTTAATAATCAAATGAATGCATAGGCCCATTGTATTGTCTTCAGCAGGCATCTGCAAACTTCAGGCTTGCTTGGAACTATGTTTTAAAAAAACTAGAACCTGGAGGTTCCAGAACCAATTTGAGCCAATTGGAAAACAGTGGCTTGGTGAAGAACAAAGCCGGGTGCAAAATGGTGGCTCAATGGGCAGAGCCCAGTTACCTGTGCCCCACCCCACCCCACGAAACATGCACTGGGGTGGCTGTCATTTACAATGACAAAAATTTACATCTGAGTAAATTCTAACTAGCCAGAGCCAAATCTACTGCAAGTCATCCAACGATCTCTCAGCGGGTCCAAATTAACCTTCCACCCAGCCCTAGTCTACAGTGCACAGTAAAATTAGTGATGTGGCAAGAAATAAATGTTCTCCAGATGAATAATCGCTCGTGTGGTTTGGAAACATGGGTTTTATATATTTTTCATGCGGCTGAGTGCATATTGAACCCTATGTTTGATCAGACTGTTTCAACTAGCTAGCTTTTACGTAGTGATGTTGAAAATCAGTTGAGCTTTAGCAGACAGGAGCGAGGCAAGTGTGTGGTGACATCATTAAAGTAATCAGCTTTGTGGGGAACATGAAACCACAAATTGGAGCAAGAATTAAAAGAGAAACAAGTAATAAATTCCTATTGCTTGGTGTCCAAACAACTCACTTAACAATCACAGCTCTGGCTTTATTCATTGGCTAAAAACACTGACAGGCATATATACCGTATTTTTCCATGTATAAGACGCCTATTTTTTGAGACTTCGATTTAAGAAAATGGGGGGCTTATATCCATGTATAAGATGACCCCAGATTTTAAACATTATTTTAGAGTAAGAAAACCTAGTCTTATACACAGAAAAGTATAGTATATATGAAAGCTCAGTGCCTGAGTCTCTCTCCTAGGCTGGTTACCATATGAATTCTTACCACACAAACATAACCAATATTACATAGGCTTTGTGAAACTGAGCCACAGGGGTGTAGCTCTTCAGTGGCTATCACTCTAGCTCAACAAAGGTAGGCCATGCATTTTTGTGGAACAACCATGTACCTCTCTTAAATTTCTGATGTGCCCCGAAGATCCCTAGTAATATGGCAATTGGACCTAAGGCAGAGTAACATCTATTGATGTACCCAGGTGGTGAATTGAGTTTCCCAGCATTTTGACATTTAAATTAGTGTAAGATGCATCAGACCTTTCTGGAGAGGAGGGTGTAAGTATATCTGTTCCTGTAGCTGCATTTTATCCCGCCCTTCCTAAGGAACTCTAATTGACTGATGCATAGGCCCAGTTTATTTCAGCAGGTCTACTCTCAGCGACAGCATTCGAAACAGTTGCAATTATAAATTAACTGGTGGGTGACTTCCATTTTGCATCAGGTCTTCCATCTACCTGACTACCTTATTTTCTCTCTCAGGTTGCGCCTCCATCAAATACAGTTGCTATTAATGGAAGATCCAGTCTCAGTTCCTCAGTGTCCGTAGAAGCAAGATACAACAATCACTAGGACTTCATACCAAATATTTTGCACTTTATCCACTACTGCATAAAACTACGGTTAATTGCATATTGCTGAGGACTGTGTGTAAATGCAAGGTTGCGTTGGTATATATTGTCATGTGAAGCACAGAAACTTCATGGAAGTCCTGAAAGAGTTATAATTTATAGCAATATTTTTTTTGCCCTTTTAAAGCTGAAACTGCTGCTTCAGAATGCATAACATGGCATAAAAGTTTCGTTCTTTTGCTGCTGTGATCTGGTAATGTTGATTTCCACTTTAACCTTAATTAATGATGTTTAGCAATATGTTGTATGATGCTAATGTATGAAGCTCTTAACTGCCTAATAATATTGTTCACAAATGCATGAATTTAAATGCATAGTTCTGACACCTGTTGCCTTGGAAATTTATTGCTGTACTCTCTAGAAATGCAGTTGGGCGAGTTTCCTTTCCTTCTGCTAAAAATGCAGGACAAGATCCATCCAAAGTCATGCTGCTTCAGAATCCCATCGATTGCTTAAGTTCTGTGTTCAAATCAGTAGGGTTTAAAAGTGCTTAACTCTGGCTGGATCATGTCTTTTTAGGATTAGCATTATTGGCCTTTGTATATTTTCCAGTACCAAAGTGGAGAAATAAAATAGAAGGTGAGTTTTCTTATAAATACTAGCATTGTTATCTGGTGGTGTCTTCATGCACACTAGAAAGTGCCTTAACTGCTGTAACAATGCTGATAAAATCGCAGTTGTTTTCCAAAGGCAGTAACTTGGTCAGCATCCCAGGCCTCTATAGAAGAATCTGAGCAGCATGTCAAGAGCACTTTTTAGCAACCTCTAGGGCAGGGCAGGGAAACTGAGGCCAGATGTGGTTCGATTTCAGCTCCCTTCAGCCCCAGCCAGCATCACTGATGGTCAGGGATGGCGGGCGTTGCATCTGGAAGGCCACAAGTTCTCTGGCCCTGCTCTATGAGCTGAATCGTTGAGGGCAGATTTGCGCAATCTAAAATGTAACAGGTAGTAGGTATGAATAGGAATCAGTGTTTATTTTCTTACTGTCCTGTGCTTACCTTTAGCATACCCCATGCTCTCAGCGTGCTGCAAGTGTGATGGCTGAGCAAAAATAGGGAGGGGGATGTGCTGGCATGGGCAGGGACGCAGAGTTTGGGATCTGCAGAATGAAGCATATGGGAAATTTTGTTAGCTGACATGCAGAGCTCTCTCTCGAGAGCTAATACAGCTCTGAACCGCAGTGAGGACTCCAGAACCTTATTTGGCAGTTGATACAAATTTATGGGTAAGGAAAAGAGGACTGTGGCTCAGGTACAGCTTGAGGCATTCTCAAGGCCATTGGCCCAGAGCTACCAAGTTTAATTTATTCTTGTTCTCAGAAAAAAGCAGTATCTTATTTCACGTTTGGGTAACTTTTAAAATATTTCTTTTAAGTTCAAAAAATTAAAGCTAGGGGATGCAAAACAAAATAAAGCCCAAACTCCTCTTTTTGTAAGTAGGAGAAGAGGTGGTGGTGATTTCTGCATTATAACAGCTTCTTTAATGACACTTTAAACAATGCGATGTCAACGAAGTAGTTTTACGAGTCTAATAAATTCTACAGTTGTGAAATTTAAAAATTGCTACTGAAATAGACATGTTAGGTTGAGCAGCTATGTGCAAGACAGCAAAATGCTCAGTGGCGCTTCTTTTTCTGTTCATCTTTTCCTCTCCAATTAATGTTGCATTTGTGTGACAAGATCTATTTGTGATCCTAGTTCTGATCAAGCAACTGAATTTGTAGATATATGCTGCAAATACTGGGATATTTTCTAAATAATTACGGTTTTGTTAAATAAAAGTAATTGTATTTAGTTTCATTCTTAAATGATTACGTTGAACGACTTATCGTTTTAGAACATTCTTGTTATTCCCCCCCCCTCAAAAAAAATCAAGTAAGCTCCTACGCTCCCCCCCCCGGACTTCCAGAATGAAGGAAGGCATGCAATACACAGTTGGTAACTAAAGGAATGACTTTGTTTCATACCTGACCTTTGATTGGCCACATCACTCCTCATTACTGGCAGTAGATGGCAACGCGGTTGATTTGATGCAAATGCACCAGCAGCAATGCTGTATCGTAGGCATAGACAAACTCTGCCCTCCAGATATTTTGAGACTACAATTCCCATCATCCCTGACCACTGGTTCTGTTAGCTAGGGATGATGGGAGTTGTAGTCCCAAAACATCTGGAGGGCTGAGTTTGCCTATGCTTGCTGTATTGGTTTAACCTGTATGGTTGCACCCTCTGACCTCACCATTTCCCCTTGTACCTCCTGGTAAGCAGCACCAAACATAGGTTTGCTGCCTGAGTCACTAATGCAATGGAGCTATAAATTAGAAGAACATTTTGGATGTCTTGTGTGGCATTTCCAGTAGCGAGATGGAAGTATAAAAAACTGTTATTCAAGGCATTATTTCCAGATCAGTATCCCATTTTGGTTACTTGCAAGCAGAGAAAGATAAAGTGAAACAAGTTCAATGAAGCAGCAAGAACAATCACAGACAGAATAGAGGAGAGGTGGAAAAGGACTACGCCTCATTTGCGTAGTAAAAAGAAGAGTGTAGTTGTAGCTGCGTACTATGTTGACATAAAACATCACAGTTGGGAAAGGTTGGTGATGATGAAAGATAAAGAGAATGAAATTAAATATACCGATGCCTCTCACATCGACAGAAGACTTTTTGAAGCTGGTTTCAAAAGATCCCCCAACACTGAAGAGGGGGTATAGAATCAGGACAAGAGGACCTAAGAGCACTTATCAGTCCCTTCGCTGGTGGAATTTTCCATGGGGCTTTCCGTCAGTGCCGGAACAAGTCTATTTCACTTCAGACAGATCACACTGACACAACACTGTCCTCAGTAGTAGCCTGAGAAGCCTCTCACAGCAGCCATTCTCCCCTCTCTCTTTCATTCACCACACGAAACAGAAAGCAGTTAAAAAACAACATTTACTGGAATAACAGTCACAACAGAAATGGGATGCCTCTGTCATGGGATTCACAGTCAGCCAATCGCATGAGAGCTACTGTCCGGGGGGGGGACACACCCGTGTTAAAGGTACGCAGTAATTTAACATAAGTAAACATTCCCATTTCAGGAAATTAAATCATTATCCTTAACGCCTTTCCCATCCTTTGCTACCTTAGGTTCTATAACTGGCCTGTAGATGCATGCAAGGAATTGAAAACGAGACTTTCTGCATTCAGTTGTGTTCTGTCACTGAGCAATGGCTCTTCCCAGGCAATGTTGGGAGGTGAAATTGCCAAGGTCCACACTAAACAGGTGCATCCCTACTAACTGACTAGCAACATAGCTGCTGATTGCATCAATTCATGCCTGTGTGCACAAAATCTTCTTGCTTTACATATAAATTATTTTTATATGTCTCTGAAAAGTGACCAAAGAGGAACATTATTATTATTATTTTTTAAAAGGGTCTTGCTCCTGGTAGAAACCATGTTGTCTGCCCTTAGCCCAGGGCAGGTTCATATGAGAAAAGGTGGGATTCCCTGAGACTGCTTGCTGCCCATACCTTAGAGGCAATTAATATCAGAAGAATTTTACCAATATTGAATACACAATTTTGCTGCTAAGGCACAGATGTGTAACATGCTGAGAACAGCACATTAAAAATTCTCTCAGTTGTCTCAGCTAAAATGCAAAAATAGTACAGGGTTCTGCTTCTATAATTTGACACAATTAGGGAAAGAGGCACAGCAGGCAGAAGAACTCCTGTGTTTCCTAGAACCTAAATTTGGATTTTCTTTTCGTAGAACAATCTCGCATTGAATGAAATGCTAAAAGATTCAAGGGATGGAGAATCACTTTGAAGTGTGAAGTTCATCCAAATAGTTTACAGTTTCTAATCACAGGCAACCTGTCTAATTGCTATTAAAGAAATACGGTAGGGGGTAAATGTGCGGAATAACTGTAGCAGCTATAAATAAACACTAACGATATTCTGTAATATCAGCTGGAAAAAAATACCTGCCAGTGAGTCTGATGGTTATCTGGTTATAATAATGGAAATGGTCACCAAGACAAATGTGGTTTCTTTGGTGTGTGTTTTTTAAAAACCCCTGTTCTAACAAATTAGGGTGCTTCCAGGCTGTTGCTCTTTTGGGGTGGAGTTGAATCACATATGGCCAAATTCAGGTTGCACAATTGTATTTGATTGGGAAGTCATGCACGAGAAACCTGCTCCCTTCAAACAACAGACTTTTTCAGTAAGGGAAATGGGAAGATGTAGTGGAAACTCTGGGATAACACTTACTTTGACACAATGCTATCCTCCCCACAGACCAGAATGAATCCTTCTAAGCAGCCAACAGCCTCGCTGCAAAAAAATTGCGTGAATGTTTCAATAAACAGGTTGTCTGCCCTAATTCTTTAATTCCTTTTCGAACATGGCCTGCGCCCACATCCATTTGAGACCCAGAGACTGGCAATAGGCGGGTGCATCATGCAAGGGTGCTCAGGAACAAGAAACTGGCTTGCATCAGCTGAGACTGCATCTAGCCCAGCACTGTCAATTCTGACTGGGAGTGGCTCTTCAGGGTCTCTGGTAAATAGAGGTCGTTCCTGTCACCTGATCGTTTTAGCTGGAGTTGTCAGGAAGTGAAAGTGGGACTTTCTGCATTCAAAGCCATCCGAGCTATGGATCCCCCTCGTGCAGAACACGATCATTCCTCTCTCAGCATTAACTGCAACACATAGAGGGCTTTGTGAGCCTAAGAAAAACAATGCGCACACAGCTATGATGGCATGAAGCCACATTAGAAATTCTGAAAACAGGGACCCCTTCTCAACCAAGGTAAGATACTTAGATGTATTAATACAACTTTGAATATCTGGTGACAGCAGGAACCGCTTCTGAACCAAAGCAAGGCACAGTATCTTTACAAGAGAGGAAGAAAGGGAGAAAACCAAAGCAACTTGGCCAAATCCTATGATTTTTTTTTGACCATGACCCTGTGATCTGCAAAGTCTATCAGGTCCAGTAGCCTCAGCCACCACTGACAGCTAGGGTTCTCAAAAGTTGTTGTTGTTGCTGCTGCTGCTGCTGCTGTTTTATTTTTATTTTATTTTATTTATTACTTATACCCTGCCTATCTGGCCGGGCCTCCCCAGCCACTCTGGGCGGCTTCCAACAGGATATTAAAAACACAATAAAACATTAAGGACTGCATACAGCTTATGCATATTTAGTGTCTACATTGTTAATTGAAGGAGAATAAAAAATCTGATGAGGATGCCAAAAGGAGTTCACAACTTACCTGAAAAAGCCCCAAATGTCTTCTGCTATTTTTGAATTATCCCAACCTTGAGGAAAGCATAGCAATGACTATAATTTTCTCTCTGTTTTTTTTTTTTAATGTCAAATTTTCAGTTCTGTTTATATTTACTGTTATGGTATATTGGAGCAAGGTTTCAAAGTTGTGGTCTGTGGACCACCAGTGGTTGGTAAGCTCATTCAAGTGGTCCATAGCATGTCTGGATTTGTGGTTGAAGACAGAGGGGATGGCATGTCCATTACATGAAACATACTGATTTTTAATTCTGTTTTATTGTGTCTTTCTTACATTGCATTATTGTATTCTAATTTGATTTCTATGCATTTCTAAATTGTAATACAATAAAACACAGGAACTAAAAACGGTTAAAACACAATTAAAAATCGCCCCGCATCTAACACAGCACAATGGCTGCAAAATGCGGGGGGGGGGGGGGATTGTTTTACCAACACCTTCAACAATTTTCAAATGGTCCATGGGGAAAATGTTTGGGGGGACCACTGTAGTATAAGTTTGGTGAATCTCCAGGTAGGAGGGGAGGTATCCTCTGTTGAAATCTTGGACTGTCCTCAAATGTACCTCTGCTGCATTGCAGGTACATTTGAAATCAGCCCTTTGATTAGAACCTACTCCCTCCCTCCAATTTCTCATTATAATAGCAAAATTCCACTCAGCCAACTCACCCTTAACATAATATTGTCTACTCCAGGGGTCAGCAAACATTTTCAGTAGGGGACCGGTCCACTGTCCCACAGTCCTTGTGGGGGTCTGGAATTTATTTTGGAGAAAAAATGAAGAAATTCCTATGCCCCACAAATAACTCAGAGATGCATTTTAAATAAAAGGACACATTCTACTCATGTAAAAACACACTGATTTCCGGACCGTTCGCGAGCCGGCTTTAAAAGGCCATTGAGCCAGATCCGGCCCCTGGGCCTTAGTTTGCTTACCCATGGACTCTTCAGAACCTCAGGCAGAGCCTGTTTCCTATCACTTCCTGCCTTACTGAGCTGCTGTCTGTCTTATCCACAACTCATGCTGCTAGCGGTTTTCTTATGCTTTTCATGGGGGGCCCTTCGTCCTTTGCTTACAGGGCAGCAGGACACATTGCAAAATGGAGACCCCAGCTGCTCACAATCTTAAATTCCAGAGCGTCCATCCAGTGTACTGGCTCAAAGCATCATGTTGCACCCCATTACTCAGAGTTAGGCCTGCAAGCATGAGCCAGAGGTTTTTCTCTCTGCAAGTATATTTGCACCTGTGCATATAAATAGTAAAGGTAAAGGGACCCCTGGCCGTGCATATAAATAGTCATATGCAAATTTGCATCAAGCACTTGTGTCCTAAGTCTTTAAAGCCTTTTAACCTAGCAACAACCTTCTACTTTGCAAACGCACTCGCCTGCAATTAATTCTTCCACCACCCACCAGTCCTCTCCAGTGCAATCTGACACACATTTCCAAATGGTCCCACTTACATGCACAAAATAAGAAATCTCAGCTGTTTGCTGCAAAGCTGTTTGCCAAATACGGGGAGGTCATGTGGATGTAAAGGTTATGTATTTATATCTTCCGTTGCAAT